ACTAACTTACATATCGGATGGGGCCATCCAAATCGCTATTCTGCTTTCTCAAGTAGTACATTGCCATCTTTTCTTATAAATTGTGAAACTACCAAAACGTATCCGCTCACATTGGGGAACTTTGTAATGGAATAGGTTGGTTCCCCGTGAACACAACATAACGAAAATATAGCGTAAGTATCCACAACAACTTTTCTCCAAGTGATCTGAGTAACATTGACCTAGTGTTAAGCATAACTCAGTTATGCCCCCTTATCTTTTATACGTGTATGACCTCTCTGTCGTCAGTTGACGTCATAGAAGAAAATCCATTTTTGACACTTATTGCGAGTCATTTTTAATGTTGAGCGTCTAACGTTATGCATTAGCACATAAACCCAATTCATATACACTTATGTCGTTCAGATATCAGGCTGTATTTTCTTCGCTCACACTTTCTGTAAAGATGCCAAATTAAAAAAATCGTAGCAGAGTGCTTTTATCGGTGCACGACAAAAAGCGGAGAAATTGACAGTTTCTTAACGCGTAACAAAAGTTTAGACAACATTTAGCAGTGTCTATTTCTCAAACCGCCGAGATAGTCGCACTTATATTTATACCAACGGATAGGAAATTAAATATTCTACATTTCTGTGTAATTTTATAGCCGTACGCAGATCCAGGACCACGCGAGCGCAATTCTCGCACAACGTTCACTTTTAAAAACTTTTGAAAATGTGCGCCTGATAAAAAGGCTACGCCTGGCTTACGCCTGCTGGGTAGGTGGCGTAAATATATAGAGAATACTACACTCGGTCTCATTACATACGAATTATACGAAACTCGTGACCTTCCTATGTTATCTGCGTCAGATAACATAGGAAGGTCACGAGTTTGGAGACCGAGGTGGTATTTATTTATTACCCACGTCTTACATGCATTAAATTGACAAAATAACGTAGTTTTGTTAATATTTTGGTTTCAAACCGAAACCGGTTTCATAAAGAGGTTGCGGAAGAGTTTTGTACTGTAGTACAATATTTTGCATGACGTCACCGTAATGACGTCACTGCCTTGGTAACCGACGTCACGATGCATGTCAGTTGTCTTCGCCTCGTACAGCCTCCTACAGTAAACTACTCCGTAGCACCCCGTTTCTTGGTTTGCAGTTGCTTCATTCGGCTAACATCACTGGTGGAAACATTGCGTTTACGTTTTTCGACGGGTATAATGTCTCAGTTCGACTCACAATAAAACAGCGACACGGCAACGTTCGCGATGTTTACATTCCCACAATGCATTTAGTTGTAGAATGAATGGATCCACGTGTTTGTTATGAATGAAAAAGTAGTTCCGTCACAACATGACCTAACTGAGAGGTCATCGGTTATCCAATCAAATCGTTAGAATCTCAGGTCAAGTCGTTACGACACAGGTCAACGCGATACGACACGTGTGTGACGTACGAGATTAGTATGCAACTCCCATACGTTGACCACGTGGGTAATAAATAGAGAATACTACACGAGGTCTCATTGCATACGAATTATACGAAACGAGTGTCCTTCCTATGGTATCTGACCGAGCGAAAGCGAGGTCAGATACCATAGGAAGGTCACGAGTTTCGTATAATTCGTATGTAATGAGACCGAGTGTGGTATTTTATTTATTACCCACGTCTTACATGCATTTAAATTGACAAAAAAGCGTATTTTTGTTATGTTTTTGGTTTCAAACCGAAACCGGTTTCATAAAGAGGTTGAGGAAGAGTTTTGTACTGTAGTACAATATTTGCATGACGTCACACTAATGACGTCACTGCCATGGTAACCGACGTCACGATGCATGTCAGTTGTCATCGCCTCGTACAGCCTCCTACAGTAAACTACTCCGTTGCACCTCGTTTCTTGGTTTCCAGTTGCTTCATTCGGCTAACATCACTGGTGGAAACATTGCGTTTATGTTTTTCGACAGATATAATGTCTCAGTTCGACTCACAATTAAACAGCTACACGGCAACGTTCGCAATGTTTACATTCCCACAATGCATTTAAGTTGTAGAATGAATGAATTCACGTGTTTGTTATGAATGAAAAAATAGTTACGTCAGAATGTGACCTAATTGAGAGGTCATCGGTTATCCAATCAAATCGTTAGAATCTCAGGTCAAGTCGTTACGACACAGGTCAACGCGATACGACACACGTGTGACGTACGAGATTAGTATGCAACTACCCATACGTTGACCACGTGGGTAATAAAGAGCGCTACGACTGGCGTAACTTTAACTACGTCTACTATGTGCATACCGCATACCTGTCAACTCTCACGCATTTGGCGTGAGTCTCACGCTTTATTGACAAATGTCACGCTCTCACGCCTCCAAATAATAATCTCACGCATATCTGGTAGCCAAAAATAATTTCAAAATTAATACGCATTTTCGTTCGTTTTTGCGTAAAGTTGAACATTGAAAGAACGCCTGAATGAACGAAGTACTAAAACGATGTTTATGCGAATGATTCGGCTTATTATTATTTATTAGCATGCATCTTTTAGTGTCAAAATAATGCCACCAGAAGGTTCCAAATGCTCCTGAAAATCACTAAACTTCATTTTCGGGGCCGGGGGGCTTCGCCCCCCAGAGACCCCCCACCAGGGCGTCGCCCTCGACATGACCCCGGCTTATTTTTTTCAGTCTCACTCCAAACCATCTATAGGGGTTGACAGCTCTGATACCGGTTAACGTTACGTCCGGGCGCACATTTTACTTACGCCCGGACTAGAATTTACGCCCGACATACATGCATACGGCCACAGGTGTCTAGATGGAATCAAACGAAACATAGTGGGTGTGAAAACGAATGCTGTGCTCGTAAGACTGCGCTTGTTTTCAACACATACAAATTCAGTTTTTACACTAGCATTTTTTCAAATTTTCAATCATCCATTCGTTTATTCGTTGCATATACATCGGATCAATACTTTTAGAATATGAATTAAAACAGTATCTTCGAAATTGTTAAAGTTTCTAGAACTGTGCAACATGACGCCATGACTGACGCAAAATCACGCAGAACGACAACGGTAATAATGTACTATCGGCATTTCTGGCTTCTTCTCACACTTACAATGAAAATAATAAAAACAGATAACCAAACACAGATAGTCAGTATGTTTCTGATTACTTACATCACATAATTATGTAGAAACGATCCCTGAACCAAGGGAAGGGCCCTGCGTACCCATGTCAGCGAAGCCGCCATTTTGTAAGAAATCGGTCATCGGTCATCGGTCATCAGTAGTGATGTCATACGACAACATTGTTGTACGTAATATTTGGCAATTTCTTTGAGGCGAAGGTCGGTTGAATATTCGTAAACACAATCAACACATCCTGCCGATTACAATTTCAGTATGATAATGTATATTTTGTGTATCGTTCAGATATTTTTTTGATGAAACTAATTCCATTATCTACATTTCGCCTTGTTCAGCATCATATCATAAGTGGATATAGGCTATACATATTTTTTATTCTTTGAAACTTTTTGTATATTTGAATAATATTTACATAAGAAATTGCCACATTTATTTTAAACCTTTAGAAAAATAAGATGAAACGTAGGCATCATATACTTGACTGTACAACACGTACCGTAGTTCCTATGATGTGCAATATTCAATATTGGGACCAATATTGAAGTTTCATATGAACAGGGTAATGAACAGCGGTTTAATTTAACCTATATATTTTATGAAATGTATATGCACACATATTGAAAGGAATTGTCTTTTTCATTAAATTTGTTTGTGTCGTTTTATAGACAAAACAATGATGTGTATTGATTGGCCAGGTGCGCTGTTGTCACAAACGTTTTACGATTCACTATCAATTCAAATTCGATTATAAAATATTGTGATGACAGGATATCAAACTGTAACTATATTTCCATGAAAATTGTAAAAACAAATATGAACCATGTCATGTCTCAATTGGGACAAACCGTACATAATTATTCTGAGAGTTCCATACAAAAAGAGCTCTCTTTTGGCATCTTTCATTGTATATTATGAAGAGAAATAGCCACATAATCCTAAACAAAGAAAAGTCTTATCCTAAAAGATATATTCGGGTGTTGTGAAATATTCTTTTTCATTTATGTTACATTGATGTCAAACAGGTGCGCGTGTTGTTCACATTAAGATACAAAGTCAAACCGTCTAATTGTCGATCTATACAGGACATTATTCAAATGGCAAAATCAGTCATTGTATGTTCCGTCGAAAGAGCATGCCCCTTATCTTTATCCGTTTATGACGTCGTCGTTTGACGTCATAGAGGAAAATCCATTTTCGACATTTATTGCGAGTCATTTTTAAGATTTTTTAAGATTATAACGTTATACATAAGAACACAAATCCATTTCATATATACTTACGTCGTTCAGATATCAGGCAGTATTCTGTCCGCACACACTTTCGGTATTAAAGATACCAAGTTGAAAGAGTCGTCGCACTGTGCAGGATAAAAAGCGGAGAAATTTACTGGGTTTTTTTAACGCATAACAAAATCTCGGACACCTTACGCCTAAGTATTTACACTTGAATGTATACCATCCGAGAGATAACTGATATTCTACATTTCTGTGTAATTATAGCCATAGGTAGATCCATTAAATCTACCACATAAGCGCAATTCTCGCTTCATCCTAAAACAATATGCATCAGCGCTTGGGGCCAGGGATTGGGAAAGGCAGGGGCCATGCACATTAGATTATAAAAGGGCCCATTAAAATTTTGAAGTTTACTATTGATAAAAGGGCAGTGGCCCATTCTAAATTCAGAAAATGGCTAATATTCCTGAAAATGGCCCATTGTCAAAGTTGTCTATCCCAATCCCTGTTGGGGTGAGTGTTCCTGACCGACTTCTTTCCACCTTGTCCTACATACATACAGGTAGAGACTGTCTTGTCCTACCTATATACAGGTAGAAACGGTCCAGTTTCCAGTTCAAGTCCTACTTTTCTCTTTTAAGTTGCCGGCGGCTGCACACGGCACTAATCATAACCAACACACGTGGACTGAGATAGAGTCTAGCAACATGGCCGACACAGTTGGGAAGGTAATGTAGTCACGATTGAGTACTGTCGGTAGGACGTGAAACAAATCATGACAAATGTTAAAGTTGTGTGAAAGATCTCGCTAGATATGCTGCAGTCATAAGACCAACGCGGTTTGCACATGTGCTTTCGTGTTGATGCAGATATTCCACCGATAGCGTGAAGTAGTGTATCTCTAGTCGCTGTCACCGGTATTTGTCGGTCTCGGCTAGTTTCTGTGTACAAACCAAATGCAGTGTTTAATATTTAACATTCAGTTGTCAATAAATTGCCTGAATCTGAAACAATGTATGTCCCCGAAGTTTTGTTCGATTGTTATTAAAGTATAATGTGTATGTAAATGAACAATGACTAGTTGTTTGCTTCCGCTGCGTGTCCGCCCACTGGATTTTGTACATTAATGTGAGTTAGTACACTGTTAAAGGGCCACTGATCCAGAGCGATTATTGTTTCCAGCCAACAGTCTAATTACGAAACCTAGCTGCAAACTGGTCAGCCTCTGCACCCTCGACCGTGACGGACACGGGGGCTGGGCTACTGTCCACCCTGGCAGAATTTCTTCCACCTAATCAGTGGGACATTAGTAAGGGTGGATGCCCATCAGATGCCCTTATTTGAAAATATCCTGGGTAGTTCTTGTCTGATTGTAATAAAGTATCCCAGCAGTGTAGGCTTTTTCAGATTTTCAAATGTTTGGATGGTATAGTGACTGATCCAATTTGATCCTATTTCTGTGTTTTTTACCTCAATATTTAATCATGTAAAAATATGATGTCTATTACGTATGCCATATCAAAAACACACATTTGATATATCACAAAGCGAGCTGAATTCGACGTTCTGGTGTTCTCGACGATTGCATTGCTGGCTCTATATCTGGGGAGTAAGTGTGCGATTGGTTAGCACAAGCAATTTCATCGGCAGGGCAGATGCCCAGTCACTGTCGTGAGAAGTTTTACTGACTATTGAAAACTGGAAGTTATGTTGTTTAAAAAGCAAACAAACATCAATATTATTTACCCAAGATTGTTAATACCACTTCAGATGCAAAATCGATTGCCTTTATAACAAAAAATAGCAAGCAAAAATTCAGTAAGATCATTCGTGACTGGTGACAGGCAATATTTAAATAGAGAGCCACGTTATCACAACACTCCTTCGCAGTGCGGAGCGAAAAGTATGGCTCATCGTCGAAAACCCATAGAAAATCCACGCATGTGGCGAACGGCAACAGTTTCACAGATACGATGTCATCAACCTTATTTTTGTAGGAAACACTTGATATTTTTGTGTGAAATAGATGAAAACATCCTTAACACCCAAGGTTAGTAAAATTAAAACTTCAAATGATATTACAGATAAAAATTAAGTTTTTGTCTTACATCGTCGAAAACCCCTGATACCGGGATATTTGAATCCATAAACTAAACAACCCCACTTCACCATTGCAAAATAAATCTGAAATTTTTCTTAGGTACATAGGTATATACAGTTTTTAACTAAGTACACAGCAAATGCTTATATATATTTCTTATTTAACAATGAAGTTCCGTTCGTATCCTCAAAACAGTGTCTGCCCATAAGTTTGGGTTTTTTTTCAGGCAATCAAACTTGCATGCAATACAGCGATTACTACTCTCTTGCTGTAACCCTTGTTTGGTGGTAAACCTACACATGTTATTTGTCATCATTCACTTGATGGTCAGTTAATGAATTTATAACAGGCATAATTAGTGGTAACACACTTAGATTACCCGACAAAGGTTCCCATTTTGGATTTCTTGTGTCTGGAGTAAATACTCATCATTATAAATTGAGGTCTGATGTGGCAAATGTATTACATCTTATGTAATATGCGCATGGAAGTGCAGTAAGAGGAATTATCAGCTGAGTTACAAAACAAACATCGATCAAAGGATTAACCGATAACACGCTGATTGATTAATTGCTTTTATCCTGCACAGCAGATTTGTCAAAAGGTAGTGTTTATGTATGTAGATTCGCAAAGTCTCTTTGTAAAAACAACGTCCTTCCTTCAAAGGATTAACCGCCAATACATTAATTGATTGCCCATTATTGGCTAACTAAATTACTTTTTGATGATGATGGGTTTCCTAATCTCAAATATATGATGTTAGTAATGAATGATTCAAGATGCCCCAAGATTATATAATACAACAGTAATACTTTTGTCATTACCTTCACTGGTTGTACGAATCTTAGAGTTATAAGTGAAGCGAAATACTGTGTCCTATACAGGGTCCCGTTTCACAAAGCTCTCGTAAGCCTAAGATCTCGTAACTTTTCTCGTAGTATTCGTACCTCCTATGTTACAGTATTGGGGCCACGAGTGCTACGAGGAAAGTTACGAGATCTTAGGCTTACTAGAGCTTTGTGGAACGGGGCCCTGGTGGATATAGAGAATCATTAATAGACACAACTGATATCTATTAATCTGTGAAAACAACAGCATTAATATTATACAATTATAGACTCTTGTAGAGGTCAATAAAAACCGATATCGACCTCTGCAAGAGTCTATAATTGTTTTATTATATTTTGAAAGAGAAACGGGTTTTAACATAAACTTTTAATGCACACACTGTGCCATCTATCCGAGTGATCTGATTGGCTGAAAAGCGGGGGAAGCCCCTTCGTACGGGATTCCTTGTCTATTTTTAGTAACCCAAGTCAATATCGTAAGTTATCAGAAAACTCAAGTCAATATTGTGTTTTGTAGTCAATCATGTGACGGTATTTTGACCAATCGTGATACAGGAAAAATACTACCTATATAATAAAAGTTATTGTTATTCTGGTAATAAGTACCAAAATATATAGCTCGAACAGTCACATAGGTTTGAAGCAATTCTACTGAGATTACATCACTACCTCCTCTAGAAATTATGTCTTTGAACAGCATTTAGAACTGATACACTTCATAAAAGGAGGGGAGAATTTATGGAGGTCAACTTCTTTATTATGTTCCTCATAATAGACAAGTTGACATCCATAAATTCTCACCTTCTAGGGGCGTTGGGGTAACCTAGTGGTTAAAACGTTCACACGTCACACAGATCACTTGGGTTCGATTCCCCACATGGGTGCAATGTGTACAGCCCATTTCTGGTGTCCCCCCACAGTGATATTGCTAAAAGCGGCGTAAAACCATACTCACTCACCTTCTAGAAATTCAAAAGCATGATGATGTCCAATCTGGTTTTATAATTATGCCAAATGAATGTAATTGTGTATCCGTTTTCTGATATAAGTTCCCATGTCCATATGTGTTTTTGTAACAAAATAATAAATGCTTTGGTATGATGATGTCACTTTTGGTTTAGATGAAAGCAGATATGTACAGGTATGGTGATCAGAAAATCATGTGTCTCTAACATCTTTGTGATAGATATCACAATCAAAAGCAATAGATATCTTCAATCCAAGATGGCTGCTAAACCACTTGACCTTCAGATATGGTTGGTTGAGATCTAGGACAACCTGATAAGGAGAATCTGTGTCAGATTTCACAAACTCATCACAAACTACAGTTGTTAATGGTTAACACCATTGGCCATATTTAACTAGTCTGCTGATATGTTTTGTCATTATTGCAGCTTAACTGTATTTGTAAGAAAACAACTAGTCCCTCTACATTTTCACTAGCCATACTACTGAATAGTGACTATGTGTGTCCCTGTAGACAACAACCCATGAAGGTCCGGGTTAAAATTGATCTTCAGCAACCCATGCTTGTCGTAAAGGGCGACTAACGGGATCGGGTGGTCAGGCTCAATGACTTAGTTGACACATGTCATCAGTTCCCAATTGCGCAGATCGATGCTCATGCTGTTTATCACTGGATTATCTGGTCCAGACTCGACTATTTACAGACCGCTGTCCTATAGCTGGAATATTGCTGAATGCGACCGCTGCCAAATAGCTGGAATATTGCTGAATGCTCACTCAAACTAACTCACTCACTCACTCACTCACTCACTACTCACTCACTCACTCACTCACTCACTCACTCACTCACTCACTCACTCACTCACTCACTGTAGACAACAAACAAGAACTTTCCAGTGAATTATTGGCATCAGAATGCATCACAAATACTATTTACCTCATAATTTATCAATGAAATTACACAGGGCATCTGAAGATTGACCTCAGTAAACCACTGTATCTAATCTGAATGTTATGAGCCTTCAGTCATTTGTTCCTTGATACAGACAATAACCTGCAAAGCCGCCGTGGCATGGGAGGCCAAGAAGCCCTTGACAATAGAAACCATTGAGGTGGCGCCACCCAAGGCAGGAGAAGTACGAGTAAAGGTGAGTGGTTCATGACATGAAGCAAGGTTTATGTTGGATAAGATCAGGAGTTCATTTTGTGTTTGGCCATGTCCTCACATGTCTTCTTTGTTTGTCAACATTTTCAGTTTATCAAACAAATTCAACATAAAATATGAGAAAATGCTTTAAACAAATTTAAAAACAAATACATGAAGAAAGTTGCAATGCATTAAAAACAAATTTAAAACATACATACTATGGTTTATTACAAGTCTTTTTAGGAGAATTAAGCATTTTCATCTGTCAAATGGGTTTGATACAAGAGGCTAATGACACACTCTGTTGAATGGGTTTAGGACAAAGTTGTCAGATGTGTCAAGGATGTGTGAGTCTATGCCCAACCCTGGGTTAATCTACTACGTTTGACTTGTTTGGACAGGTTCTTGCTACTGGAGTGTGCCATACAGATGCCTACACGCTTGATGGCTTCGATCCAGAGGGTCTGTTTCCAGTTGTGCTTGGCCACGAGGGTGGAGGAATAGTTGAGAGTGTGGGTGAAGGAGTCACGTCGGTGAAGCCAGGTAAGCACTCGTTGGAACTGTTCCTCTACTACTGACAGCCTGCGTGGTCTAGTGGGTAGAACTGGACAGAGCATCTGAGACTAGAGAAGGGAAGGTTGCTTGTATAGCCTTCCAGTTGCTTCATACCAAGAGACATTAATAGATGGCTGCTCAATATAACCGGTTTACCGGTATTTATCGGTTCAAACATGAAAACGATACGTATTGCGATACGCTGATCGAAAACCGGTATTTTGACATGCATTCGGAAAACTTCGTAACACTCGGACATCTTCGGATATTTCCGTTTTTTAGATTGTTCCTGTCCTTGTTTCATTTGTGCCAAACATTATTTACATTTTTATTTTGTCATGATTAAAAGTTATTATTAAAGCCTAATCAAGCATTGTGATTTTGTTGTGTTTTTGCTTTATAAATCAAGCATTAACTCGATTGTAAGTAATTTCTTGTCAAAAACAATTTCTTTCAATATATTGCAATACATATCGCAATACAAGGTTTCGCATCACAATATATCGCAATACGAAAATTCCCTGCAATACCCACCCCTAGTTTCAGACATACCTATCAGCATGAAAACTTCAAAAGTCTCAGTTCTAGGGGTAAACTCATGACAGATACTTGTTCTGAGTGTAAATAAATAAAACTGCTCAATTATTTGGTTGTCGATATTTACCATTAATTCCTGAGCACTGTGGCATATACACCCAGTGGGAACACATTCAGATAAGTATTTGTGTACCATGTTGTATTTTGGTGAAAATTGAAAATTCCAAATCAGGGTGCCGTTGTACAAAGCGATCTTAGCTCTAAGGTGACCGTAACTCCCATACCTTAACATAGACTTAAGGTAGTCTTAGCGCTAAGGTTGTTTTGTACAACGGCACCCTGGACAGTATATAAATGATTTTAGAAAGCTGACAGCTGACTGGTTCAAGAACTGACAGTCTCCATTTAGATAAGGCAAGCAAAGTTGGTTCAGTGTTCACCTTACAAGACCTTTGATGGAGGTGTAGTCCTCCCATCAATTCTAGACCCTGTTGTACTGAAATCCCCACTGTACTGGGCCGCCTCCGTGGTGTAGTGGTTAGAGCGTCCGCCTGGAGAGCGGAAGGTCGCGGGTTGGATCCCTGACCGCGTCATACCAAAAGACGTTAAAATATTGTACTTGTTGGTCCCTGCCTGGCGCTCGGCATTAATGGGTACAACAAAAAGGACTGGTCGGCTCGGAGTCGGTATAAGTGGGGTATTCATGCTTCACTGCAGCATGGTATCTCAGTGAGCTAGCACTATAAAACCTGCTTAGGTCTGGGCTAGTACAAGCAGCCGCACATACATATACACACGCATGCACGTCGTCATATGAGCGAAATATTCTGAAGCAAGACGTTAAAACCCACTTCACCTCACCTCACCCACTGTACTGTGTTTCAGGCGACCATGTGATTCCGTGCTACATTCCTCAGTGCTATGACTGCAAGTTCTGCAAAAGCACCAAAACCAATCTGTGCTCAAAAATAAGGTAAGAAAAGGGTGGAGACAAAACACCTTTCCACAATATGAAAATAAATTGTGACTTTCTTATTGGTCTGTATCCTGACACACCAGTTGTATTCCCTGTAACTAGTGTTTCAAAATATTTCTGTTCTTTCAATCTTGGGTAAAGACTACACTGATCCCTGATCTTAATATAATGGATTTGGAAAATAACCTCGATCTGTCATAACTGGCAAGGAAATGTTAAACTGACTGTGAAAGGACTTCAAATCTTGAAGAAACATGGGTTGAGGAGAGTGGAGGACAATTCCCACATTCCCCATTTATACACATGGACTGTGAATGTGAATGTGAAAATGAAACAACCAGCAACATAGAATATGTATCATTGTTATGTTCACAGTTTGACTATAATATTAGGAATATTAAAGTTCAGCATGACTTTTACTAACATCTTACCAGCTGGAAGAGTTTAACATAGAGTACACGAAGTAATTAGATCACTTCATTCTTGAGGTTGAAAGGACACAAATCCTGGAAAAGATGTCCTAGTTATATTGTGGTAGATATTTATCTTTCCACTTAATAATGTAACTCACAGGTGCACTGGACAGTTTTCAATATCACAAACCCTAATGAGATTATATATACATGGTCACATCTGGTGATGGTTAACACCAGATGTCCTATCTACAGTTAGACAACATGACAGTCTATTTTTAGTTTCAGTATCCTTACAGTGTTACATGTTGAAATGAATACATCCTCTGTCCCAACCAAACATCTTATCTTGCTGATTTTTAGAAAAGCAAAAGTTATGGGGTATGAAGGGAAACGTCCTAATTGTAGTGTTGAATGGTCTGGTGGGGTAATGTCCGAGGGAGTGGAAGGTTGATGGTACAATTCCTGGCCACAAAATGGTACTTGTTGTTGCCCTGCCTTGGTCAGCAGCATCAACGAGACAAAGCAAGAACTGTTGAGCTGAGAGTCTGGCTATTTTGGCACCATTGTTAACTGTGACTTAGTATCTCACTGACCTCTATAAAACCAACATTAGCCTAGACTAGTATTACAGATTTTTAAAAGTGTTGGAATAACAGACAGTTGTTTCTAAGGGACCGTTCATAATTTATGTCCGGCGGGGGGGCCGGGTGGTGGGTGGGTGTGTGTTTGATGATGATGATTTATATGGAGAAGCATGTACAATGTGAATATAACCCCACCCCCCATCCCTTTCTAAAATTTATGTACAAAGTAAGTGACCCCCCCTGAATGTCATGTACAAAATCAATCTCCCCCCCCTCCAATATTTTTTTAGCATAATTTAAAAATATATGTATGTACAAAGTTGCTGACCCCCCTAGAAACTTGTACAAAATTGATGACCCTCTCACCTCCCCGGAACAAAATGGGTGACCCACACACCACCACCATCATCATAAACCCCCCACCCCCCACCCCCAGCCATAAATTATGAATGGTCCCAAATCTTGTATAGAGATAAAATCTAACCAACATTTTGTTTGGAATATATTTAAGATCTACTCAAGGCGCTGGAGTAATGCCCGATGGCACGTCCCGGTTCACTTGTAAGGGGAAGCAACTCTACCACTTCATGGGCACCAGCACATTCAGTGAATACACTGTTGTTGCTGAAATATCAGTTGCCAAGGTAATTGTTTTTAAAAGCAACAAAAACAACAATTATGTCATTTATTTTGCATTGTGTGCCTCAAAGGTTTTGAATCTACTTTCACTAAATTGTCCCTTGTCATGATTACAAGTATGTTGTAACTTGTAAATATATGGATGATTGTTAACCAAGTGCATTTAATTTTTGCTGGACTTGGCCTTAAGTATTCTATGAAGCCTATGACTGTTCTGTCCATCACTGCTGATTGATGAGGAAACACAAGCTGCCTCATTCTTGTCAGGTGCTTAGATTGAAGGCCATATGTCAGGTGCTGCATTAGCATCACAAGGTCTAGGAGTCCTTCTCAGCAGACTTTTCATTATGCAATGCCCCATGTTCTGTGTCCCCCTTAAAGCTGATTGTTCTGTGTGCCCCTTGTATAGTGGTGGTTCTTGTGTGTGCAGGTTGATGACGGAGCCCCATTGGACAAAGTGTGCCTTCTTGGGTGTGGGATATCCACTGGATATGGTGCTGCCCTCAACACTGCTAATGTGAGTTTGAACCTGGAAGATGACTGTAGCTATTATGTATAATTATGGAAAATGAGAGCTTTCATATGAACTGTGACATCTGATAATTCTGTCTTTGTTATTATGGTTTATTCACCACCTAGTCACTAGCCACAAGAAATGAACAGTGTAGTCATAGGAAGTTTCTTGACCTGGCTATTGAACCTTTCAGGTTGATGCTGGTTCCACTTGTGCTGTATGGGGTCTTGGCGCTGTTGGTCTGGCCGTCATCATGGGATGCAAGAAGGCAGGAGCCAGTCGTATAATTGGCATTGACATCAACCCGGACAAGTTCGAGACTGGTAAACTTATGTTGTATCGTATTGATCATATTGATAGTTCATTTGCTAAGAATGATGGCTGTTTTATAAGGACTGTATCAATTCCCTTGGGTAATCCTGGGAATGACCAGATCCTCAGTGGAATATTATTATCCCCTTCTTGTTGCAAGAGATTTGTTAACTGCATGTCAGTCCCCCTGATAGTTTGCTAGGCTTACCACCTCCTTTCTCTGGAAAAGACGACACAGTGGAATTTAATTATGATGGATTTGAAAAAAAGTCTTATCTTCTCTGATTGTTTCTAATTTGGCTGACAATGACTGAGAGATTCCTATTGTTTTGTAGCCAGGCAGTTCGGAGCTACAGAGTTTGTGAATCCCAAAGATCATGAACGTCCCATCCAGCAGGTTCTGGTGGAAATGACAGATGGTGGTCTTGATTATACATTTGAATGTATCGGCAGCGTGGCAACTATGGTAAGTTTTGAATGTATGGAAGGTGTAAGAATTGTTTTTGAAATATGAGATAGTCAAATAGCAAAGGGGTCAGAAATGTTACAGAAAAACATTCACTCACTCACTAACCCTTTAATCGTTTCTGCCAGAGGGCTGCACTGGAGTCTTGTCACAAGGGATGGGGTGTGTCCACCATCATCGGTGTTGCGGCTGCTGGACAGGAGATCTCCACACGCCCATTTCAGCTGGTCACTGGTCGTGTGTGGAAAGGGTCAGCTTTCGGGGGTAAGTTGTAGCTTCTGAATGTGTGGGTAGACTCTGAGATTCTTTCTCTCTCATACACTCAGGTGTTTGTAAATTTTTGTTCTCATAGTCGAAGTAGACACAATTTTTGGATACCAACTTCTTCCATATACTGTTTGTATGTAGTGACATTTTGTTAGAGATCTTCATACTCAGTAGTGCTTGACCAACAGTTTTAGGATTTGTACCAAAACAACACTGAAATGGACTGTTATTAATAATTTGTGTCTGTTTTGACATCCATCAACTTGTAAGAAAATTCATTTTCCAACTGTGTAAGAAAATTCATTTTCCAACTGTGTGCTGTGTTACCAGGCTGGAAGAGTCGAGACAGTGTGCCCAAACTTGTGCTGGAGTACATGAAGAAGGAACTGAAGGTGGATGAGTTTGTCAGTTTCACGTTTCCCCTTGAGCAGGTCAACACAGCCTTTGACTACATGCACAGTGGCAAAAGGTAGATATGCTTGTGTCATAATACCTAGTGGTCTGCAAAGAATTCGAAGAAACAGACAATGACCCCTTTCAATGTAGTATTATCGTGTCATTTTCAAAACTTATGGGGCATGACTCTTTGAGATCATACAAAGAGTAAAAGCTAATTATACACAGCTTTTTAAGCAGTTCATGAAACAGAACTGCGCCAAAATTATGTGGGCATATAATTTATTCTAATGCCAGCCGTACAAGGATTTTTGATACAGAGATTATTCTTCCATGGACATGGAGGGAGCTGGGGAGGTCAGTGTTGTGAGGTATAAGAAGAAGGAAAAGGCTTTAATGCAATTATGATAAACTTGGTATTTACTTTCTGTAGAATGGGGCGCGCTGCCTTGTCAGTAAATGACACAGTTCTACAAGTAATATAAAATATTAAGACTGAAAGAGGACTAATATATGTATATAATTAAACTATCGTCATCATTTTGAACATGCTCAAATACTCCTTCAAACTTTTGTTTTGCCATGTGTCTAGTACAGTGAACAATGGGACCAGTGTTGATGACACCAGGCTTACAGACCTAAATAGGAGATTCAATAGACTGTCCTGAAACCTATCATTTCAGATTTATTAGTCTTACATATTCCATGGTGTTACTTTTGTATTCAAGTTTAGGCTGAACACTTTAGGTGCTAGCAAACACTTTGTATGAATATTTAAGAAAATAAACTAAACTTGACTGAGTAGAAATGACTGGTTAACATGTTTTGAAAATATCTCACACCAAATAATCTTATATTTTGTTGATTTGCAGTATACGCTCTGTGGTGACACTGAGCTAGATCCAGATGGCTTCTAAAATATCCTAGCTGACTGCGTAATGTGACAACACCATGTGACTTCTGCCAACTTCACTCCATACAACCAATTGTGCTGCTTTAATGGTTAATACAGAAAAAGGATTTCATGCATTCATGACATGTATTTTGTAATGATTTATATGATGAGAACCAATCAGGACAACAGGTGGAAATTGTGTTTCTCCGTGTGGATCGGTGGACTTTCTTTCTTACAACAGTATAGTACTCAGAGGAACTGGATTAAACTGTGCTGTAAATACTTTTGTTTTGTTCTGTCATGTTTTCTGCAGTGTATGCTTCTCTGTGTGAAGTATTCAAAGAATAATCTATTTGTTGTGGAGAGTTACATCCCTTAGGGATTGCAGTATCCTGTGAATGTGGGGTGGAATGATAAAGAATTTATCAGCACTGAAAACGTTCTGACAAAAAGATCAAGAAGTCCTTCCTGTTTGATTTCTTTCCCCAATGAAGTAGTGTCCGGGGGGATATTGATGAATTTGGTATACGATCATGGGATAGTAGATTTGCCAGAAACATGTGCTCCAAAAGAGTCATCATTGGCAGCTAAAATTCACCAGAGAAAATACTAGGCTTTAGATTGAAGTATGTTGAGAAAGTTATTCAGGTGTACAGGGTTTGACATCCTGTAGCATCCCTGGCTATACATCCGAAATGTTTGAACGAAGCAATTACGAGAGCAGAACACCCAACAAGGATGTCTACCTGCATGTCCAGTTTTGTTACTATGTCTTCAAGAAAAAGTCTGTCAAGGTGAAGTTGAGGTGACAATATGGAGTAACGTTTGTCCTGGTCTACTGACACTTAGGTGTGACCTTGACCGCAGTTGTGGTCGTTTACCGACTTTGTAAATCGAGCTGCAATCCACGAAATATGATCACTGACACTGAGTTTGACATTGTCTTTTTCCGACATCATAATTAGGTCTGTGGTTTTGAGGCAGTGTATTAATAGAACATTCATGGGTGTTTAAGAACAGTTTGTGGCCATATAATTGTAGAATAATATATTGTAAAGAAGCAGTGGTTTGGCATGATTAAATATTCTATATACCCTATACGGAATAAACACGTATTTAGGTCACCAAGGCTCGCTTACTACAATGTTTGTCGAATTTCTTAATCCGAAACCGCACTCGCGCGATGACTTGTTTACATTATGAGGTAATATTTAAATTGAACTCGGTTAGCAACACCCCTGACCCGAACGTTGCTTGACTGCCAATGTGTACATGCTGGTGGAGATGATGCTGACGGTAGGGGCGTGTCCCGCTTACAAACAGCGTTAGAAAGTCATAAAGGTCTCTGAGCGTGACACGCCCCCTATGGTGCCGGCAAACCATGAATCGCAAGTTGGGTGTTCTGTCATCCCTCGGCAACAACCATTCCTCGCACCCTGCATGGTCCACTAAACAAATTGCATATGAAATTCGTTGCTTTCATTTCAGAATGGGCGAGTTTGTTTGCAAACAAGAGAAAGGTCACGTTATATGTAAGAGTTACTTACAGTGGTTTAATTATGAGACAGCGTTGTGTCGGAATCTGAAGCAGGTCAGTGCTTGTTTATTCCTTGACACACTCGACTTTCTGGATAAGTAACATTCATATCGTCGCAGCGGACGACGTTCTTGTCGACACACGCTCCCTCGCCCTTCTGATCTGCAGCGACAATTTCCTCGGCGTGGTAGGTGGCGTATTTGTATCGGCGAGCTACAAGAACAAAGCCGATGAAGTTGACGAACATCATGGCGCCCAGCAAGAAGAACAGATACTCTGCCTTTCCATTGTTGATGTCGTCCGGGAGCCACGGATCTGGATAAGCAATTGTCAGTATATGTATGAGTACATATAATACGTCAACTACACCGCCTACAGAGGTGTGGACCCACCTTACAAAGCGACGTTAACGGTACGAATGTTATAACTCCTTGTTGAATAAGCGTTACTATAATAGCATGTAGCGTTACTGGTGCCAGTGAGACCGTCTGCTGAATGATAGCTAATGGATGTTGGGAATTCTGACAGCCGACCTATGTATGACGTTGTAATTGACTGTGCAGAGTTGCGTCCCTTTGAAGAATCCCTGGTTCGATTCACTGATTTGCCAAGGTTGTAAACCTTGGTTTGATTTCACCATATATCCGAGAATTCACAGAAGAAAATATCTACGAGGATCCTTCCGAAATGAATTTGACGTGCTGTGATATAACTGGAATATAGTTCAAGTTGACATTGAAATCAACTCCCATACATGTATATTCTGCTACCCCACTCGAAAGAAACCGTATGTCATCCATGATAAAGCTTGAATATTGCTGCACCCGGCGTGCAACAGCAAGAAAGGCTTATAACAATGTCGGACAATAGCAGGTCGTTGGAAACATATGTCCATGTAAAAGCATAAGTAAAGGTGATAATAGGATTTATTACCTACGAGGACAAAAATATCGGGGTTCATATTTTTCATACGATGCCTTAGGGCAAAATATCACTTTGTCATGGTGACGTGACGTCATGAACAATGCTATGACGTCACGTTTCTTCTATGACGTTGCGTTCTACATAGGCGACGACAGGTATAGCCTAATGTTTGAAAGTAGATTTGGGTGTATTTTTCTCAATTTGACGACTTCGGTAATAAACAGAATATTATATTCGTGCCCAATATCATACTATGTTTACGACATTCGTGCCTAAATATCGGTATATCCCACGCTCTCGCTCGGGAAATACCAACATTTAGGCACTCGTGTCGTAAACATAGTATGACATGGGCACTCATATAATATCCTCTCTATGTTAAAGTTAGTCTCCATTACATTAACACGGGCCACTGTTGTGCTTCAGTTGGATGGATTATATCTGTGGGCAGTGATATATCTCTCTTTTGTGTGCAGTTGATCCCGGTAAAATAAAAATGTTCTCTGTTGCCCTGGCGATGTCAATAAATCACACAAGCACTGCATCACAACTTACCGTCTTTCGTGGCTACTTCAACTATTTTAAGAATGGCCGATGAAACAAAGGTGCCAAGTCCCCAGGTCATCATAAAAAACCCTGTGAGAACTCCCTGCATACAAGGGTGCGCTTGAGTAAACGCAAACTCTAGCCCTGGAAAAAGACATGGTAAAGTTACAAAAACCAAAAAGATTAATAATATATCAATACATAATGACCATACCGCAGTATTAAAGTGTAGTGGAACATATTATTCACTTATCATTGTGCTGCGTTGGCGGGTTTTTTGTTTGTACCCTGAATGTGTGCCATTGTACCCATAGGCCTAGGGCTTGCCTGGTGCAGACGCAATTGTAAGCAATATCCCAGCTGTTATGGCGATCTGTAAATAATCGATCTAAGACTAACCAACGCAGCGATTGATACTGAGAGCAAAAACGCCTGGGTAACGAACACTCCACTGTTACAAGACATATACAGTTCAGTGGAAAATTCATTAATAAAAAGTACAAAACGTACGGGACTTAGGATACATCTTTGTCTTACTCCACGGGAGGTATCAAACGCTACGCCGCTAGGTGTTTCATGATGTGCTCATAATAAAGCCAATCACCGAGCTTGACCATCCGATCCATTAACCTGCATTGGTTGCTGGAACCAGTCCTTACCAGGAATAACCATAGTCTACGAACGTACTTAATAACGGGGGCGCAAAACAACATTCATTCACTTTACTTCACATATGGTTTACCCTGTCCAGGCCCGACCATATTGTAGACCGTCGTGATATAACGCGGGTTTCACTGTCTGCCATGTAATGCCTCGGTTGTCCACACACCTCACCACATTCATTTGCTGTTAATTACGACTCACCTGTAATGCTGGCAAACACTTCACTTGCACCGACTAATGCAAACTGTGGCACCTGCACAAGCACTGACATGGAAGAAGCGTTGAATTTCTCATCTCCAAGCACCTGAACGACGGCTCCATGGACTTGGAGGTCCTGCTTCCGGTACATCTCCACCACCCCTGCCGTTACCACAGAGCCCCCCACCAGCAGGAGACCCACCCCTGCAGGGAGAGTAAAGTGGGTGACACATCTCGTTAGACAAATTAACAGAATAGAAACTAGGTTGTGTGGTAAATTCTGGATTTTAACGGGGGTGTCAGTTTCCGCATAATCTGTTCTGTTACACGTGTAAGATATTTTGATGAAATTGTACATACAGTTTCATTAGGTATAGGGGCGGTGGGGTAGTCTAGTGGTTAAAGCGTTGGCTCGTGACGCCGAAGACCCGGGTTCGATTCCCCACATGGGCACAATATGTGAAGCCCATTTCTGGTGTCCCCCGCTGTGATATTGCTGGAATATTGCTAAAAGCGGCGTAAAACTAAACTCAGTCAGTCAATAGGTATAGATCTAAAATATAGTAGTTACTTTAATTTCACGTGAACATGCTTGCTGACAGCAGCTTATATTTTCCCTCTTTTAAATTGTTTTATTCTGTCTGTTTAGTTTTGTCATGTTTTGATAAGAACCTAATTATTAATGAAAGTCGTCATTAGTGTTCCCGCGATGCCCTATATCAATTCAGTCTAAGTAGACTTAGGCTCAGTATTATTCGTTACACTGCTACACTGACTGTCAGCATAGCAGTGTAACGAATAATACTGAGCCTAAGTTTACTTAGACTGTATATCAGTTGTATACTATTATTCACACGATGTATGCTTTGTTCTTTCTAAAACATTTGTCACTTAGAGATAGAAATACTTTCAACAATACCTTGATAGGTTTGCATTAACTGGCATGGATTAGACGGGTGCCTCACCAATTCTCTGAAGCTGTTTGAGGGGCCGACCCAACCTCCTGAAGAGCGGGTATATCAGCCGGTCTACGAGAGGGATGAACACAAGGATGATGAGGATGTCAAAGATCGTCAACATGGCGGCGGGGACTTTGACGTCACCAACTTTAACGTTCAGGCTCTCTGATTGCAGGAAGAAGGTGGACATCATCTGTACAATTGTATTTGAAAACAAATATGCTGTTCACTAATATAACATTCAACCAATACATTTCTAGAGATACTTGAGCTTGAGAGGTATTTCAAGTGATTTTGTGTGGCAGCAATGACGCCAAGGCTTGTATAATTGTTCTACGTTGAAGTTTAAGTTTATAGCTGTAAAGAAACATTGCAAGTTGGATCGTTTGCAAATATAATAAAAGGCAAACTGGGGGTAAATACTACGAGACACGGGTGATTGGAGGCCCTTTAAAAACAGACTTGCGTATTAACTAATAACTACTTGCCAAGTATGGATCGGACTCATACAGTACAGAATTCAGGAGACTAAAAGTGCAGTGAGTGCGCTGATAGATATTATAGAACTAAGTATGACAGCGTATTGCAACATTTCCAGACAGCTTGGATTAGCGTCATATCCAGAGTAAAGCACGGTAATAAAGACCTTAATGGGGGGACCCATTTCGACTTAGGGACCGTTCATAATTTATTTTTTTATGTTATTTTATTTTATTTTTTTTTTGGAACGGTTTCGTGGTGGGTGGTGTGTTTTGGGGGCTGTTGATGACGATTTTTTAAAATATTTTTTTTTGGGGGGGGGTTCCACCCATTTTGTTCCGGAGAGGTAAGGGGTCAGCAATTTTGTACATAGATGTTATAAAAAATTCTGCTTAAAAATTATGGGAAGTGGAGGGGGGTCACTTATTTTGTACATGTTATGCCGGGGGGTCACTTACTTTGTACATAAATCTTAGGGGGGGTCATTTACATTGTCCATTCAAATCATCATCATCCCCCCTAGTCATAAGTTATGAACGGTCCCTTAAGATACATGTATATGGAAAACAAAGGCCTGAACGAAAAAAGTTCGTTATACCCGATAGTTCGTTACAAGCGCGTTGCGTTATAAACGTAGGTTTACTTATTAGAATATTGTTGGAGGTTTGTGGTTACCTGAGAGTATATCACCCAGTAGAAGATCATGAGTACAAACACAGGCATGATTCTCAGGACACCGACGGCACCATCTACAGTGACGTCATCATAGGATCCGCCTTTCGTTTTCCTCATCTCTTCAAACTGTCCGCATCCTTTACGCCACACACTGAACACAGAAGTCAACACACTTCCTGAAACAAAAATTGGGAGAGTAAATAGATGAGTGGAGGAGTAAGTGATTGAATGGATAGTTATCCTCTTATCAGCGTAATCGGAACCAAATCTGAGGATCACGATAAGCACTTTGACCGACATGTACCGGAGGAGCGTTGGGCACAGCTCTGTCGTATTCTTTAACCATTTCCCAATTATCTTTAATTCTCTGCTTGTGAGAAACTTGCAATATTTCAAAGACGAAATATATATGAACATTGTATACAAAAACAAATATAAATTTGCCTGCATGCGAAAATAATATTCACATGGAAATGTTTTATTATGATTACTGTCCAACCGACTACTTTATATTCTACTTTTGTTAACAGTATTAATATATATTTGTATATTTCAAACTTTTAATATATTTGCAGATTAAGAAACACATTTACAACGTCAAATTTCTTTCTGAGAAAAAATTATCCGACCAATTTCTTTGTAACTAGCACGTGTAATTTCAGAACATCCAGACCCGTGAAGGTCCCGGTTAGAATGAACCTTCAGTAACCCAGGCTTGTCGTAAGAGGCGACTAACGGGATCAGGTGGTCAGGATCGCTAACTTGGTTGACACATGTCATCGGTTCCCAATTGCGCATACCGATGCTCATGCTGTTAATCACTGGATTGTCTGGTCCAGACTCGATTATTTACAGACCGCCGCCATATAGCTGGAATATTGCGGAGTGCGGCGTAAAATTAAACTCACTCGCTCTCACTCGGTCAGAACATCCAGCTTTTCCAGTGAACTATTTCTTTGTGTAAAACCCCATGAGGAAATAATTTTCGCCAACAGATAGTTTTGTCAAAAGCAACTCACTGTGTGTGTAGTACATACCCGCTGGTGGTGTGTGCCGGTACGTTCCCCGGGCCAGGACCAAGACCACAAGGGCTATACTCATGCTGAAGAAGGGGACAGACAGTCCCCACACCCAGCTGATGTTCTGCTGCAGGTACGCCACACCAGAGTAGGCGACCAGAGCTCCGGCATTGTTGACCCAGTAGAACCTGGGAGACAGCAAGTCACATGGTCAAACACCATAGGGAACACCTGTAACCGCCTCATGTGTTTCACATTTAGATCTTTCGATCTTTGGTTTGATCAAGTCAAAACGTTTAACATATAGGGATATTTCCAAATTTGAAGAATCGGTGACAAAAATAAAGCCTATTGTAATTCCCTACTTCGATTTCTACCATATGTTTCAGGGTGTTGTTTTTTTTTCAGATGAAAATTACTTACTTTTGCATGTCAGTGTGAGGCGGTGAGCCACAGGTAAGACAGGTTTCATAGACATATGGGAAGACTGTTGTCTGTATCATAATTTACCAATTGAAGAAGGATTGCACGGCGTGCTCGCCCAGCCCTTGCACCTGCAGCGCCCCGAACGCCCCAATATTGGCCCTGATGCTACTGGTGCCCATGGCAACAAACACCAGACCTCCAAGAAAGTAGACACGTCTCGCCTCCTGGGAATACAACATTCAGTGTACATACTACAGTGAATGGGTAACATCAAGATAAAGTGAATCAAATTGTCAATTTATTGAAAATTATTTTACAAAAATATAAAACGTTTGTCCATTTGCAACATATGCTAAAAGGAGTGTGTATTCATCTGTTCATTTATTTGAGAGATTGACTCAAATAATTTATAAGTTAAAAATAACTTTTTGTTTTCTTTACTCCCCATCATGTTCCGTGAATGAGTAATAAAATTAAACTCTGACATCACAACGAAATAAATGGACATATTTTGCAGTCAGTTAAATAAAATATCTTGGGGGGCGGTGGGGTAGTCTAGTGGTTAAAGCGTTGGCTCGTCACGCCGAAGACCCGGGTTCGAATCCCCACATGGGTACAACGTGTGAAGCCCATTTCTGGTGTCCCCCGCCGTGATGTTGCTGGAATATTGCTAAAAGCGGCGTAAAGCCAAACTCAGTCAGTCAGTCAGTCAGTCTTAAGTATCTTGGCGTTGTCCCATTGACTGGTTTTGCACACAGTAATATAGATTTAAACTAAGAGTTGACACATATTCGATTCTTGAAGGCCATTTGAACGGAGTGTTCGGAGCCGAATCTGACACACGTAACTTTTGACGATGTGTTTGATTTGGCTGCGTAAATCGTAAACATTAATGCAAGGGGTCAATCGTCCGTTTCCATAAGCTGTATTAAGGTACAAACGAGCAGAATACGCAATACCTGAAGCGCTCGTAAAATAGCAAACCTACCCCCCACACTTACCAATGTCATATCATAGGCAGATCCATCCTCAGACCTGCCGAACACATCTTTATAATCCACAGAAGAGATAGGTATCATCACAAGACCTGCAGTGACACATTGAACATATCAACATATCATACAACAGGACAGTGATAAAACTGGTACTGGTACACCGTTCTGGAGAAAATGTTCAAAGGAATTGTCATGCTGGATCGGGTGGTCTGGCCCGGTGACTAGGTTGACTGGGCTGCCCGTGTTGACAATAACTGGTGGTATGATCTAGTCTTAATTATTTATAATTGGAATTTAGCTGAGCACGGAGATAAACGATGCATTACTTGTAGCTCACGATCAAAACATAAAAAATTACGGTTTCTTTTTAAAGAAAAACATTCCCAAAAGACCAAGTGTGCTTTTTTGTACGTCGGTTTATGTACAGCATCAGTGTTTTGGCTCTGCTGTCTGACCTATGCTTCGTAACAGTGGAGTGCCACGGAAGTGCCACGTGAGCTAGGTAACTCACATATGAGGTAGATGAGGCCCGCCCCCAGGATGGTGTTGTACCGGCCCGCCATGGAGTCTGCGATGTAGCCGCCCAGCACATTCAGGAATAACGCTATCCCTACACACAGAGTACATTTAGTGGACCACAAGTCGGCACATATAATCTAACAAATACACTGTTGTATAAAATATATTACGGACTAGTTCAAAATGAACGTCTTAAATGTTCTAGATGCCAATATGCTCAAACGCACGTGAACTATAGCATGGCTAAAGATTATTTTAACAGTATAATTTGATGTTGTGAAAGATATGACTTGACTCAGAAACAAAGAACAAAGACTCTGAATATTGTAACTCTTCGTTCATCGTTTAAACGACTTTACTTTCAGCTGATTTCTACTGAATACTGAAAGTAATCAGTCTTTTTTGTTTTAGTTCCAACGTCATCGATATTTGACAAATCAGACCGAGCCTTCTTCTACTGGTGGTTCCGTTGAGAGGTATGAAGGACCCACTGGTCGTGAGTTCGAATCCCTGGTTCGCAGTAACAATCATGTATTCCATGCCCTTTTTCGGATTTCTTCACATCGTGCTTTCCAGTTGCTAGAGATGTTTTTACTAGGAGCTATGTAGCTTGTTAACTTCAGAGAATAACCCGTCTTGGTTACCTGTCTGAATGCATGGATGCCATGCCCTTGAATGATCTGACAAAACTGATATTTTCATGAGTGGCAAATTTATTGTCCACGTTTTCATGTCGAGAACAACTAACTTACTATAGTTATATTTCAAAGTGGTTATCGGAATATGGTAGTCAGTCTCACAGTCCCTGAACCACATTATTTTCAGCCAAGCCTTCTCTGCAATGCTAAAGCCCTAAATGAAGCAAGTCTAGATTTCCTCAGGTTCAGGATCTCTGGTCTCCCTGGGGCTCCTTTTCAATTTAAATGGGCTTGTTTGTTTGAGACTAAGCATTAGTCTAGGAACATGGGTGCACAGTCAGTTAGTGAATTTGTAAAGTGCATGCATGTCATATACGTTAATTTTTCTTTTCCTGTAAATGTCGGGAGCGGGCGTTAATAAGCTGAAAAACTTGTGCCCAATCCCTTTCAATACTGAATTAAATATATGTTCAAACAAAACATTAATTTGGCACCAGTTCCTGTTTCAAATTTCTTACAGTGAAGGGTGATGGAGTCGCCGAGAGATTCAAGCGTTCGCTCGTAACGCCGACTGGCGAGTACCTGGCTACGATTCTCCATATGGGTACTTATATAGTGAAGTTACATCTGTACATAGGTACCCGAGAAGACGAGGCTGATGGTTGCTGCCTCGGGGCTGCTGTAGTCGAGGACACTGGTGCAGAAGAGGATCATGTTGGCCGCGACGCTGTAGTACGTTATTTGCTCACACAGGTTACATACCAGGAGAGATATAACCGAATACATCTTTTTTGGACCCGAGTTTCACTTTGGGAGACCCCGGCGAGTTCTCAGCAGATATGGTGGCCGCCATCTTGTGTGTATTTTCTTTCTGTGGTTTGCGAGTCGGGGGACCTATCAACGTATTTATGCAGACCTTCAAAGGTAAACAGTTATAAGTGCTCGGGAAGAAAGACAAGTAGATCTACCGTAGTACACAAGAACATAATAGAAATACCTGACCCTCATGACTACGTCTACACAATTTGTATGTGGTTGGCTTCAAATACCGAAAAGGTTACTCTAGTGAAAAAAGATATATACATGTACTCAACAAATAAAGTCAAGGACCACCTCAATTTATTTTAATATCTAATAGTGCATATTATGATCCATATAATACTTAAATATTGAATATTGGGATGGTCCTTAACTTTATTGTTGAGTATATATGAAACCTGCTAGGTCAAATTAAATATACGTTATACGTTTTACAAACAAAAATTAACTGTTCGCTGGGCAGGCTGGGTGTGTTGGAAGATGACTGTTCGGCTTCTTTGAAATGATTTGTTTGTTGTTAAACTCCACACACAGCAATATTCCAGCTATATGGCGGCGGTCTGTAAAGAATCGGATCAAACAATCTAGTGATCAACAGCATGAGCATCGATCTACGCAATAGGATACAATGACGTGTCAACCATGTCATCGAGCCTGACCACCCGATCCCGTATGTCGCCTTTTACAATAAGCATGGGTTACTGAAGACCAATTCTAACCAGGATCCTCAAGAGTCACTGATTACATGAACAGGTGTATACAAATCATGTATCTACAGCCATTGAGATCAGGTAGTCATTGTCACATGTAAATTGGTCACCTGTAATCGCTGAAGATGAAACCGGTGTACGGTGGTGTTTAAGAAAACATTCTGGCGTTATTTGTCTTCTTTACTGTGCAGTGTTTTGTTTTTTAGTCTATTTTAGACGAGAATGGGTATTTGACGGCATTTTAAAGTTAAGTTTAAAGACTGTCAATTGAGATCCTGATACAGTATCTGTCCGTGTGTACAGATAAGCACTTGTTTGACGAAACAGCGACATTTGCGATCTTTATTTTGTATTCTGTTGTCAGAGAAGTGAGTGACCAATGTGGGGAATCGAACCCGGGTCTTAAGCGTGACGAGTGAATGCTTTAACCACTGGGCTACCCCACGCCTCGGTCAGACAAGGATTGTGTGAATGTGAATGTCAGTAATAGTATAGCTCGTGCATGCTTATCTGGAAAACAAATGCTTGGGAGCACTGGACCACAGGGGCGTGTCGCGCTTAAAAACAGCGTTAGAAAGACATAGGTATATAGAAAGAAGGAAAGAGCGTGATACTGCAGTTCATGAGAAAATGGGTCGATTCAAGGGAGGTAACCTTACCGGCACTACAATTTAGAGTGAAAGAAGCGTCTGTTGAATCACCATGTTACTTCTTCACACGTTGTGTTCGCCTAAATCAACGTTTTGGGAATACTGGCGATTAACAAATATCAGACAATAAATTGGCTTAAAAGGCCAATATGAACAAATTTCATAATGTGTTTGCGTGAATTCCTGAGCTAAGTTAATTGTGACAGGAATATGTTCAAGGTTACAAGGGTTTCTTTTCACTTCTACATTTACTGTAGAAAATGCAGACATTAAGTCATTCCATCGTATAATTACTGTATTGAATTCAAGTATGAGTTCATGCAGGTTATTCCTGTGTTTTATACAGATACAAATATGCCTACTTAGCACTTCACTCATGCTACACTAACAAGCAGTTACTTCCGAGACGAACTGAGCTCAACATAACCAGTGTCACGTTGAACTGACAGTACAAACAGATCTTGGTGAGATGACCTGTCGACAGTGGAAGTGTATCGATTCTCATACCTGTGAAATTCATGTGGAAGTGAGAAACTGAGGAACTTGAGAGAATGTACGATCTTAACGTTTGTGTGAACATGCAACGTTTTTTGTAACTTAACGTGTAATCATCGAACTATTGTTTTGTTTTTTTATTAAGAGAGATCAGTGATATGTCAGGCTTATGGTCGTATAGGATGAAAGTGTGGTGCAAGGATGGGTTTTGTAAATTATATTTGTTTGCATTTCTGTTATAATTTAGGATTTTTTGTGTGTTTAACTTTAATGCATATGTACATGGATTAGTACGTTTCACAGGACTTCCAAGGCACTGATATTCAACAGGTTCCCATACGGACATCTAACCATTATGGAGCTGCCATGCTTTTCCTAACGGATACTACACAATACTGGCCTTTCCTGCACAACAGGATCTCACACTTGAACGTTATCGTTCCCGACGGCAGTTGTCAATGTAGGACGAACGTGCTTGCCATGATGCAGAGTGGCTGTTTTACGCCAAACTCCGGCTGAAATACAGCTTTGCTTGTAATCTGGACCATACTAAACCGTGATCCATATCCATTCACCAGGCAATAGTTCTTCCAGTGTTCGGAATTGTTAACAATGAGACGGGCGTCCCGAATACCAAAATAACATCATGGTACCCATTTCCTCCAAAGCTCTTCACCTTAGTATTATACTGCCAAACGAACATAAAATTCGAACTGTCAATTGAAATTAGAACAAAACCAATTGGTCACAATTTATGAACATTTATTACATCTAATGCACACACCTTTCATCCACAATATGTACAAACCATTCACACAAATTCCTATCTACATTTCACGACTTCACTCCCTTCGCTTTCAACACTTCCGCCATTAAGTCCTTCATGTACTGTATCTCGCGTGCTAGCTGATCTACTTTGTCACGGAGTTCCTTGTTCTGTTCTTCCAGACCCTGTTCCTCGGTCTTCACCTCTTCAGCTTCTGCTTTTTTCTTATGGCGATACCTGATGGCTGCGTTCTTGTTTTGCAGTTTCTTTTTGTCTTTCTTTGAGAGAAATTCAACCTGTATATCTGAGTCAATTGTGTCCTTAACCTTAGACTTTGTGCTACGCCCACTAGACTTAGAATAGGGCGACGACCTAATCCTCGATTTGCCATTTGATTTGGGAGTATTGTCCAAAAGCATTGCTTGAAGCTCACTACAGGTGGATGAGCCACTCGCAGAGTCTACTGTACTACTTGAATCAGGGGAGGAGGGCTCGGAGCCAGACAAGAGACTTTCTACATCTTCAGCCGAGAGAGGCGAATGCATGATGCCATCCATGTCTGTCAGATGTATGGGAGACATGGGAGTCTCAATACTAGAGTCCAGGGATACTGTGCCCAGGTCGATAGTTGGGGCCACCTGTGCCTCTGGTGATGGTGGGGTTGACTCTGGCTCCAAACCCTGCTCGATCAAGCTTCGTAAAATTTCATGACCCTTGACCTCAGATGAGGTGTCTGCAGCTTCCCATAAAGTTTCTGGGACTGAGCTGGCATCCATGGCACTAGCAGAGTCCTGAACCAGGCTCTGTAGCATCTCCGTGATGCCAGCATTTTCCATCCACTCATTGCAGAAGGGGTCTGAAAAGTAATGAATTGGAACATATCACCAACTGATCATATACATAATGTAACAATGAATAACAATGGATTTATTTCAGTTATTCCACTATTAATTCTAACTGCAGAAAAACAAAACAAACGTTAAAGCTTCCTGGTCTAACACTTGACCCTTATAGGTCAACTCGTGACCTTAAACACGTACCTGCAATATGCTCTGTTGGAGCTCCAAGCAGCTCGCTGAGGTCATCGACGCCGCTATCGAGTGGTGTCTTGACAATATCTGTCGACTCAAAGTCGACGTTCTTCCATGGATCATCGAACAGGGTCAGTCCGAGCGAAGGCTCGAGCTGCCAGTCCTCCGACAACAGGTTCAGATCCTCCATATTGAGTGTAGACGTCATCGTTGGTAAAAATTAGTTCTGTATCTTGTGCCTTTACAGCAATTGCCAGGGCGAAGAGAAAAACGACATTGTGTTGGGGTCTGAAAGAAAAAGCATTTGTGTTAGGCATAACCCCTGTAATGATGGGAATGGGTGGGGCGAGAGGGAATTTTTTTTATATAAAATTGCAACAAAATTGTTTGAAGAAAATAAAAGAATGCCTGTGTATGTAATTAAGGCGTATAACTCCCATAATTGGGCGATGCTGTCATAAAATAAATTGCTTCGTCGTCCATATGGCGGGAAATGACACGTGGAAAATCCACATGGTGAACTGCGCAGTTATTTCTAACTGTAAATTAAGCAGGAGAAATATCACAATATATCACTTAAATTAACATTAAAGCGATTATATGTACGTATTAATAATGTACTTACGCCATGGTGCAAAATTATTTGCACGGGTGTGGTGGGGGTGCCGGCTTACACTTCCATCGCTATAGGTTGAACGTATAGACTTTCTCGTGAGCTGGGATATCTGAGAATGAGAGGAGCGGGCGATGTTGCCAGCTAAAAAGTGCGGCTTATGGGAAATATTACTACGCGTGACGTCTACGGGTGTAATTAGGTACTCGAATTAGCCAACTATTCACATATTTGTGCTTCATTACTTTTATTATAAAGTTAAATTACTCTTAAACCATATTTACAGTATTACTGATTGACATAAACTGATATATCAGTAAAGGTTTTCGTGCACTATTTTTCGAAACGGATGTGTAGGTATTTCTAGGGAGTAAGCAAACCAAAGGGTTGCATCAGAAAATTCTGGCAGTGTGCCAAAGCATGTGACATGACGTAGATCCTGTGAATGCTATCACGTGTGATCTGTTATTCGATTGGCCAGTTACCGACAGCGCCCACAAACGCTGTTGCTATATTTGGGTATTAGCGAGCTCGCACCTGCCTACCTCATCAAACATGAATGGACACGAGGCAAATACTATACCACAAGGCGAACGTGGTACAGCGAGACTTTACCATATCATCATTTTTTTGTTGTTGATTCAGCAAGTGACACGAAAAAGAAATAACTGTGTGTTTATTTCATTCAGAACGTGTGATTTTTATAATCTGTCAATCCTCGAAAGGTGTTATACACAAATATATGTTACAATCCTCAATATCAATACATGATGACGGTTTTCACATTCATGACGACAAAAATACCAAGTGTATGTTAAATACTAGACCACATATAGCGTAATATTAAACACAAAGCAGTGATTTGATGTAGAACAATGTAATATTATTTCGTTCGTGATATGTAGTACGTGACGTGGCGTTATGAAACAGGCCTGTAGTGAGTCACCATGAACTGGTTTTATCAATAATTTATACACTTCTGTACTTTCCCAGGAAATATCAAGATAATCCCAGAAAAGTTGGTTGATGTTAGGTTTCTACCGTCTAGTGACTGCTATTTGGTAGTAGTCGTTGTAGTAGTAGTAGTCCTGATTCGTCATTCATTTCTCATGCAGCTGTAGTCATTTCATGCAGCTATATTGTCATTCATTTCTCAACACAGTAGTGATCTGTACATTGTCATTGATAATATGTAGCGTGAACAAACATCTGTCTACTCATTTATGTATTTACTATTTGTACTTTGTTTGCTCTAATATCCCTCGAAGAATATGCAAGTCACGTTGCCCTTGTAGACCTTACGATCATCCGGGTACGTCGGGTGATAATACCGGGAAGTAATTAGATACGAAAATCCCCGAGTCGAGCCGAAAGCACATTGAGGAAGGACATCAGATAGCACTAACGCTTACAGTGAATATATATCATTTTCACAGAAACTAACAATTCCATTTACATCTAAAAGGAGCTCCAATGAGATGGGAGATTCCTGAACTTGAGGAAATTTAATCTTAACTTGCTTCAAATTGCATTGCAGAATGAGCTGGACGGAAGTGAAAATAATGACTGACACAGACTAATCAACGCTACAAGGAAGATATCACACATTTGGCGTCTCAAATAACAGGATGGCGATATAGTAATATATATGAGCAAAACGTAGGATGTAGGGAAACTACGAAACACTATTAAATTTTCATGAATACGTCCTCGAATCGTGCTTCGTCCCATGAGCAGCAGAGCATGAACTGTATCGCCCGAAGTGCTATATGCTAAAAATAGTTCTATCCTCCCAACATCAATCAATTAGAGTCAAGGAAGAGTCACAGCTAAAGATTTACGACCCATACGGAAGTTAAACTGTATGTCTGGCAACGGTGGAAAGTGTTGATCAACTATAACATGCGTTGTATTATATGTATTATATTGGATGAAATGTGAAATGATATGTACCGTTACTAGTAACAGAAAAACAGTACGTCTGTTTGGCAAACATAATGGCAATTTAATAATAACATTACATATGTGAGTAACTAGGTGATATTGAATAAAACTGCATGATCGACATTTTATTATTTTAACATAAAAGTTGGTTCCATGATGTTGATGTACCCTGTATATACAGATCAATATAAACACACATCTCAGACTTAATGTTTGGAATACTTCTGTTTTAGTATCATGAACACGTGTATAGTTGTTATGCTGGGGAATTCCGATATCAAGTACACCGATAAATATCTATTGAGATATCTGGAGAATAAAAATATCCTTAATATACCACAGATCATTATCATCACTCCTTAATTAACACTGGAACATGCAGTTGTTAATTAAGGAGTAATACTTTAATGCCTTTTCAGGAATTTGTGTTACATCAGCAGAGCTACTGACACATTAGAGAGATACCAAACATATTTACATAAATTCTTTGATTTAGGTATATTCACATTTGTTTAAGAGAGATATGGTACTTGGAATAAAGGATGTACGGGCTCTTAGTTTTCACAATTGGAACTTTGTAGCGGCGGCCTGAAGGGAGGAGGTTGTATTCCGAATTTAAGTAGTGAGTATGGTCAGATATGATTTTGACAGCTTGATTCACGATTTGCCGCGCATATATTGATAAACATTCAAATCTGACTCCAGCGATTTTACTTGCAATGTTAACAATTTTGTCCATTTTAGATTTGAGATGAACTGAGAGAGACCCGTACCAACAATGGAAGGAAAATTTAAAATACTCTGAATAAAGGCTACTTAAAAAGATGACATCACAGATGGGTTAACATTAAAAGATCTCAGTTTACGCATGAGATGAAGACGTTGTTGACACTTTTTGTATAGGGATTACGTCTACTACTATGAACATGACAATACTAACCCCCTTACTGACACATTCAGAAACTCGCTGGTAAAACGACCCTCATAAGCGTCATAGGGGAGGGTGTCCATTCTGGAAGTTGACAGATAGGCCTACTCTAAGGAGCCCAGCGATCAGGACAAAACACAAACTCATTTATATCGAACTTCATCTTTATTACGAAAATATATATTCATTGTAGGCTAGAAAAATACGCATGCAATATATATATACGCTGATTCACAGTCATTATCAAAATCTGTACATGATTAATACAGCCGAATGTATGGTGTACTTGCCGCTGTTATAACCTGTGAACAAAACTGTCCACAATTCAGTTCAAATTCTCTCTGAATATACAAATATCGACAGGGAGTGAACATAAAACATTCCTTCACACGGACCATCTCTATACAGCTCAGAACAGTAAAAAATACGGTCACGCATGTAGTCAGCTACTAATAGTTGGTGCGTTTAACTTAACGAAACTGACAATAGGTTTGCGTGGTTGGGTGTGTCGTCTAGTGTGCTGTATGTGTTTGATCGCACAGGGGTATCGAGGCATCTTTTGTATCATACCAGCCTACCTTTGTGATTCTGACTTACCAACCTGTCTGCAGAACAAAACTGCTTGCATATAACGACCCTAAAGGTATGATAATACATACAGTACATTAGCAGATATCGCAGTGCGGTATCCATGGCGACAGGATCGCCCAGAGAGCATGGCGGATTTATCACACATTTTGGTGTGCCTCTTCGGATGTATATTTAGTAAAAGTTTGACAAACTGAGTAAACGCCCACATTTTATCACTCTTATTTGCGATAAAACACTTTTAACGCCTCATTCAGCTATATGATGGCAGTCTGCTTATGTAATCAAATCTCGACCAGACAATCCAGTGAGAGACGATGAGCATCGACCTATAGACAGCGGGGATACCACAATATCGATCGAGTCAGCGAGCATGGGCACCACATCCCATCAGTCACCGTCCGATACATCAAGTCAGACCACGTTAGGTCAGGATGCAGAGACCAGCGTGGATAGTCCGCACATTCGACATAATACATACACCCAGTGGGCGTTTCTACCCGTAATGAAGAGTTTCTATATGGTCATTTAACTTTCAGGACACACACACACACATGAGTGAGTGAGTGAGTATGGTTTTACGCCGCTTTTAGCAATGTTCTTACAAGAGTGAGTGAATGAGTTTAGTTTTACGCCGCACTCAGCAATATTCCAGCTATATGGCGGCGGTCTGTAAATAATCGAGTCTGGACCATACAATCCAGTGATCAACAGCATGAGCATCGATCTGCGCAATTAGGAACCGATGACATGTGTCAACCAAGTCGGCGAGCCTGACCACCCGATCCCGTTAGTCGCCTCTTACGACAAGCATAGTCGCCTTTTGGTTCTTACAAGAAGGATTCAGAGGAAAACATACTGGCTGACAATCCCCATTGTAATGTATAGTGCAGCTGCAGCAACACTGGTTATATTTCACAAAGTATGGCATAAAAGACGGCTGTGAGAACCAGACTGATTAATCAGTCTAGGGGCAAGTCAAGGCACACATGTACTGCAAGGCATTCACTGCGTGGCTGTTCGGCTGTCGTGTTTAGACGTCTCCACACTGTAGACTAAACACACATCACGAAATGTTAGCGCTGTCGTCATCCATCTCCATAGTGATGGTGTTGGTCGCTGCATCGTTAACGTCTTCGTCCGATGTGGTTGAAACAGCATCACTGGCGGATTCGCCTCGAAGCTTTCGAATCTGTCGACGTTGGATCTTCATGATGACTTCTTGTCTCACGGCCAGACTGAAACATTGAGTTAGACATACACTGAGTGAGTGAGAGAGATGGGTTTAACCAGGGAGACTCTATAACGCAGTTTTCATCACTGATCTCGTGATACAATGTCTTATCCGCTGAAGTTTGGAGAAAACGCGGAAGCCATGCATCTCTTCAGTTTGGTAAAGCTCTAGACTAACATCTAGTCCCTGAAATGAACAGGTTTTACAAAACCCCGGTCGTTTCATTAAAAAAACAAGGAACGCCAGTCTAGAGCAGACTCGGGATCTAAGGAGTTTTCGAGTAAAACCATTGTGACGAGCGGAAAGTTTACTCAGTACTTCACCACCTGGTAAAACGGAGAATTGGGTGTGCACTCACTCTTTAAGATCTTCTACATCGTTAGTGAGAGACTCGACTGTGATTCGTAACTTATGCATGTCAGACCGCAGAAGGAGCTCGTTGTCCGCCATCAGGGCCAAGTGCTGCTGCCAGCACTCTTTGTTGTGCTTCTGCAGGTTCTGGCGTTTTTCCTGAAAGCGGGACCAGGTTTAAAGTATATATCTAACATATAAACATTCATCACAGGTAGATCAATTAATATAAAACTGCCAATTAACGCTTAAATTCCATTCAACGTTTTCAAAGCTTTTAATATATCAAATTTGGATAAGTGAGTGACCTTTGTTTCACGCCAGAATAGGATTTCGCACATTGTATCCATGTGAGGAATCGAACCCGGGTCTTCAGTGTGACGAGCGAACGCTTTAACCACTAAGCTACCCCAGCACCCCTAACTCGGAAGAAGGAACGACCATAAGGCGAAGACAGTGCTGTATTACTGCCATCAGGCTTCTGGCAATTGTATTTTTAATTTGTTACTAACACGGACTGTGTCGAATCTTTGCAAATCTGACAAAGATTACCATGAGTATTTGCCAAATAAAACATCTGTAAACCACACTGATATGGGAGCTGACATACATGCACCTCTCTATGTCCTGTGTGACATACCTCGGCCTTGCACCCCAGTCTGTTGAAGGTGCATTTAACCTCCACCAGAGGGCAGTCCTGCTCGATGTGGTCGGGGATGTTCTTCCGGAGAATGCCCACAGCTCCACACACAGTGCACGTTACCGGGAACTTCTCACACTCCAGCAGGTGGTGCATCTACACAACAGAATATTAAAGAATTAACATGCAATGCGGTAGTTACATTTCAGTCATGCCTTGACTGCATCAATACACTGTCACTGAAGTCGGGTTTAGGCAAATCTACACATGCTTAGACTGGATTTGTATTTCTATAAATATAGTTCATAACAGCAGCAGTGGTTAGTGTCATGTGTCCAATCACTGGATTGTCTGGTCCAGACGGGATTATCTGTGCGGCCTTAAAGAAACCTATTCTGATTTCTAAAATTTGATTACATCCCGGGTGATGTTATGGTATACAGATTGTGGACACATGACATTGCCCAACCATGCCAGCCAGATTGATGACCCTGGCTCGTTACCTGCTTCTTACAAGAACAGTACCTGCCTCAACAGGGGATGCCGAAGGCCAGTTCTAAACCGAGTCTCAGCGGATGCAATGTCTGAACTGTGCAGCAAGGATGTCTGACGAATCGCGGGTTTCAAGGTAACTTACTGGTCTGTCAGCTAATGCCAATGTGATCTGGCAGTGGTCACACGCGACTGGTCTTCTCCTGCAAGTCGCCATGTGGACGGCCACTTCGCCTCGGGTCACGGTCAGTCCACAACTGTACTCGCAAGGTATGGGGGGCCATTTGGCAGGTGTCCTTGTGCTCCTAAGGGACAAACAAGGCGAGGATGCCATTATGAAGTGGAAGTTTAAGTACAAGCACAATTCAAGATACAATAGGAAATAGGAGTCAAGTAAATATTGTTTGTTATTTAATGCCTCACTCGGCAACATTCAACCTATATACATGGCGGCGGTGCATCAATAATCGAGTGATTGACAATGGGAATCGATCAATGGGAATCGATCAACGCAATTCTGCCAAGTCACCGACTGTGACCAACCGGACACGTTGGTCGTAGGATAAGCTGCTTAAGACCAATTCTAAACAGGATCTTCTAGACCCAAGACCAATGTTACACGTGTTTTAGAAGTCAAGTTTTAATGCATTTAATAGAAGCCAAAAGAACAAAGATATACAACCCTTACAGACGAATTCTTAATTGTTTGTAACGGCATTTGCGGGCTGTGAATACTTAGTAAGCTTACATATTTATAAACTGTTTTATTAACTGTCTATGCAGCGGCAAATTCTAATTCACTCACATAGTATTAGCTTGTACAGTTCATATAGGACATGTCCGGGGAAATCACGATCAGCATGGATAGTCTCCCTTGGTCTACCTGGAGACTAATTTGCCCTGTCCTCGGGGACTCACCTGGAGTTCTCGGAGTTCCCCCTTCCACTGGCATCGGTCTTCACCTTTGTTGTAGTCGCACTTTACTGTCAAGGACAAGATTTCACGTCGGGTGGCGATGTCGGGAAACACCTGACCGCAACGACAATATTACATAAGAACCATGTATATATATGATGTCAGTGACCCCGAGAATACCAAGAAAGCCCTGGAATACTCCCATGCACATTGAACAGAAAACTAGTCACTGACACAGATGAGTTGACTGATGTCACGTGGCTCTGCAACATATGTACCAAATGAAGGCCGCCGGGTTCGTGTTAGAATAACGCTTACTTCAACACCAAGAAATGGTTAAATGCCGCACTCAGCATTAGTCTAGCTATATGGCGACGCTCTTGGCCAGTGATCTACAGCATGAGCATCGTTCTACGCAACGATGGAATACGATGACGTGTTCAACCAAGACAGGATGCTGACCACCCGATCCCATTAGTCGCCTCTTACAAGCATGGGTTGCTGAAGACCATTTCGAACTTAGGTCTTCACGGAGGATCACAGTTCCTTACGTACCCCCCGCCTATTTTTTGTGATGAGCAAACACTAGTTTAGTCTATAGTTAAAACTTAGTTTGGGGGTATGTAAGGAACTGTTTCCTCCGTGAAGACCCAAGTTCCATGACTTCAGTGGGCGACTACACACAATTAGTTACCAATTATCTGACTACACTAGCATTTTGTCAGCTCTTAAAAACATGGGTTAAGGTACGAATATTCCCATCTGGAATCACCGTCGGTTATAGTTCTTAATTATCGCAGGGAATGTGTTCGTCACGATGTCGGTATTAATTAGACAAGAAAAGTTAGCAAGACATTAACAGACATTTTAGGGCGGGTGTGTGTGTTTACAATCGACGTAAGGAGTGAAATTGTCACTGAATGGATCTTACTTCTCCTCGAACTCTGAACCATCTGTTGTCAACTGGACATTTGGCACACGTTCTTGCCCTGTGAATCGGAAGACACTGAAGTTACATATTTAAGATCAAGGATGACGACTATTGTTAATGTTGAGGTACGATGATTGATGTTATTCATGTTATTGTAATAACTATAAAGAGCGTGAATTATAGGCTGACATTACGACCAGATACTGGAGTTTTGGGAGATACTGGTTCTAAGGATATGGATGTTATAGGGAACCTGTAGATAATCAACGAATGGAAATATTAGTAACTCACTTGATGACGCCTTTCAAACACTCTTCACAGAACCTGTGTCCACAGGAAGTCTGAACCGCTTCCCGTAACACCGCCAGACAGATCGGGCACTGGTACTTCCGGTCTACTTGGGGGTCAAAGTCGTGGTCAAAACCGTGAATCTCCCCAACACTGACTTCCTCGTGACTCATCCTGTCTCAGTGTCTGTACGTGGTTTGTTGCTGCCATTAAACACACCCGTAGTTATGTTTTGACTGACAGTTAGTTCAAATCATGACTATATACATCAAGCAAACATTATCACGGTCTTACATTATGATATAATTTGTAAGAAGTACTAGGGGATAGATTATTTCGGATGTGCTGTATATACACAAGTGTACCCGTAACGACCTCAGTCTCAAAGACTGCAGGTGGTGGCTTGTGCAAAAATGTAATTTCACCTGGGCGAAAATGGAGAGAGTGGCAAGTAAGGCTGGTCACATGACTGTTTACGCGGGAAAGTGGGTGAGTGTATTTTTACGTCCGCTTCGGGAACTTCAAGGGATTCAAGTGTTCCACTACCATTCGCAAGGAAAAGGAAGATAAGCAAAAGATCATGAGTCAAGTAAAAATTATCGACTTTCAGGTAAATATTTTTTATGAAAGTGATATTATGTATCAACTGACTGACTGAGTTTGGCTTTACGCTGCTTTTAGTAATATTCCAGCGGGGGACACCAGAAATGGGCTTCAAACGTTGTACCTATGTGGGATTCGAACCGGGTGTCGGAGTGACGAGCCGACGCTTTAACCACTAGACTACCCCACCGCCCCTGTATCAACAGAAGATGATCCTGTTTCGTATGAGAAAATATGAATCACAAATCCATTAGAGTGCATATGTGTCAATGTTCAAAACCTTCATTCTACCGTAACTTGTTGAATGTGTTTTGGTGAGGGAAGTACAAATTGTATGTGTTCGCTTAAGTATTCAGTTTCGATCAGCTTATCGACATTTTCTTAGCTTACTTCGCAACACCAACATACGTGATTTCCTAAATTAAAACATGTATATTTAACGAGTGCTTCAGAACATTTAGAATTCGCACTGGTTGTAATCAGTTCTTACCTATAGGAGAATAAACGCTGGACTGACTGACCTCTTGCACCCGACCAATACAGCCACCAATCGACGGTATCTTAAGTATGGAGGAAGCGTGACATTTGAGCTGGCATCACTCACTCGACATTTCCAAATAACAGCTTGGGTGGTTGTCAATAGAGAAATTATTAGGCTTGTCACTCAATCTGACTTCTATCTCGACAATGCTTGTAATGGGCAAACCATCGCATTGTGTTTACAACCAAAGTTTTAATTGGTCCGTTGTGCACGTGCAATGAATTTATCGCATGACAAGCTTGAGTGTTACGCACGTTGACTACGAGATTAGTGGGTGATTCTACACTCGAGGAAGAGTTGTCACATATCCAGCGGTCAAAATGAATACTATTTCATTGATGTTCTTGGATCAAGCTTGTAATTTTACTTAAGACGAAGTTCATTATGCACCTCCGTAGTGATCTAACTCTATATTTTCAAATAAAACTTCTGCCTGTTATCTTAGAAATAATTCGGAATTTGAGTTTCTATTTCTGAGAGAAGGCGAGGACGGATATTGTTTTCGAAAGGTTGGGGTGCATTTTGCAGACAACATGCAAGAATAAAACAAATATATTGCGTTTGGCTAGTATATCTCTTGAAAGCATATTACACACCGTTCTGCTACACATTGGTTACCGATCAAATTAATAGCCAGTCTGCTTCAAATGACGAAACTTACCTTGTCTCTGGATTCGCGTGAGAGGAGTGGTGTTTTTCATACACACACACACACACACACACACACACGCACGCACGCATACACACACACATGCACGTGCATTAACACACATACACACACACACACACACACACACACACACACACACACACACACACACACACACTGAGAGTTCATGTGAGGCCCGTGTGTTGATTGGGACTTTGTACCATAAGAATGGTGCTGCTGATGCAAAAGACCGTTCGCCGTAAGACTTGGTTCTGAAGCTTGGTACCACAAGGAGATGGCTGGCTGTTGGCTGACTGCAGACTGCGCCGAGGTTGGTATGGCTGGATAAGACTTGAGATGTAGTCAGGAGCAAGATTGTGGAGAGATTGGAAAGTGAGGAGCAGAATCTTGTAGATGGTTCGGTAGCGAACAGGTAGCCAATGAAGTCTTTTCAAGACAGGGATGATGTGCTCGAACTTACTCCTTCCCCGTCTAACTATGTAGATGAAGTTTGTCGTTGCGTAACGCCACTATCGGCAATATTCCAGCCATATGACGACACGACGGTAAGTGATCGAGTCTGGGCCACACAATCCAGTCACTGATACTGTCACACGCGACGATCCACCCGTCGAGCTATGGTGACAGACAATTCGCACCATGGGTTACTTGGGACATATCTTAACCGAGAATCCTCACGATCTGGGTCCCGATCCACAAAGCGTTCGTAACGTTACGTGAGGTGCAATTGGGTTTAACGTCGTGCTTGAGAATATTTCGCTCATATGACGACGTGCATGCGTGTGTATGTGTATGTGCGGCTGCTTGTACTAGCCCAGACTTAAGCTGGTTTTATAGTGCAAGCCCACTGAGATACCATGCCGCAGTGAAGCATAAATACCCCACTCAGACACATTATACTTGTTGTACCCATAAATGCCGAGCGCCAGGCAGGGACCAACAAGTACCATATTTTAACGTCTTTTGGTATGACGCGGTCTGGGATCGAACCCGCGACCTTCCGCTCTCCGGGCGGACGCTCTAACCACTACACCACGGAGGCGGTCTCGTAACGTTACGACATATCGAAACTCTATACTTCATCACTGACTTACGAATGGCCTAATGCTTCTGAAAACATGAGACAGAAACGTCAGGGTACTGTGTACTTATAATAAGCTATAACTTACGATGGCCCTAGTCATTCAGCTGGATCCAGGTTAGAATTGATCTTCAGTAAGATATGACAGGAGTAACCTCTGTGGGAAGAGAATGCAGTAACCCATGCTTGTCGTTGATGGATGTTCATGCTGTTGACGGGATAGGGTGGTCAGGCTCAGTGACTTTACAGTTGACACTGTTGTATCTATCCCAACTGCTCATGATGGATGTTCATGCTGTTGATCCACTGGATTGTCTGGTCCCACCGATTATTTCTGGAACTGCTCATCTGATCAGGTGAAGTCAACTGTCAAATGGTACATCTTCTACACTGACCATTAAAAACATTGCCTTGTGACATTGCTGATTGTCTGTCATCCTACACAACTGCTGTTGATAGCTTTTCATGCTATCAGCCACTAATTTGCCTCCTGGACGGGACTTGTCAAGGTTACAAGCTCATGATGTATGTGCTTCTGAGCATCTTTAAGGTGGATATTAGGTACTTTACAAAAGTATTATGTATAACTTTATGTGTTGTATTATGGCAATTGTATAAATATATAAGTAGAGAAATACAATATCAATATAAGTATTATGTTAATATGTTTTATGTCCTACCAACAGTTAAAGAAATCCTCGACTTTCATTTTACCATCCACTTTAGTGAATAAAAAACCTTATTCAAATCCCAGCATCACCACTACATATCCTCATAATGTAGGTAAAGACAATACAAAGAAGAACATATTTGGAATATTTATTTTATTCTGTTTTTCATCCAACAGACCAATATAAATCAAGATATCACAGACTTTGATATATAAAAATAGAAAACCTAGTAAAGAGTACATCAACACATGGCAATATCTGGAAGGATTTTACAATGACTTTCTATCTTATGTCACAAAATACAGCTTATACCAATGCATAGTATTAGAAATTATCCTTCCACTACATATGTATATGGTTTTTAAATAGAAGACACATGTTACTTATAGTTATGGATATTTTTTATGTATATTGATCAAATTGGATAATTGTTTTTATCACAATCCTGTTTTAAAAGAAAATCTCCAGATTGCATCATTTTCAAGACTCTAAATTTGTCACAACACTGACACAAACATATATATGAGTACACATAATACTGATATTGTAAGTTGGATATACAATCACACTGAAACAAATAAGGCAACTACAGTCAAACCTCATTAGCCAGGACATGGTTGATCCAGAAACCCTGCAGTCCAGACATTCATTGTTGTATATGTGAACACAACAGAGTTACCACATACCCATGACTCATTATTGTTACCGGCCCTGTGGTCCACTGAATACAGCACCTCCCTGATCAGTGGAAGGTTTGGGGTTAAGTCCACATCCATGTCATATGAAAATATGTTGAAACATGGTACTTACTGTTATCATGCCTTGTGCTGGGCATCAAGGGGATAAAGTAACACTGGGTGGAGTCAGTACACTGTGTCTGAGTGGGTATTCATGTTAACAGTGTGGTATGGTATCTCAGGCTAGCACTATATAACCAGCATATGTGTGGACTAGTACAAGCAATGTACATGCCAATCATTTAACTGGGAACAGGACTGTCTGGATTAGCAGGGTTTCACTGTACAGAGTAGTATGACTTCGGGAATACATGGGACAGAGACTTCTAGCTGCTGCTGCAAACAAGCACCTTGCTCTTGAGATGCCCTATGGGGATGATGAGACAGACACACGTAGCACTAACTGGCATTACATTGAATATATGTACAATCCACATGTTAATAAAACAAACTCTTGTAAACAAATGATGAATAAGTACAAACTGGCAAATTCTCCTTGAATATATATTGAAGCCGATCCTGTGAGAAAATATTCTTTCCAATTTGTTCTGTTTGTTTACATCATAAATTAAAGTCTTATACTGTCAAGAGTTGAAATCTGATATTTTGTCAATTTTCAGACGTAAAAAGCTTCTTTATGATTATGTAAACAGTAATATGACTTCATATGTTAGACATTCAGCATCATGCGGAAATTCTAGATACACCAAGAACAATTTAATCACTTTTTTAACATATCATACTTTCAGTAGAATCTCCAAGTACCGGTATGTCTGTAAAGGGAAATAACTGTTGAGTTACTTATATCTCCAAATCTAGAGTTATGTTGAAATTTTGATTTAGTTATAACGTGCTTTGCTCAGCAAAGACTCAAGACAAAGAGAACAAATACAATTTTCCCACAACAATTGGGATATGTGGATATATAATAGCACGGGACAATACAGTAATAATTTAGTCTCTAATTTCTTCAAATCCTGGCTTCAAGTAGTTTAGGGATAAAATTAATTCAAACATATAACATAAGTCTAACTATTATGAAAATATTTACCTTTGGTGAATGAGGTTTATCCTGAAGCATATCAAATTTAAACATTCCAATTTTGCTTGAATGTGACTGTCACTGCAGCTAGTGATTCTTACTTGCTTCATCAAGGACATCTCTACTATCGGTCATCTTAAGTCTACTTTTTTATCTTACAATACCTTTTCTGTTTTATGATCCAATGTTATTTGATTTGTAATATTTGCAGCTGTCTAAAATATATGTACGATTGTGTGCCTCTCCTACACATTAAAGAGTTGGTTCAAACAGTAAGAATCACACAGTCTATGTATCACACTCATGTTAGTAAACACATCATCACTTAAACCTAACCCTTTCTCAAAGGCATCACAATGGCACTTTCAATGCAACACTTGTTACAGTAGTTAATATCCAATCACTGACACAACTCACATTGGAAACTTTTAAAGCATTTGTTATCACATTTTCATAGAATTATAATGGAGATAAACATATTGGTTATGTAGTAAATAGACACGTCAAAGGTTGTAAAGAATGTTTCAAGAAGGTCTTAAATTTTCAGCAGTCAAACTTCTTCAACTCAATAAAAATGAAATTCACAATAAACAATATTTCTTATGTTGTTTCAAAGATATTGTTGGTACAGAGATATACAACAGATTTAATGAAAAAAAGTGTTGTTTTTCTTTCAAATTCAAATAAAAGTGTTCATGTTAATGACATACTATTGGAGGTTTAGTTATTAATGAAATGGAAGAGAGACTTGGAAGAATCTAACCTGAAATACTGGGATGGTAAAATAAAGAAGGAATAAACACAATCATGTCTAACATACAAGTCTTCATTTTGGAAGTTATTATAGGAGTCCTCTGTAGTACTGGAATCACACTAAAGTTTTTGTTATTTTCGTAAGTAGGAGGATGTTTTGTAAGTCATACTTTTTGTAAAATGGTTTTGAATTTCAATAGTTTCTACTGGCTCAACTCTAATTTTGGCACACTAACAGTCTTTAGAGTGTCCTTGACTTCTTTGCCCTTGACCTCTTTGTCCTTAATCTCTTTGCTCTTGACCCTAGCCAACCATGCTGCTCTCTTCTTTTTCTCCAGTGTATCCTCTTCCCGTTGTTTCTGATCACGATGCATGGTCTCAATGTCGTTGATGTACTCCTTTTCTTGTTTGTGTGTCCTGAGCTCAAATCGGACATGACTTCTCAATGGGTCATTGAATGGACTGACTTTTCCCAGACTAGGCTCACTTGCTGATCGAGGTATTAGCTGTTCTCGGTCCTTCTGTCTTTGCTTGAACATCTCTATAGTGTCCTTCACTTCTTTTGAATACATAAGCATCGGGACTACATTGGATGTATGTTGTGAGGACGTCAGTCCACGTGACTTGGGGCGATGGACAGGAGCCCCTGGTAGTGCTGTTGCAATGCTAAGAGGGATGGATGTCGAGGTGATGGGGCGGGTCAAATTTGGGGCTGTCACAGGACGCTGGGACTTGGGTTCCCTGAGAGGAGGATGAGCTGATGTCCTCTGCATCACAGCAGCAGATATTGGTCGGATAACTCTACCTCTTGGTAGTGTTGACTTGATCCTCTTAGGATGGATGCTTATGTGTCGAGATGGGTTGATAGGAGTGGATACACAGCGAGTCGCAATGGACTCTTTTGGTGGTATTGGTGGAGGCTTTGGTTGTTCCTTGGTTCGGAGTGAACGCACAGATCTAAGATCTGAGTAGTCAGATATTGTTTCCCCTTGTCCTACAGGAATGAACTGTTCCAGATCCAGGTCTTCAATGGGTACTTTTGTCCTGGGATCAATCTTCCCAGGGGGAGGATGATGGGCGTTGCTTATGTGTGTAGGGAACTACTTCAATATCTCTGATATTATTCTGAGTGTTTCTATTTGTTTCACTCGGTTTCATGGAGTTCTGAATTGTATTTACAGTCAAATAAATAAAGTCAGGAGGAATCACACTTTCAGCTTTCATTCTAATTTGAGAGCGAAGCAAAGACTTCATTTCAGACAAACTAAAATCTTTTGATTTGTTAGTAAGAGGTTTATCAAATGCCCATGAGACTCTTCGATGAATAACAGGAGGTTCTGTTGGCACATCTTCTTCCTCCATATCGTCTGGCTTCTGCTCTAAAATAGTAACAGTAGGTTGTCCCTTGCCTGACTTGGATGTTCCTGGACGGGTCCGAGAGTGAGCTGACGACTGAGCTTGAGGCGACAGAGGTGGTTTCTTAAAGGCGCTGTTAGGAGGAGACATGGTCTGGCCATGGTCAGTTTGAAAGGTGATACGCGAATCAGTGGTAAAACCTGGACCTGATGTTGTCCACTCCTGACTCTCTAGACCAGATGTTCCTCTGCTGAACTGGATCATCCTTGCCTCAGACATAGAGTGGGTACTGAGTGTTTTAGCGCTGTGAGGTATCTGAGGGGCACGAAATGAGGTCTGCATGAGAGGCGTGCACCTCAGTGGCTGATCCAGTTTGCCATCATGGTTGATGATCTTCTTGTTGGCTGCTCCTGCCACCTTCATCCTCTGTGCCCGGATGTAGGAGTATGGCTGCTGTCTGACTGGGGAGTCTGAGTAGGAACTGTACTGCACTAGGGATGGCACCTTGTCTGTCTCCAGGCTATAGTCCCAGTCAACCTTCTCAAAGTTCAATACAAGCAGGTTGTTGTGAGTGTTCAGTGTGATTCTGGAAGCAGATAAATGATCATGCTAAGGTAAGCAGATGTAAAGAGACCACTACCTGCATATGAACAAATCATTATAAGATGATATATAAAGATAATGAAGTTTCAAGGATATAGGTTGATATTAAAATATTGTACAAGGTCTATGGATTATAGATTTTTTAGGAGTTATCAATTTTATTTAGTACCGAACAAAATATAACTTCAAACCAGTCAGTAGAAATAGTATATTTTGTCAGTGAAGATATTATGAGGGTAAATGACTAATAATGTTTGGAATCAAAACTCAACTCAAATTTAACACTGGATCAAGCATGCATTTTAATAAATGAACCCAAAAAACATTTTTTAAATTTTCGTTTAAAAGTTTGTTTTAGGTATTCTATGTTGTTCATAGTAACACCTCTGTTACAGTAACGGGCTGCAGTCTTACCTATCCCCCAGAGCTATGATGGAGTGGATTGGGTCACTGCGACTGTTGCCTCTCATGATGCGACAGCACTGGCCAGTTTTGATATTCCAGATCCTGAGGCGACCATCAGCCGATCCCGTGATGACGCGGAGGAACATGAACTCCAGACAGAGCACCTCTCTGGAATCATTGCAATTGGCAGTGTTACTTCATATGTGCAACTTCCAAATTATTTGTCCATGACATTTGTTATTAAGTTTTCATACATTTAGCCTTAATTTAGAAACATATTCAGTTATTTGAAATATTCAATGCGGAAGTCAAATCAATATTATCCTCAGTATTATTCACAATAAAGAAGTGTTGACATCCATAAATCTTGCTTTTCTTATTATCCTCATACATATACTTTTTCATTCATATACATTTACATGTATGAAAAGTATTCTAAACATGATGCTTGATATTAATTCAAGAAAACTGTTAATCAACAGAAATAACAATACAGGAATAAATACTCAATGGTCTGCACAGCTGAGGAATTTTTATTATCCGACTTGGAGCAAACAAGCCTGAGGTCTGCTGCTAGTGTTGGAGGAGTTACCTCCCTTGTTTCATTGCCGTAAACAACATGTTATTGTTATTGCTTGTGTGAACCTGCTGCTCACAAACCTAACGGCCGGGAAAACGGCCGGGACAGACATGTACTGCTTCACTCACTTGGGATGTCTGAGAGCTTGCAGACAGCGAGAGTGTTTTCCCAGGGCACTCCATGCCAAGGCATAGCCATCTTTACTGCCTGTGATGATATGCCAGCGGTCAAATTTGATGGCGGTCACTGGCCCCTGGTGACCTGACAGCCTCTGAGGACAATAAACAGAATGTTTCAGTAGATAGGGTTGGTGTTCACTCAAAGACAGATTGGGAAATCTGTTGATGAGAGTTACTTTCTGTTAGGATCTGCTGGTTGTGAGTCTGATTTCCAGGTAACAATGATGATTTCCTTTCACTGATTAGTTAATCAGAGACCATATACCGGACATCATGCAGATCCTAACAGCTGTATGGTCTCTGTAATAATCAATGAATTTTGATACACTAAAGTAGTAATAATCAATGACCTGCTTGACTTTACTCTTGGATGTTCTCCCATAACAGGCTAACAGACATTGATACAACTAACTGCTGTGTTATTTAATCCTACACACAGATGGATGTTCATCCTCTTTTACTCCTCAGTCTCATAGTCCTCTGCAGGCATTTTGCACAATGACATAGTTCGTGAACAATAAATGTAACACAGTCTGTGAGTTTTGCCAGTTTTAGTCAAGTAAAATCTATTACTGTCTAGTAAGCTTTGCTGATAAGTGTGGATATATTAACACTGATATCTGAAAAATATGTCACATGTTCATGCTAGAAGACACAAAAGGTTTTGGCACAGACAGTAATAAAACACATTTAATCACATTAACTAGACACTAAAACCACATGAAGATCAGGTTAGAAATGACCCATGTTTATGATAAGAGGAAACTTTGACAAGATCAAGTGGTCAGGCTGAAAGACCAATTACATAAACTGATTATCATGATGTCAATCACCGGAATGTTTGAGGCAAGAAACTATACCCAACATTAACAACAGCTGATGATGCTACAATGTGACAATGGTGCTTCAGCAGCAGGTAACAATTCTCACCTTGATGAGTTCCCCTGTCTCAACATTCCACACTTTGACCCTGCCTGACTCACATCCTGAGATACAACGATCCTTGGACAGAGCTACAGCCAAAACTGGGTGTCGGTGGCGAAAGGTTCGCAAACATTTTCCTGTCTGAAGGTTCCATACTGAAAACAACAGATTTTCAATTAAAATATATATATCATAACACAAGACATTTAATAGAACATTGTAAGGAAAAACACAATATGATTCATATGAAAGCTTGATGCTGAATATTGCAAATATAGCGAATATTTGGATAAATCATTAGGAGATTGTTTGAAAATAATCCTTAACTGGAGCTTTACAGTTTCTGTTGTCAAATCTATAAAGTAATTATTATTTATACCAGTGTCATAATTCCGTAATTTGATTACTTTCAAAGTTGAAATTGTGAAATTCCATAGGTTAAGCAGTATGACTGACAGGGGCCCAAGATTTCCTTTCATCATAATCTCCAAAATATTCAGTATAAAGAGATGATGTGCAAATTATTTAAGTTAAGAATTATATGGAACCTGTTATTTGAGATTCAGATTCCCAAATTATTTTGGTTATCACACTACACATTATAAATCATACCCTTGCAAGAGGAATCTTTTGATCCAGTAGCCAGAGTCTCTCCATGTACTATAATTGTCACAACAGTATCGCGGTGACCGCGGAATATCTTCAAACACTGCCCAGTTTCAATAGACCAGCACCTGAAAATCAAACCAACTTTAGCAAACAAATAACATAGGTTATGATGGGTATTGATCTTATTTCAAAATACATCCATCTTGGCTACAAGTATTTCTCATTAGCTATTATGCAGAAATTTTAAAAAAGAACCCATTGAATTTATTTAAAATATTAGTTGAGTACTCAGTTCTCAAATGAGTGTGCACAATACACCATGCACATTGTAAGTGAGGTTTTTGTTTGTTGAATAACGTAGCACTGAGGTTTCTAGAGTATCAATCAATATGTTATGCCAAAATCTATGATTGATAATGGCAGAGCACAATGTGGATGTAATCCATCATGAATAATGAAGTAGGGCATGATTAAGGGTTTCAACAATAACCTGCTGTGCGAGGTCTAAACATCGTACTTATTGCTAAACACCTATTCCAGCTAACACTCCATACATTTTCCAAAATGAACCTTGACACTAAATATACCAATATTTTGATTTTGATCATGGTTTATTATACTGAAGTTCACCTGGTGTCTATTCCAAACCCCTTTAAAGATAAAAGGGACTGAGTTCAAGTCTAGTAATGGACAAATACTTTGACCAACCAGTCTTCAGATACTGGCAAGTTAGGACACAGTTCAACAAATCAACTTGCATTAATGTAAGAAAATAAGGAATTACAGATCAATGAAAATGGCTTTTGGGCTTTTTTCAGAAACCTATTTATCCTGACATGGTTGATTGAGCTAAAAGCAACACTAAAGTGTATAATTGAGAGAACATAGACTAAAACAGTACCACAGGGCACTGCTCACTCCATTTCTAGTACCCACCTGACACTGGTGTCGTAGCTACCACTCAACACAATGCCTTTCTTCTCACAGAGGAAGGTACAACGGACAGATCCAGCATGACCAGTGATCACTGGCCCCTTCTCTTTCCCAGACTCACAGTCAATGAACCGAACCTTGCGGTCCTTGGAACCCAAGGCTATTGTCTGTCCCCCATCAGTGTGCATCACTCGGTGGATGTCTTCTCTGAAGGAAACACAGCACCATGGTTCTTAGAGGGGGTACAATTTACCAAAGACACTTCATACGTCAAGCCAAGATAGCAGAAAATTGTTGCAAGTCTACATTACTTAAAAATGATGCAAAACTGATATTCAAAATACAAATTTTTTGAATTTACCACAATTTATAAGCCATGTTCTACTGAACATGTTTTTGCCTGATATCTATTTGTTCACAGTCACTACTGCATGCTGCCACTTAACACAATAAGTGTAGTCATGTTTAGGGCTGCGCAATATAACCGGTTTACCGGTATTTACCGGTTCAGACATGAAAACAATACGTATTGCGATACGCTGATCGAAAACGGTATTTTGACTTGCATTCGGAAGGCTTCGTAACACTCGGAAATCTCCGGATATTTCCTCGTTTCATTTGTGCCAAATATTTATTCACATTTCCATTTTATCATGACTAAAAGTTGTTATTAAAGCTTAATCAAGATATTGATTTTGCTGTGATTTTTGCTCTATAAATCAAGCATTAACTCAATTATAAGTAGTTTTTATATTTAAAAATACTTCATGCAATATATTGCAATACATATCGCAATACATGCTTGCATCCCAATATATCGCAATATGAAAATTCTCTGCAATACCCACCCCTAGTAATGTTACCTCACCATGTATTGGTTACATGCCTGATATACTGTGAGAGTCTATATCCAGCCCTACTAATCTGTCCCCAAGATATTTAACAGCAGAGCTGACAATGGCACACAACAGTAACTGACAGTGACAAGCAGCTTGTCCAGGACAGGCGAGTAGGAAGCCAATTTTGTCGTGTAAGCCTGATGGGTTGCAAAGCTTTATATTTAGATAGTATTGAGGGCTTTCCCAAGCTTTTTATCAACAATCATGTGTAAGCTGGGCTTTTTTTTCATAATGGTAGCTACACCCCTGCAGGACAACACCAGTTATGTGCTTAATGAAGTGATTAAATGTGCTCTTGTTGTAGTTGTTACCTGTACTCCTTGAAATAACTCAGTTTAGATTCAATGTGGAGGAAGTACATCCTAAAATTTCTTCCTTTATCAAGAAGTAACTATACTAAAGTAGTACAAGGACATCTGATGTCATTTTATTAACTTACTGGTCACATATAACCATCACGTTGTAAGCTCCACAGTAGACATTCCTTTCCTCCATAATGACCTTCATGGTGGCCAGTCCACTGTACGCAGTGTTGAAGTTGATCTCACTCTTGAACATTGTCTTGATGACAGCACCATCAGTGGCAATGACATCGTTGGTGTCAGAGTCAATCCTGGGAACTATCACATCGACATCGTTGGCATAGACTGAGTTCACACCTTGTGCTGCTGCTCCCTGAAAACAGAAGGACATTGAGAAATGCCTTTCACCAGAATGATGCCTGGGTGTTTTCAGAGCAATAACCCAGATTATCCAAGCTATATTTGATCAAATATCTACCTTTCAAAGAGGCTACACTTCAGCATCCAGTGTTACACAATTTCCTCGTATTTCTAAATGAACTCCAAACGGGTAAATACCAGAATATAAATTGAACTTATCCGCAGCTCGTTTCAGACTTGTTGTTTTATAACCTATTTAGATTTAGAAGAAAATATCAAATCTTTCACTTGTCTCTAACCTTACTCCAATGACTATTTCTGTGTTGCACGTAGTAATCTCAAACAGACACAGTCAGATATTTTACAGACTTCAATTCTTGTCTCACCTACTTTTTTTAAAATGACATAATTTAAAGGAGTTATTTAAAAGTACAAATACTGCATAAAACCTTTAATAATGACTGCAAATTGTTTGTTACTTTATGAATAAGAATAGTCTATAATATCTAGGACTAACAAAACTGTCTGGCTTATTCTTACGACAGTTCTTCTCAGTGACAGCACATGACAGATAAGACACTAGCAGCGTCAATAGCAACACCATGCTTAGTCATCCAACACCACACACACAAACACCATAATTCACATTTTATCACCTAGTATGTCAGCATGGATGAATATTGACAATCTTTTGATTGCATCTGAATTCTATAGGAGACCACTGCATAGAAACAGTATCATGTATGTAGTCTGTGCATGGAAGATTTAGTCCGACAATACAGTATGATACACACTGATAGTAATACAGCACTAGTTATCAGGGAAGCGTGAGCAGGGACCTTGTTCAAATCTAGGCTGTGGAAGGACTGCAATAATCCATTATACATTTGACAATGTCCTTTAGCTCAATATAGGTGGAAGTCAGGTCAATACTGTATAAGGCCAATCATCAGACTTCAGTCCTATTGCTTGTCACTTACTCTACACCAATCAACTGTATCTACTGATAATGTACTTGCTGAGGCTACATGATACTATAGTGTTTGAAAAACCTAAGATCAATATCATGACTATTTATCAGCTTTCATTAATATCAGGAATTGACTTTTTGTACCAGCATGGGAAAATCAATGGTGGAAAACAAACAGTTTGTGATCTTTCTATGAGAGCACTTGACATACAGTCCTTGGCAACAACTTAACTGAATGAAACATTCAGAGGAGTGGTTTATTGTTTTATCAATGAACTGATCACACTGTAAACATGGTAAAACATGTTCATCATGTTGTTCATCATAGCTTACATTTATATTATGTTCATCCTCAGACTACTTCATTTTAAAAAATGTATATGACTATATTCAACTAAGTATGTATTTAAGTATTTTCAAACATCATTTAGAATGAAGAATAATGACAATTATTATGGATATACAATTTCTTTTATTCTGTGGAGGCGACATTTCGACATAGGTTCTAATTAATGTCGTTGTCAAGCAAGTGATGCTTGCTTGACAACGCGACATTAGAATCTATGTCAAACGTCGCCTCCACAGAATAAAAGAAGTTGTATATCCATAATAATTGTCATTATTCTTCATCAACTCAACTTCTAAAATGCCCATCAAAGAAATCATTTAGAATCAGTAACAAATCAGTAACAAAACATTTAAATCTGCAAGCTACAATTTGTCTGTAGTTGCTGAATGTACAGACTATTGTCTGCTGTGTTTACTTTGTAGCCAGATGCATTACTTCATATCTTTGCCTCTGACTGTACTACACATGCAGTGTTAGGTACTCGGCAGAAACCCAGGATCACCTTCTCATTGGTGCAACATAGAATACACAATTTAGAGTCTGTGAAATACATCCCAAATCTCATGGGACCCTGCAAGCTTCCATAGTTTCTGACACAAAATTTAGTGTGCCTTTAAATGGTATTCTATCTATTTTTACATCTACACACTGACTGATTGATTGGTTTGCTGATCGATTGTTTGATTGATTGAAACTCTTACCTCACATCACTATTTTACTCATGATGTGACTTGGGTACATGATATAAATTATGACATAAAATAATGTTGATAATATCACAGATATCTTGTACTTTTTAAAGAAACCCAAAAGCCCTGGCACACCTGTTCTGTACCTACCTATTAAATTGTTATTTTTTAAACAGTCTGATAAAGATTAAACATATCTACATGCATGACAGGTTTACATGTGTAAAGTGATGACAGGTTACATATATAAAATAGATCAAGGAAGTCTATTTAACTATGTAGACAACTTTGTCTTTTTGAACAGTATACATGAGACATGGATTCTTGCTACCTCAGTTTGTCTTTATCAAACATTTTATACCTGTATTGTCCCTGAATCCAACTGTACCAGTTGGTGGTGATCTGTAATTTATGACAATGTGTATACATGTAAATGCTACAGCATGACACATTATTCCATTATGGATGTAACGGAGAACCAAGTGTGTCCCTGTCCCAACATGGCATGTGCTTGCAAGATAAACAACCTGCAGGTTGTGTTCAGTAAGCGGAAGACTGCCTCTGTGTTGAGTGTGCTATCAGCAGGAACGTGACACCTGTAATGGTGGCGTTATCGATACACACCTCTACAGACCAGCACATTTATCTGTTACTCCGAGGTACAGTTACATCAAGAATGTACATTAGTAAAGTCATTGAAATGACTTTGGTTTTGAAGAAACTCTGGTATGAAGGTCATGAGAATCATAAAGATAACAGAGACATTTCTTTTGGTGGGTGAATGGAAAATAATGAACTGTCAGTTCACAGCTTAAATGTATAAAAATATTTTCACGAACAGATTTCAGGAGTACTTTAAATTAAACCGACACACTAAGTCATCGTGGCAGTGAAAGTGTGAATGGCATGGATTTTGTCCAAGGTATTATCTTAAGTGAGTGAATGAGTTTGGTTTTACGCCACTTTTAGCAATATTCCAGCAATATCACAGCGGGGGACACCAGAAATGGGCTTAACACATTGTACCCATGTGGGGAATCGAACCCAGGTCTTCGGCGTGACGAGCGAACGCCTTAACCACTAGGCTACCCCACCGCACCTTATCTTAAGAGTAATATGTTTAGAAAAATCATTAATGCATGAGTGAGTGATTCAGTTTTAGAGCCATATGCATATTTTGTTATTTATAATAAAGTGTGAAACAACACAGATTTACTGAAAAACAACTGCTCCCTCTTACAACAGAATGAGGGGCAGTAGTTAAAGCGTTCGCTCGTCATGTCGAAGCTCTGGTTTTAATTCCCCACATGGGTACAATGTGGGAAGCCCACTTCTGGTGTCCCCCACCATGATATTGCTAGAATATGGCTAAAAGTGGTGTAACACTTAACTCACTCACTATAACAGAATGAAATGCAAATTAAATGTTAATGAGCAGTCAAGAGTTCTGTTCACACAGAGTTTTGAACATCAAATATTGTGATTGCTGAAAGCCTCAATGTTATACTTATGCTTCAAACATATGGATCTAAATGCTTATTATGCCATTATGATCCAGCTAATCAACAGCCCAGATTTTACACATAAGAAAATTCATAGCTGATTGCTGTGAACCTGTATGAACCAGTATAAAGCCACAATTATTTATAATCCATGTAATCCTTTGACTTAAATTCGTCTCATGAACATATGGAATAAATAGCCTTAGTCAGTAGCCACACAAAAGGTGGTGGGGGATAATATATCCACTTGACATTTTCTGTGTGGGTGAGTTCTACCTTGATCAATATAGCGAGCCAGCCTAATTTCCCCCATAATCCCAACAGGATTTGCTGTGTCTTTCCAGGCTGCTGGTGTTACTAAGAAACCAGTACTTAGTGATTAGTCAAGCCTGATAACATTCACTTCAGGTAATTCCTTCATCAATTAGTCGTGGATGCTGACTATCTGATATGGATTATTCAATTATAATACATGACATGACTTACAATCGCTTTCTTTAAGAGGACACTAATGATTTCTCACGAAAATTTGCCTCATGGAAAATACATTACTCATATAAGAAATCCTCTGGAGTCTTTCCCGCACACATCCATAACTAATCAATTTCAAGATTAGAAAATAAAATCCGTATTACCTCTGATAAAAGGATAAAAAAAAATTCAATTGCACCCTCAATGCTCTTATCAAATGTCGATTGATAACAGTATGAATGACTGCACTGAACCAATTGAACTTTTCAACATATAGCTGACGATAAAACCATTGAACAGATTCATATCACCATGATCAGATGCAATTATTGTTGACCTTAGTGAAATTCATAAATAAAACAAACAAAATCACATATCCTGTTCTTAATACAAAATTACACTCATAAATAGTGTATAAGTTTCAATTTATCAAAAAACATTCCATCAAAATTATTACAGGCATAGAGATCTTTTGTTACTAAAATTATTAATAAAGTTCTAAGGACACCAGTGAATTATTTGTATTGCTGCGAAAGCAATACTTGTCAATTCCGTTTTGATTTATGCGACCCTATGACAAGCCCACTGTAAAGACACAATAAGACCCTTCAGGTGCTCTTTTCTCAAGCACAAATAATACCTCTGCACACAAAATGGCTTTGTAAGCAAGCACCATGAGATTTTTGTACCCCTAAACAACAACAGCCATTCAGCTATGACGCAGAGGCTTACAGGGTCAGCAGTAATTTGAATAGTCAATTATTACCATAATATGATGCTAATGCTTCAACGGAATATTGTAACTAACAGTAAATAGGGTTTGAAGAAGTATAATAGCGTACCTCGAGGAGGGTCTTTAGCTAAATAATAAATATTCCTGATATCTTACTAGATTGAAGATTATTTTGGGCTTCCCATATTATGGTGTACAGTAACTAAGTGTAGTTAAATCAGGTGACTTCCCCTAAAGGTATAAAGGCAGTTCTTGAAGGCATGGCTACACCTGCTTGTTTGAATCAACAGTCCCTCTCCACATTCACAACACAACTATGTTACAGGGCATACCACATGCCCTGTTTGCAAAATATTCTGGGCTATTCAAAACATAATGTTTCTTCAGTTCATGGGTTTGAAGAAACTACAAAAATTATACATATACATTAACAAGTGTTGTTTTATAATGTTTTTTTAAAGTTTCTGTGAACTAATTTTTTAAAATTAATTACATACTTACTGAGTATGAACAATTTATTTCAGGAATATATTCATTACATTAACCCTTTAATCTTATATTGTACAATGGGGACAAAGAAGTTGAAACTTAATTTTGGATTTAAATAATGGCAATAAAACAGTTTCTTGATTTTTTTAAAAATGACCAACATTGAAATGGTCTTGATAAATCCACAGAATCAACACTCTTGTATGTCATGTGGATGTAGCAATATTGTTGTTTGTGATTTACATCAGGATAGAAACTTAAAATCGACATGCCCACAATCCCACAATGCCTATCCATCAGTGTTGGATTAGGAAGAATGTTGGTCCTTCATGTTTAAACTAAAATATTTAAGAAGCCCACTTGTCAAACACTGCAACTCAGAACCTCAAGGACCCTAATAATGTAACATTAATCAGTGTTCGAAACAGCCACTGGCCTGCTAGCCTGTGGCTAGTAAAAATCTAGAAGATTTACTGTGAAGATTTACTGGCCCGACTGGCTAGTGAATTTTCATGGGGTCATATTGTAAATATATATCACTCTCCGACTTGTTAAGTATTAACACTCTTTTACATCATGCAAGATTATGACCTGATTAAAATGTTCATCATATTATCAGCTTAATGATGAAACCCATGTCTACATTCAAATTTTTGGCTAGTGAATTGTTTTGTGGGCTAGTGACTTTCAGGCATAGGTGGCCCGACTGGCTAGCAAAATTTGGAAACTATCTTGCACACTGTTAATACGTCTTGTCAGAAAAGTAGCTATACCAGACTAATAACTTGTGATTAGTCATGGACTTGTGCACAAACATCTGTGTTGACTCGTGACATCTACACTCTGAGGATTGTGGGTGGAACTTACCTTATTCTAATTAACATAACTGTAATGAATATTATCAATAATCAATCAATGTTATTCGAATTTAACAGCCAAGAATTCAGTGAGACATTTACTCAGTTAATAGTAATGGTGATCCCAAACCTAGTGAGTAAATGAGTATGGTTTATGCTGCTTTTAGCAATATTCCAGCAATATCACAGCCGGGGAAACAAGAAATGGGCTTCAAACATTTTATCCATGTGAAGAATCAAACCCAGGTTTTCGGCAGGACGGGCAGACACTTTAACCACTAGGCTACCCCAACTAGTAAGTCTTACCAGTTTCCAAATATTACCAATGATTTCTCATATTTACCTGTCAATTTTCAAATATTACCAATGATTTCTTATATTTACCTGACAATTTTCAAGTATTACCAACGATTTCTTATATTTATCTGACAATTGCCAAATGTTATCAATGATTTCTTATAATTTCCTGACAATTTTCAAATGTTACCAATGATTTTCTTTCACTTACTTGCATCAACATGACCTCCTCCCAGAGCTGTTGATTGACATAGAACTCCTTGTGAACCTCCTCAATGAGGACCCTCCAGTTCTGGCTCACACAGAGTGCATTCTGTTGTGACGGTCTGTCCAAAAGGCTCAGTATATACTTTGACAGATGTACAGGCAACAACCGGATGAAGTCTCGATACCGAGACACCCCAGAGTAAGCTTTGGATGAAGTGGACACCACCATGCACGCTGGGTCAATGGAGAGATCAGATGATCCTGTGAGGGTCTCATCTCCACTGTCATCATTGATAATGCCTTGATCATACTCAGAAATACTTTCTCCAGTGAAAGGGTCAGTGCGTATTCGGTCATAGTGAGAACTGGACTGTTGGAGAAGTAGGAGCTCTCGATGGTCAACTGAATCAAACGAATAATCAGAAGCAGCAACAGATGACGCCTCAGTGTGAGACAAATCTGAAACACAAAAGTAATAAAACGTGTCAAGTCGAACATGGTCATTTCAAAATGTCACTGAAGTCAAACCCAGGATCTCCTCGATCTTAAAATTCTGATCATCTGAACTTTGACTGTGGTCTGTTTAATGCTAAGTGACCATTAGCTGCAAGGACATACAGTTTTGATGAATTTATTCTCTCAATAAATTCAACATGTTTTTTAAAGTATTTCACCAAGGTAATTTTGTAAGATTGACTCATTATATTACTGTAGATAAATAAAACAAGGAACTATTACCATGGTAACACTTCCTGTTGAAGCATGAAGTTGTAAAATTTATCCGTGGATGGTTACAAAAGCACTCATTCACAAAGCGAGAGCTATGACTGGTGTAAGTCTGAAAGTACCTGAGTTTTACTTTGTACATCTTGCCATTTGAGATCATAATCGTTATTCTTAATGGCATTTTGAATGCCACAGATCAACAATCCAAAGTGAACATAATTTAAACAGCTCATTCACAGTTGCTACACTCCTACTTTCACTTAACCGAGTAAATTCAAATACTTAACAGATAGCATTGAAAGAAATCATTGAAAAATAATGTTTAATTACATTTTCAATTGATGGTAATGATAGACCTATTCTTTTTGTTCACAATTTTAATGTGACAAACTCCACAAAAAACACAGCTAGCCCTTAAGGTTTACTACTGAGACCTGTGAAGATTTGGGTTAGAATTGGTCTTAAGTAACTCATGCTTGTTGTAACGGGATCAGATGTTCAGGCTTGCTGACACGTCATCGTATCCCAATTGCATAGAACGATGCTCATGATGTTGATCACTGGATTGTATGGTCCAGACTTGATTATTTGCAGACCACCGCCATATAGCTGGGATATTGCTGAGAGTGGTGTTAAACAACAAACAAACAACAACTGTTACTACTGAACCATGGATTTGACAAATCACTTGATTACAAAAGCAAATAATGTACATCCTTAAAATATCCTTGACTTTCATCATGCTCATGCCTCCACCTACATGTATTTCACTGAATTGATGCAACAGTGATCACATATACAAATCAGTTGATAAAGGTAATGTAGCCAGTGCTATAGAGACAATTTGAAGATTTCACACTATTGTATTAGCTAATTCAAGCTTCCAGATTGGTGTATTCTCTAGGGCATTGATTGTCACCAGAAATGTCATGAAGATATTCCTCAAATCTGGGAAATTACAAAAAGAGTGTTCAATTATAATTAGCTGAAATCACAAAAATGCCTTAATGACATTTGTATTGAGCAAATTACTGATTCACTTTATTTTATTTTGCCAAAAACAATTTGTATCACTGTCCAAAACATCTTTTGTTTATGGGTATGTCCTATTCTTGAGTTTATAATACCAGTCATTCAAAGTAAGTGAGTCTTATCTTTATGTCATTCGGACAAAGTCAACGAGGACTAGCTGACATCTTTACCTATGTTTAAGCAAACATCCAATATCACAAAAAGTGATGTGATGACAGATTTATTGCCAGTAGATTCTTTGATATATTGCAGATGAAAAGCAAACCCCAATTTGTTTCCCAGCAGTATGTTAATGTCAGTAACAAAACAAAAATATATGTAACTTGAAAACACAAAAGCTATAAAAGATGTATGGCTGTAAAACCGCCAGAACATGTACAGTTCCAATGACAAAGGTGCATCTATTGATTTATCTTATCTGATCAAATCAACCAATTTGTGCACAGGAGGCACTTGAATCAGCTAGAGGATTACCCACCATATGATCAAACAAAGGCAACAAAAGAGTAAGAATGTGTGTGAGTTTTATGTCAGTTTTAGCAGTGTTGAACAACATTTGTGCAATGGTCAGTGAACTCTGAGAATTGTTTTGACACTGGGCGGTCTTCCTTTCCGTTATTCAGAGTGAACATATCACAATCGTGCTGATGTGTCATGAAAACCACCAGAAACTCTAATATTTATTACAATAATGCAAACTATAACACTGGAGTTTTTAATCATTATCTGTTGGTACTGATGCCAAGTATACTCTGATTAAATTACCATCATCAACTAGAAACATTTTCAATCACAAAGTTAACATCTGACATTATGCACTTGTTACATCAAGTATTTTCATAATTAATTCATTTTTTACATATCCTGCCTGCTTTATATCCAACACTTCAGTTTGTTTTGCTGATTCAAAGTTAAGATAAGCATGGTTATCCAGATGAACTGTGTTTAGTTTAAAATCATAAAAGACACGAAATGACTATACACATGCATAGAAGAGGACTCAGTGAAATGCTTCTGAAAATCAGTAAAATTAATGAACCACAAATATTTGGCTTCAATTCATAACATGGTTTGTTTGGATAATTCAGCTGGTCTACTCAATAACTGCACAGCTAAAATACAATTACAAATACTGCCAACCTGCCAATATTTAAGGGACTAGTCAACAATGGCTGGAATATTACCTTCATGGCCTCCGCATGCATTCTCCTCTGAGATGAGTAAAGTTCTTGCTTGAGTCCCAAGAATATGTAGAAGATGAACATCACACAACCGCAATAATGCCAAAGCGAAATTTGATTTTGACCAATAATTTGATTTTGCAAACCAGTCCCATGTGGAGGTGATATAGTACTCAACAGCACTGGATGATAAACTCCGATCTGAGCTAAGTGTCATTGTATCTGTTCGTAAGCTTGGGCATGTTCTTGTCCGAGCATAGGTAAAGTCCTTGTTCACTAAAGGTTGAAGAAGAGTCACTAATTGTTGTAGTAGGTTAATGCTGTGTATGCGTCTCATTAATCCCAACATGAAGCGTTTCTGGGAATGATCTCCAAATCGGACAAACCATTCCTTAACATATTTGAGTCGGTCGTTTAACTCGCATGTTTCACATTTTCCACACACAGTTGCTTTTTGTGAAAAAACACATCTGAGTTCAGGGGCCTTTCCCAGGTTAAACTCATAGGTTTCCAGGTTAGACTGTGGGTGCTTCATTGTACTGGACAGGGAAGACCCAGTAAAGTTGTATACGTCCAACATCTTTCGACTGAAACTGAATGAATCATGGTATGTCCTTTATTAACCTTAGTAAGAATGACTTACAATATAATTCATACTGCATATCTTATTGATAAATACATTTTTTTATCACCAACTGTCAGAAGAGGAAAGTTCTGAATACAAAATAAGTAACAATCCTCCATTCAGAAAAGCATTTCAGTAGACAAGTTTGCTTAAAAGAAACTTAAATAATTTTAAGAGACGAAAGAAACAAGATTAGAAATGGTAAATCCGGTTTTTTACATTTATAAATGTTTTGGAGAAAAATTACTGAATTCAACGAGCTCTAACATCACAATTCATGAAAATTAATATTAAACATTACATGAAGTCAACAAAACGAACAAAGTATAGATTTACAAGCATCGTATGTGACCTAGAGTCCTATGATTAATGTAAGCTGCAAGCATGTGTTTATGTTCAGTCACAAATGTATCAACTGCATGCTAGAGTAGACAATGACATCGATACAAACTGAACACAATAACTTTTCTTACCACTATCCAAATGTTTAGTGATATCCCGTTAGGCAACTGATCGTAACATTCTCCAAGTGGGACTTTCCCCTCTGAATCCTCATTGCTACTGTATCATTTCCACTACAACACAACCGACCAACCATACACATTCGACTCGGGGCATTATCTGTTCAATATGGCTTTCTTAGTAGGCCGCTTGCATTTCAGCGTCGCCGTCCCCAAGGTGACAACCATTTGTTTGCTTAATCGTATTGAGATTCGGCCTTTGGTTCTCTACACGTATGAATGAACGAGTTATCGCCCTTGATGCGACAACCCCGTACTTATCTGCTTATAACTCTTTATTCGATTAATATGACTGTGGTAATTTCAAAATTTGTCAGTTAACAATTCAATAATATCATATGATAGCCTGTGACATATTCTTCCATTGAAACAGAAAACAGTAATACTAACACAAAATCAAGGCTGCGAGGCGAAAGTATCTTATACACAGACTCGATATCAATGAACTATCAGGAAATCGTGTGAAATTAAAACAGCACCTCGTTTACCACAAACTAATAGTATAGTGCTATCGGTATTTTATACTAGAAATACATATTCTATGGCCTATGAATAGGACACATTAGATGTGTAAGATATCCATTCAACAAATGTAAGCAAGGGGTAAACCCATGTGAGGCGCGTCGTCTGCTACCGGAAATAACCTTGCGCAGAGGTTGGCCTCTTAGCAACTCAGTGGCCCGGATGTTGATTATACAAAATGGAGGATCTCTGTTGGTGACAGGTTTCGCGAATTGTAGTGTTCATGATTACGGGGACTGATGCCCTTGATACAGGTCCCCAGAAAGTGACAATAGCCTCTGTAGCAAAAACAACATAAATACATCTCCGAGAGTAGCCTACAGATTTCCTGTTTTCAGATATGGCTCTTCAGCGGGCCAAGGTTTGTAATTATAATTTGATTATTTGGTACTTCGACACGCAATTTATTATGTGAACCTATTCATACTGCGGATAAAGATATTTTATCGTTTCAAACTCTTTTCATTCGACATTTTTCGATTTATTGAACTTCCAAAATATTTTGAATTCTTTCAATCGTAAGTTGTCAAACCATTATATATGCCGCATCTATTATTCAGTTATCTTCACTTTCCATTCATGCAGAATCACTTTCACTATGTTGGACAATCGTTCAAAATGCCGGAAAACACACATCTTTATCCGAAGTCATATATGCATATATCCTAAAAACTAAACTTCAAAATCAGAGTCCCCTTTTTGCAGTATCAATATTCATATTTGGTTTTCATTCAACTTGCTGTTTAAGCATTTATACTGTCAAAGTTACATAGTTTTTCCACTCTGTTTTCAAGGTATTTCTTTTGGCCTGCACAAGCATGATTATGGCTTTATGTTTCCTGCTTTAGCTAATACAGTGAATGATATCCCTAAAAAATAGTTTTAGTGAAGCATATATCATTCGATAGATGGATTGGATGATGGATTATTTTTAGATTAAGTTGTCTTTAGTAAGTTAATGACATATCTTACAGCTGTTCATGTGATAATAAAGAAAGCAATTGTAGTTCTTTTGCATCCAAACAAGGATATGTTGTGCTATTTAATCACAGTGAATTGAACTTTGCAATTTTGACAGAAATATATTTGGTTATCTTACATAAAATCAATTTACATTTATTTGACTGGTTGTGCAGCTATACATATCAAAAGGCCAATATTGTTTCTATCAAGGACACATATATTAGGACTGTGTATAGGCAAATAGATTGTATTGAAATTTGCAATACAGCTGTACATATTGCAATATGTATTGTGATATATTGGTTGTTACAGTGTTTGACTGGAAGTGACACTGTTTGTGCATGCAGTTTTAATTCTTTACATACTAAGGCACTGAAAATATATGTTATGGTTCTGATAAGAACAATCTCAAAATTAGGTTGGATATTCAGGGAGAGTAGTGTGAAGTAGAACATATATAAAAGATTCCATAAAATAATGACACGGCACAAATTTTCTTCCTACCCGCTTCCACTTTATCGCCAGGGAGATAAAGTGGAAATGTGTAGGATGGAATTATATATGATACAGTGGTGTGATATGACCACAGTTAAAACCATGGACATCTACAGATTTATTTCACCAGCAATATCGCAACGATGCATGAAACAGTTCTAAATACATCAATAGATGTTATATAACAAAGTTTAAATGAATGTACAACATAATATCTCAATATTCCTGGATTCAGCTGACAAAGGCTATTACTTTTCAGGTGTGTGAAACACCTATCCAGAGTTGCAGCAAGACCAGAGGGCTGCCTGGACTCCCCCCACTTCCATCCACTGATAATCATCCATCTGACCTCTACCAGGTAACATTCAGGACAGATATGGATGTGAAATATAATTATTCAAAATACTCTAGCTTGTCACTTATGAAAGTTTGAGTAATTGCTTGCATACGATCTGTGGTATACAAATACTGATATACAAATAGAGTAAATGCATGGTCATAATCAGATTTTTCAGGGCTAGCTGTTGATATAGATCATAGAGATCACAAACTAAATATAGATAGATTATCAAAAGATATCAGCAAATTAATATTAAGGAGATATGTAACAATAGTCCCAAAGCAATCAACATAATTCTTCCCATCAGTGACAGGTATGATTTTTTTATCTTTGTAAATAGCTCAGATGTTTTGGTTAGAATTTAGTTCTTAGGGTTGACACTTTTGTATTTAGTGTAAGAAGGTTTGCTACCCAGGACAGTGGAGAACATTTTAGGGGTGTGGATATGCTGATGTAATGCTGCCTAAGAACCAAGAGTATCAGTTTAACTGTAATCAGTGTTGCTATTGTTCTACTTCTCTATGAAAAGGAGACTCCACTGTATCATGATGTTAAAAGCTTTGGTTTGGGTACATGGTAAAGTATTTTTCTTTTCCAGATTGTGCTGAGAAACAGTGAGCATCCCCCTTTGATGAAAGGTACATCATGGACTCTTGCAGCACCATTCAAAGAGCAGAAATATCACCGCAGCCCCAGCGAGTCGATTGCCAACAATTACACACCCACAGCATCCGATCTGAAGCTGAAAGACCTTCCAAAACTTGTGCGATCCAAGACAACAGGTAGACTTGACTAAAGACTCCACTGTCTTGTTCTTTGAAGGCAACATTTAACAGTCATGAATACAGTGATAACAGATTTGCCTATATTTTTGCATGATGAGATGAAAATATTTTTTTATTATTTATTTTATACTGACCAATGTTTATTTTGTTCCGACTGTCTTCTGTTATTAGTTATGCATACAGTTTCTTGACGTTTATCATTCTTAGTTATGATGAAAATATTAATAATTTTCAATGGTGAGATTCCTTTGAACAACATGAGATCAGCAGCTATATTTAAAAATGAATCTATGTTTTAGTTGAAGAGTTCTTGCTTCAAGGTGCGTCTCAGTTTAACTAACATGAAACCATCAGTCAGCATGACTAGTAATAACATACAATCAGTGTAGCTGAATATTAGTTTTCAGGTGAAGCTTGATGTTATTCCTTGACTTTAGTTGTCTTCAGCATAACATGTTGTGTTGTTTTCAGGCAGAACTTTGCCCCCAATTCACACTAGTGGTAGGTAGACCGAATGGTGTTACTAACTCAACAATTTGGTGTGATGTTGCTGTTGTAGATGTTTAACTATGTGTTTGCTGTAGAAGTCATGGATATTTCAGTAGCTCTGTTCACAGCAGCCTTTGTGTGGTAATACTGTTATGTAGCAAGTTTCCTATGTGTATCATTATACTATCAATGTATTACGTATAACGTGTAATATATAGTTAGGAATTGCTATGATGGCTTGTAGAAAAGTCATGGATTTCAAATCAATCCCGTGAAAATCAGATCTTGTCCTCACTCAGTGTTTGCCTTTAACCCTGATAAGCTGCAGGCCCTAAGGACAGAGAACCATAAAAAGTTGTGGGTCCTGATCAGAATGTGTAGGCCCTATATTTTAGCTACAATAATAGTAATTCCCAGCCAACAAACAATGTGACGACTAACAAGCTGAGTTAAAGAGTTTAATATAAGCTGTCAGTCATAAGGACCTGCAGAAAACAAAGCTGTGGGTCTGAGTGGTTTTCAGTTGGCTTTGGACCTAAGGACCTATGTTAATTTTGAATGCTGTCCTCAATATACATGTATATTTCACAACTGCAACAGAGTGGAACTTGACATAATATGTTTACAGATAAAATGAAAATATCGCCAACACTCTTTGGAGCCTCTTGGCAGCATGTGGAGCCATACAACCACTGCAAACCAAGGATAAAAATACACGTTTGTCACATGTTAGGATACTTACTCAATGAAGTTTAACGATTATGACATATTTATATAGATGTGACTTTTCAAAGATGATAAACAATATTTGTAGTTTGTTGAATTGAGATTGTGAAATGTGATGAATTGTCATATCACCTTGGCCTGTGGCAGTATAAAATTCACTTCAAAGAACTCTGGGTAGGAAAGTGATTATGAATATTGTTTGAAAGGCGAACATATTCCCAAACCATAGCTTCAAGTAAGGAGAAGTTGTTACACTTCTTAATGTATTTGCTCAATGAAATGAACTTAGCTTCCCATCTTACGATACAACTCACTATGTAGTGAGCTTGTGATATATTATATGGCATCAATATAACGTGGCATGTCTCATGTATGGCTATTTGGTATCTCTAAGGCATCATGACCTTACAATCAAGATACAGGAAACTGTCCCCAGGTTGTTCAAACCTGTATTTTTCTGTTGACAAGAACTTTAGAGAGGCCTTCACATAATAAGGTTACCGGTACGGTACTTATATTGTTGTTAATTGTACTTAGGATGATGTTGAACATGGTAACCAATATTACTATTAGTTACACAGAGTTTTGAAAGGGTGTACGGGACTGTAAGACCCTTGTAAATTGTATTTCCTGATGATGTTGAACAGCAGCAGAATTTAGTTACAAGAGTCTTACAGTCCCGGGACTGTAAGACCCTTCTAAATTGTATTTCCTGAGAGCAGCAGCAGCAGATGATGAAATCAGGAATTTACAAAGGGTCTTACAGTCCCGTACACCCTTTCAAAACACCATGTGACGAATTTATTACCCTTAAGATCTTTTTATTTAGCTTATCTTTAAACAACAACATTCAATCATCGGCAGATGAGACGCAAAACGTTTCGCCATGATTTTTCCTGAACAGTCAAAAAGGAAGATAACTCGGGATGGCTTAGTTTATGATAAAACTGTTGAATTTGAGGTTTTGTTAAACAACAAGTAAAATACAGAAACATTTTATTTTTTGGATATATTTATTGGCATAAATAAGAAATTATGGCAATAATTTTATTACTCTGTTTATACTCATAATTGTAAACGCCAACTCTAAACTTTCGAAGCGATCAGCCGTTTGGCAGCCACATTCCATCTAAGGTTAAGGTCATTCGGACAACCCGTGTAGTGTGTCACGTGACAGATTTGACGGGGTGTACGGTTCATACACCCTGGCAAATCCGCCTACATGGTTTGGTATCCTTTGGCTATTGACCAATCAAAATTCGACAAATTTATCTTAATGGTAGATAATGTAGACGGGCAATACAAGGAACTAAGGGTAAAGGGATGGGAAATGAGACTAAGAAATGGTGCAGGATGCAAAGTCTAAGTACAGTCTGTTGTCAAACAGTCAGTAAATTAACACAAGTTTATAAAAAAGCTTCATTTATACCTACCCGATAGTAAATTACGCTATCATTTTATTTTGTTAGCAAGAGAGGAAGGATATAGAGTATGATATTAACCAAACACACACACTGACACACAAACTGTAAGTTACATTGTGAACTAAAGGGGAATGTACACCTACCACTAATGAAATGAATTTGAAATGTAAATGCAGTAACGAACACTGATGAATATTACATTACGTAAAACAAAGGGCAAAAAAACCCCCAACTAACTGCACTAAACACAACTAAACTAAGATAAACCCAAAACTATACCTATGAAAAAAACAGCTGAAATGCTACATGGTATTACATTGCACTATGCTAATCAAAATCTAAACCTTAACTAAACCTAACTAAACTGAACTAATCTAAATTGAAACAAATAATTTAACTACAAATATAAACACAAAAATACACTAAATGTATAAGCCGGCAGTAATTACGTAACTTGAGTTACATAACTGAAAATTACATGAGAATATTAAGTAAAAAGATGAAAAATTAAATTACACAATGAATTAACACAAACAATAAATATATATTACATGAAAATTACGCCAGGTATATAATACACAAAGGCTGTAACTCACGTGAAGTGTCCATGATAATCCTCAATCCAAATACATGTACCTGAAAACACAAGTCACTATACACATTAAGTGTCACAAAAGAGTCACAGGCTCTCCAAGAAGGTCAAGGTCACAGTGTCATATCACTGGTTATCATCCAATGATGACGTAAACATAGACCGTAATAGTCCAGTTGTCCAAGAGTCTCCCTAGGTGCTGCCCGGTTCATCCATGCCCGAAACAATCCTCACTGGGGGCTCCAAATATAGCAGGGTCAACGTGAAGCAAAGATTAGCAACGCTCTGCTGGTTTGTGAGGTCGTTTATTTGGTAGGATGAAAGATTGCTGAACGATAAACGACACCCTGTAACAATAAATATAATAATATAATATACATCTCACACAATTCATACAAGATACATATAATTCCACTGAATACCATTACTTACTACACATATGAAATATTGGAATTATGATATTACATCATTACGAATAAGGTAATGATAATACATGCATACAATGTAATACACACAAGATAGATAAGAATACACCATTACGCATTAGTCGTAATGATAAAGTACACATGATTCGTCACCACTCATTACGTGATGGTACTATATACAAATACATGGATATAAAGACATACACACATACCCTGTGGGTGGTACAAGGGTGTACAACAATCGGGCACAGCACCAGTCTTATGGACGGGGACTTATCTGCTGTTAATAATATTAGATGATAAATAATATACACTGTAATGTGGAGTAGATTTAGGGCTGCTACATTCATGAACATAAAATTATTTCCACACATTGATAATTACACTTATAGTTATCATAGTTAAAACATAGCAACTTATATTAAAACACATTCTATCATCTCACACATTAAGTGAAAGGGATAGTAAAGATAAGAATATATTAGTGATACTTATTTATGTTTATAGCTTAGGATTGGAAAGCTAGCATAAATACATATAGCACACTTACATGCTATAGAATATAATACCTATTTAAATGATAGTAAATAGATATGCGTTTATTATATATATACTGCAAGGATGAAATGCAATATTACTTTAATTAAATGAATACTAACCTTAATGTTACACTGTGTCTGTCTAAGCTGTCCAAGAGTCAGTGCAGAATGAGTGAAATTGTGCATGGAGTTAGTGAGACCAATCAGCCGAGAAGCGTCATGGCTTGGGCAATTAGTGAGAGAGGCCAAGCTCTAAAGCTTAAACCTTAAACTGCCTAGAAATAATACAGCTAAAAGGAGAGTATAATAATATGATTAAAATAATATATTTACACTAAAATACACCTGCCACAATAAATATGCATATACTTGTAGAATAATGATGTTAATATATGGATTTGACTGTCATTAACTTTTGTGCCATATTTCGTCCATATGCATGCGTGATATCAGCAAGTCTTGGGCACGAGTGGCCCTTTTGTTTAAGGTGCCAGAATTGTTTGAGAAATATAAGAAATACAGTGGGATTGAATCCCATATTGACTTAATTATGTTTTTTGGTTCTTCAACACCACACCTTCATTACTTCTGACTTTCCTCACCCGTGAAGGTCCAGGTTAGAATATAATCTTCAGTAACCCATGCTTGTCGTAAGAGGCGACTAACGGGATAGGGTGGTCATTCTCGCTGACTTGGTTGACACATGTCATCGGTTCCCAATTGCGCAGATCGACGCTCATGCTGTTGATCACTGAATTGTCTGGTCCAGACTCGATTATTTACAGACCGCCGCCATTTAACTGGAATATTTCTGTGTGCGGCGTAGAACAAAACTCACTCACTCACTCTGACTTTCCTTTCCACATGCAACAAACATGCCAAGATATAACAGAAAAACTTGTCAAAGCAAAACTAAAGCAAACTTACTCACTCACCCTGCAAGACAGGTCGGCACCATGATTATGTAGAGTGATGTCTGTCACTGTATTAACCTCTGTGCATATTTGTGAATCTACCAGCATTGTTGTCACTCTGTTGTATTTGTCTGCTCTGCACTTTGTTGTTTTCTGTGTCTTGTTGAGTCTGCTCTTAACATCAACAAGATCTCTGCCAGAAATGGTCTTGGTAGTTTTTGAATGATTGTTTTGTGTGTAAATGTTTCATTAAGTCTGACGATCCTTGGTGAGTTAATTACTCCAGACCTACAACGGAATTGTACTGACATGCAAGAAAGATATTGTTGAACTTCTTTCCTGAGATATTCTACAAGTTACGACTGGGAGTTATTTGACAAGCAAGTATGGTTGATTATCAAAATGTATGTTTTGTACAAGGTTAAATGTGTACGCTTTAACATTATGATTTGATATTCAACTATTGACATGATGATGACCCGTGAAGATCTGGCGTAGAATAGGTCTTCAGCAACCCATGCTTGCCACCAAAGGCGACTATGCGACACCAAAGGCTACCAAAGTCGTAGGAGGCGACGAACGGGATCGGGTGGTCAGACTCGCTGACTTGGTTGACACATGTCATCGGTTCCCAATTGCGCAGATTGATGCTCATTGATGCTGTTGATTACTGGATTGTCTGGTCCAGACTCGATTATTTACAGACTGTCGCCATATAGCTGGAATATTGCTGAGTGCGATGTAACACTAAACTCACTCACTAACTCACTCACTCAACTACTGACATCACCTTGTCAGTATTTCCTTGTTTAACTGTCTGGAACTCTAGTATCAGGAGGATTTGGGTTGGAATGGGTGTAGCATGTTTTTCCTGTATCCAGCCTTAAAAATACTCATATCTGGAGTTATTGTTGGGTTGTATAATCACTGTGGACATACTGACTTGTTTGTGTTGTAGTGGAGATGGTGAAGAAAAGCCCAAGGCAGCGAGGGCCAGGAGTCACAAGGAGTAAAACAATGGATGTTGTGAAAAATGGGTGAGAAAATGTAACAAATACATAAACGTTTATGGAAAAGGATATTTGTCTAAACAAGTTCAAATTGAATTTAGTGCCTCCTGATTTGAATAATTATCAAAAGAAATGAGCAAGATTCTGTATTTCGAACTAATTAGAATAGAGCTTGACTTTTGTCAACTGACTCAGAGTCCTACTTTTAAATGTCTGAAGGAGAACTAGAGAGTTTGAGATGTCCTTTCCTGGTTTATAACTATGTGAATTCCTCGAAACACTGACTACCTATATCTAACCCTATGACTTTGCTAATAATCGTCGGCCAAAGTAGCAACCTGATGTAACTGATGAACTTTTTGCTCATCCAGATGTGTCCAAATGTTCCATTAAAACTCAAACCATCAAGCGATAAAATTCGCCATTGACAACTTTTGAAGTGAACGACCTGTCAAACAAAGTTTCCTTCACCCTAGCATAGTTCACAAAGTTAGAACCATCCATTTTTTTTAGCAGACCTAAACATTTGCCAATAAGCATCAGGATCTCAGTTATTAACCTGAACTACTACAGCTTTGACAGCCTGACAATCATAACTCCTATCTATAGGTTATGCAGAATAAACTTCTTCAGCCTTTCCTGTAAATACACTTTGCAACAACATTGTCCACTGATTCTCGGGCAGGTTTCAGATTGATAGCCACCTTTTCAAAATATGCATAAAACATTTTCAACATTATGTTCAGAGAAAGGTGGAACAAGTCTGCCTTTGAAAGATCAACGATCTGTTACATCCATTCTACATGGACCTTTACATAACTTTAATTTTTAAACTTATCCTATCTCACATCTTGTACTCTCTCTTTAATTTGTCCAGCTGAGTGGAAACGAACTGTAAACAAAAATGTAGGCCTCTGTTGTCCATACACCCATGTACCCATGCTGCTCCCCTTATTGGACAGCGACTGTGCCTCCTGAGAAGCATGCAGTACACTCCACTACCTGCTCGCGATACCATCCCTTACTGATCATCCTCATTCTTGTCGCATGGCTGTGCATACGTACTGTGAGCTAATTAAGAAATTTTCATCTCCCTTTGTCATTATGGGGAGATCTGATTCCTCTACTAAAAAAGGAACTTTTGCAATCAGTCCTGTGTGGACTGTGGAGGTTTATGTTCCAGGGACAATCGTTGTGCTCAATGTAAGTCCTTGAATGATGACTCATTTGTGGCTTATAGAAGGGTTGGTTATCTGTGCCGCTCGGACAGGGATTCGTCCGAAGAGTTTGGCCCTTCACCCGCTAAAAAGTCAAGAAGGTTGCTTACCAATTGGTCATGCCCATCTCAGATCAACAAGAGTTTCTCAAGGTTTCATCTGACTCCTACCTTTCAGCTGTCTCTTTCGGCCAGCCGACGCACCTTCACCTAAGTGGACCTTCGCTTCACCGGTGGTCGTAGTGGAGCATTCATCAAACCCAAAGGAGGCTTCTCCATCTAAGGGCAAGCTTGACCATGTCTTGTCATCCCTCATAACCGTTGGATTCACTGGATCAACCATCAGAGATTGTTCCATCAGTGGCTATTGGGAGGCATTCGACAGGTCCTCCCTCTCTGGAGCATTTGCCGAATCAAATTGAGCTGACTTTGGATTTCTCTACCTTCGCCCCATAGATCTGTGTCTCGCACATGGTTTGACCACCCCTCTTCGTCTCATGCTTCTTCTTGGGTGTCGCACCGACCACATTCCCGATATCATTCTCATTCTACAGAGTGACAGCATTCGACGATTCACCGCTCTTCGTCTCATGCTACCTCAGGTGCGCCTCACTGACCTCACTCCCAGGATCGTTCTCATTCGTAGAATCGACCCCTTTCGGTGGATCATTCTCATCCGACAGATTGTGCCAGTTCGATGAACATCCCCTCTTCATCTCGTGCTACTTCTTGTGCGCCACACCACCCATATTCTTGCTATTGTTCTCATTTGGCATATCAAGAGCATTCGTCGAATTGACCCCTTTCGGTGGATGGTCCATTCTCGGCGAATCTTCCGACCTCATCGAACCGTCCTAGTGCTACAGTCAGTCGTTCGGGTCCATCTGTGTCGACTGACATCCGATCTTCAGTTACCACATTCCCGTCTGATTCAGCACTTCCTCAGGCTTCATCAGATGTTGTGAACCCTCATGAGCCCATAGTTAGGCCCGCCTATTCTTCCCAAGTCTTGGGACCCATCACAGGATATTTCGCCTAGACCGATTTGTGATTTTGATACAATGGTTCGGGCCATTTCTGCAGCTTGGACCTAGATGCAGCAGCCACTCTCTCGATCTACGTCTCAGCCTGTTGTTGTGTCAGATGCTTCCTGTAAACGTCCTCTCAAGTCCGACTCCGGAGCCGGAGCTGGTTTAGGGAAACAGTGACTTGCAGACATTGTCGCACGACTGGGATCTTCCGCCCCCAGTCGTCCCAATCTCAGACCTGTATGACTCTGTCTCTGGGCTTCCAGATGCCACTCATCAGATTGCCACCCCTGACCTACGATCCAGTGCAATGAACCTATCCAGCGAATCAGTTACCGATAGATATGTTGCTCGAGAAACATGCTGTAGAACATCTCCGACCATTGTCAGATACTCCTGGCTTTTACTGCCCGATCTTTCTTGTTCCGAAGAAAGCTTCCATCCCCCCTACTTCTGCTTCTGCACAGGTTGTCGCAGAGTTCCTTCAGCATTTGCCTGCTGCTAAGAAATTGAAGTGAACTATGCTGGCTATGTATTTGGCTGCTATTAACATGGTGCTAGCTACTACAACCGTTGTCACGGTCTCCACCATTCCTGAACTCCAGTATCTTTTGTGCTCATATCAGTTGACTGACAAGTTGAAAAAATTCCGGACTCCGGCTTGGGACCTCTCTGTTGTCTTCCATCAGTTCGGTCCTTTGGTGCTCGCACAGCAGCTGTCTTTGGCCCACCATCGCAGATAAAGGGACTTGTTCCACGCGGTTCATTGCTTCCTTGTACATACAGAATAAAGTCTGAATTCTATTTCATTCTTTGTTTTCCGTTTATGGGCTTAGATTTACCTCACCTAGTTCCACACTAGGGCATTAAGTACGGCCGCCGGATGTGGCCTCCTCATTTACTTTGAGGCTTGTACTACGTCAGTGAAGTGTGAACTACCAAATTCCAGGGGATTTCGATGCGTTCCACTCCTAAGTCGCTGGATACATCATTGACTAAGCTTAGGCAAAGGAGCAAGGCTCATTCGATGTTGTTTCGGAACTGAATGTTAAAATAGTGAGCCTCCTGAGTCGCTTTCCCTTTCACCTCTATTAGATGGTGTCTGTGGGGGGCGGTCTCGAAGCAGGGGGTGGGCCAGATTAAGGTCGAGAGATCTTAATTTACTGGGGTTTTCTGTAAAGCGTAGCAAAGCGGGATTTCTTGCCGAGCTACTTTCCACCTTCGCATAAAAAGGTTGCATTACCACATTACACTGGAGCGCCCATCTCCCTTGGAGTTTTGTGCATAGAAAGCCAAGGGTTTCCGTGGATTAACCTGTCACAAGCATAGGAGTTATGTAATCTTGAGATTTGTAACAGGCCTCCCTTGTGCATCGCTATCTACGGTTGTTTGGCACTAGTTGTCTGCACTGTCTAGACACAGGGTAATCTGCGCTCGCCGTCCAACTGTGGGATAAGTACAAAACATGAGATAGGATAAGTTTAAACATTTGAGGCCTCCCCACTACTCCAATTACAACTTTGCTCCAAGAAAGAGAATGATCAGTAAGGGATGGTACCGTAAGCTGGTAGTGGAGTGTACTGCATGCTTCTCAGGAGGCACAGTTGCTGTCCAATAAGGGGAACAGCATGGGTACGTACGTGCGTACATTTTTGTTCACTTTTCGTTTCCACTTGGCCGTGAGATAGGATAAGTATAAAATATCAATTTTATTCAGAAAATTACATTTTAGAGTTAAAATTTTCAATTATGTATTGCCTATTCAGTCCATCAATAAACTTGTTTCTCTTCTTTTAGTCTGATCAATGGTCAGTTATCACCACGTCAGGAAGTTGTGCCAGAACTACCACCAAGTCGACCTCTGACCCCAACTGAGCAGATGGACATCATGCAGGCCATAGAGGAAGAGGAAAGTAAGCAGTCTGGAGAACCCAATGACAGAGACCTCGAGGTACGACCATCCGTTCAATATTATTTTGCAGTGGACAAAACAGATTTGCAATATGATGTTTAAGAATGACATCAACTACAAGAATTGATTTTACTCGCTTAAAATATTTGTACCTGAACTGGAATCCCTGTTATCACTGGTCTTCAGGAACCCAAGTTTGTCGTAAGAAGTGAGTGACAGGATTGATGACTTAGTTAATGCATGACATCATATCGGAGTTGCGTAAATTGGTGCTCATGATGTCAGGCACTGTATTGTCAGGTTCCGACTGGACTATTTTCAGACTTTCATGTTATAGTTGTAAAGTTGGGCATTAACAAACACAACCCTGCTTTTGCTTCCAGCGTTACTACTACTACATTAACAAGGGTATCCGGAAAGAGATGCTGGCTCCCCAGTCTCCAACCCAGATTAAGAACATCCAGCTCCTCGTCCCCTCTAGTCTCATCTCCAGCTGGGAACACGAGGCCCTCAACCAGCAGCTGCTGCAGGAGATAGATGAAGGCTACGAGATGAGCATCAGGAAGTCAATAGGTGGGTGCAGGACCTACGTTACAGTTCAATATGTTGTTCATGACATGTATTGTTTTTATAAATGTGTTTCTTCATTTTAATCCCCCCAAAAAATCAAATTAGACATTTGTATAGCACTACATATCCTGAGTCCTGCTCATGTGCTCTTAATCAAATGCTCGTTTGAAGAGGATGGTTTTGAGACAAGATCGGAAACTGTTGATATTTTCTAATTTTCTGTTGATATTTTCCGATTTTTAAGAAAATCATGCAAACCTTGATTGTAATGATTGATTTGTTTGTGACATATGCCGGTTGATTAAACTAACTGAAAATCTCTACATCAGAGTAGAATTAATGTTTAATGTCAATAACTTGATACCTGTAAAAATAATTGAAGTAAATTCTTATAAATATACAAGTCATCAAAAAACACTTCACAAGCACTACCAACTCTCCTGTTAGTCAGTCATCAAACAGTAGTACACAATCATACTTGCTCAGTTATCCGGTCAAATTGGATGTGATTGAGATCTATATCTTAAGCTGTATTTACCGTTTGGGATCTTCTGCATGTAATTACTGTCCAGGATTTTGGGTTATCATCATGACAATGTTGTGTTGCAGTTGACTACGTTCTGAAGGACCAGGATGAGAGAGACAGACTACACATTGCTTATACACCAAAACCGTTCCCTCTGAGGTAAAATGATGTCAGTTGACCCTTTCACGGAATATGTTGTATTGCCTTTACTTGTGCGCGATAATTCACACTTCTGCTTTGCAAATAATTGGAAATATATCACTTTGAAGTTGTTTCAGGTATTTGCTCTTTACTAGATGTATTTGTTGTCTTTATGACTGGTCAAGCTGTACAGATAGTTTGATCCTTGAGATGGAAATTTAATCTGTAATCTTTTTGTAGGTTGATACGAGCTCCCGTTCCCTGGCACCAGTCGTACCAGCTGTCTCGTAACTTCAACTTCAACCACCTATTCATTACAAACTCCATTATGCATGATCTACAGAACATCTGGTTTGACCAGTAAGTACAACATCATCCTGTACAAGCGGTGGTTTTCATGTCATATAATCATCTCTGGAACAAAGCTAAATATACAGGGTGTACTCTCATGTAAACACATGTACAGTTAGACATAAGTGCATGTTTACATTTGTAATTTGTGACATTTGTTCAGCCATGTGAAGTAGCGAGTACAGATGTGACAACCTATACAAGAAGTAGGTCAACATCTCTTCCAGCATATATAGATGATAATAACTCTTTCTTATACTGTTTTTTAGTACATGATATCACTTTCAAACTTTAACTCATATTATGATACTGATGAATTGGTTATGATAATGAGTAATTTATAATATGATGTTCAAACAAGCCCATTCTATAATGGGAGAGGAGATGATGAGCCATCAGTGCTTTTTGGTGAGTGAAATGGCAATTGGGAATCACAAACTGACACTGATCCTGATTCAGGTACTTATTCTGATAGACATCCATGCTGTAGATGTGATCTTGCTATTTGCAGATTTAAATAACTTTCACCAACTCACTCAGTGTATATATACCAGTCTACATTCGTTAATGTTATTTAAAAGTGTGTTTGACCCATAGCATTACTAGTTGATGTAAGTGCTGATGTGTGTACTTATATATTCTAAGGTTCAGCCATCTGCGGTTCATCAACCTGAAGGAACTGTTGGCGTCAGACCTGCCCCTGCTGCCTGCTGAGTTTGAATCCCTCGTCAAGAAACAGTGTTGGGAGGCTCATGAAGTTCTCAGGAAGAGGTGAGGAGTTCAGGACCTTTGTACAGAGGAGTGAGTGAGTGAGTTTAGTTTTACGCCACACTCAGCAATATTCCAGCTATATGGTGGCGGTCTGTAAATAATCGAGTCTGGACCAGACAATCCAGTGATCAACAGCATGAGCATCGATCTGCGCAATTGGGAACCGATGACGTGGTTAACCAAGTCAGCGAGCCTGACCACCCGATCCCGTTAGTTGCCTCTTACGACAAGCATAGTCGCCTTTTGTGGCAAGCATGGGTTGCTGAAGACCTATTCTACCCCGGATCTTCACGGGTCTTGTACAGAGGATGTGATCTTTCAGCAATATATGTTAGATAACGCAAAGAGTCATTATACTCTAATGTGTTATTTGTGCATGCATTTGAATATTGGACAGCACTATCAACCACATTCCTGTTAGTGATATAGCAGAATCGAATATTATTGAGTATGTCATACTTAGTGAATTACATATATATTTCAGGTCATACATAGGACAAACATGAAACATATATAACAAAGCTTTATGAATAGCTTTTCCCCATGGAATTTATAGGGTAGTATGTAGGTTTGGGGTTATAAAGACACAAATAAGTTGTGCTATGTTAATCCTCAGAATGGCTGAATCATGTGAATGGCTGTTACGTCTCTCATACTTGTCGGCTGTTTCAGCTGGATTCCTACATGTGCGAAGGTGTTCATTGAGAAGACCGACCTGTGGCAGGACCTAGTTCCTCCCAATGATACAGACTCCACAGAGATGATTCAGGAATTCTTCCGCTGCGTCGCCGCCGTCATGTCCATCCACCTCCGCAGCATGGTCATCAACTCACTCGGGGACTTCCTGGAGTTCTTCCAGATACACAAGGTATGGGTTGTTGGTACCTACAAATATAACCCTGCTGACCTTTATTTATGTAGTTATGCAACATTTTTATGAAAGTAGTCATTCGGATGTTGCACGATCTGCCATGTGTATCTTACCTGCTCCTGCACACCTAGTGTCTGTTACGTGATTGCTGTGAGTGAGTGAGTTTTGTTTAACACATGCCCTCAGCAATATTCCAGCTATAAGGCGTCCGTCTGTAAATAACCGAGCCTGACCACACAATCCAGTGATTGACATCTTGTGTCTGTTATGTGTGTACTGTGTTGATGAGTTAACCATTACCACCTGGTTTCTGTTATGTGCATGCTGTGTAATGATGAGTCGCCCATTACCACCTGGTGTCTGTTATGTGTATGCTGTGTTGATGAGTTACCCATTACCACCTGGTGTCTGTTATGTGTTTACTGTGTTGATGAGTTACCCATTACCACCTGGTGTCTGTTATGTGTATACTGTGTTGATGAGTTACCCATTACCACCTGGTGTCTGTTATGTGTATACTGTGTTGATGAGTTACCCATTACCACCTGGTGTCTGTTATGTGTATACTGTGTTGATGAGTTACCCATTACCACCTGGTGTCTGTTATGTGTATACTGTGTTGATGAGTTACCCATTACCACCTGGTGTCTGTTATGTGTTTACTGTGTTGATGAGTTACCCATTACCACCTGGTGTCTGTTATGTGTTTACTGTGTTGATGAGTTACCCATTACCACCTGGTGTCTGTTATGTGTTTACTGTGTTGATGAGTTACCCATTACCACCTGGTGTCTGTTATGTGTATACTGTGTTGATGAGTTACCCATTACCACCTGGTGTCTGTTATGTGTACACTGTGTTGATGAGTTACCCATTACCACCTGGTGTCTGTTATGTGTATACTGTGTTGATGAGTTACCCATTACCACCTGGTGTCTGTTATGTGTACACTGTGTTGATGAGTTACCCATTACCACCTGGTGTCTGTTATGTGTATACTGTGTTGATGAGTTACCCATTACCACCTGGTGTCTGTTATGTGTACACTGTGTTGATGAGTTACCCATTACCACCTGGTGTCTGTTATGTGTGTACTGTGTTGATGAGTTACCCATTACCACCTGGTGTCTGTTATGTGTTTACTGTGTTGATGAGTTACCCATTACCACCTGGTGTCTGTTATGTGTATACTGTGTTGATGAGTTACCCATTACCACCTGGTGTCTGTTATGTGTGTACTGTGTTGATGAGTTACCCATTACCACCTGGTGTCTGTTATGTGTATACTGTGTTGATGAGTTACCCATTACCACCTGGTGTCTGTTATGTGTATACTGTGTTGATGAGTTACCCATTACCACCTGGTGTCTGTTATGTGTATACTGTGTTGATGAGTTACCCATTACCACCTGGTGTCTGTTATGTGTACACTGTGTTGATGAGTTACCCATTACCACCTGGTGTCTGTTATGTGTTTACTGTGTTGATGAGTTACCCATTACCACCTGGTGTCTGTTATGTGTATACTGTGTTGATGAGTTACCCATTACCACCTGGTGTCTGTTATGTATATACTGTGTTGATGAGTTACCCATTACCACCTGGTGTCTGTTATGTGTATACTGTGTTGATGAGTTACCCATTACCACCTGGTGTCTGTTATGTGTACACTGTGTTGATGAGTTACCCATTACCACCTGGTGTCTGTTATGTGTATACTGTGTTGATGAGTTACCCATTACCACCTGGTGTCTGTTATGTGTATACTGTGTTGATGAGTTACCCATTACCACCTGGTGTCTGTTATGTGTACACTGTGTTGATGAGTTACCCATTACCACCTGGTGTCTGTTATGTGTATACTGTGTTGATGAGTTACCCATTACCACCTGGTGTCTGTTATGTGTATATGGTGTGTTGATGAGTTACCCATTACCACCTGGTGTCTGTTATGTGTATACTGTGTTGATGAGTTACCCATTACCACCTGGTGTCTGTTATGTGTACACTGTGTTGATGAGTTACCCATTACCACCTGGTGTCTGTTATGTGTTTACTGTGTTGATGAGTTACCCATTACCACCTGGTGTCTGTTATGTGTATACTGTGTTGATGAGTTACCCATTACCACCTGGTGTCTGTTATGTGTTTACTGTGTTGATGAGTTACCCATTACCACCTGGTGTCTGTTATGTGTATACTGTGTTGATGAGTTACCCATTACCACCTGGTGTCTGTTATATGAATACTGTGTGTTCTAGGTGGGTAACGACTTCGGTGAGGAGTTTGACGAGCTGCAGTACGTCATGCCGCAGATCATGATCATCAAGTTGAGGGTGGAGGACCCCAAGATCGTGTTTGACCCACCCTTCAGGGAGATCAGAGACATCATTCTCAAATGTTTCTCCGAGATCATTGCCAGTGGAGAGGGACTATCAAGGGTATGGAATAAATGTAGATAGCATAAACAAAATAATCTTGCTTTTAGTTTGATATCTCTTAAGTGTATGTATGTTGTGTAAATTAGGTGTTCCACCAGTATGGGATGTTATCCTGTAGATAACATCAGCTTTTGTCAAGTTCTCACATATTTTGGAGAGTTAATTGCCATGTTATTTCTGACATTACTGACTTTTGTTTGATTTTTATAAGAGATAATTTAGGCAACACTCAATAAATAACACTATTCCTGGCTGCAGGTTGAAACGGAACTATTCCCTGATATGAGAGGTCAGCGCCTCCTCTTGAGGTCAGTGAAAATCGAGGAGACACTGTTCACCGACTTTGTTGATAAGGCCATGGAGATCTTCAAGGATAACACGGTGGGACCTCAGAAGTAAGTAGGATCTCCTGTCCCACTTTATCTTTTTAAATTATACTTAACATGTTCAGAAGTGAGTAGCATGTCCTTTCCCATGCTATCTTTTAACATTATGTTTTTCCCTGCTCCTTCAAATTTTCAGGAAATCTATGCTTAAGATTAAAATTGGAATTTATTAAATATATTTCTGTAAATTATTGACCTGAAGGTTTGGACCTAAAATCTGTAAACCAAAGAAAATATAACAATTTCACCTTACTGACACTTAATGTACCAGTCCTTTTTCATGGTCTCTCTCATTGCAGATACCTAAACATATACAAGAAATATTCAGATCTGCTCAACAACAAAGCCGATCAGGACGTGTCAGCCTTCCTCCGAGAAAAACATTCCATACAAGCTTTCAAGAAGGTAAGTACTCATCATCTGGATATCATGTGAATGTAATTATTACCATAATTATTTTTAAAAATGCTTCTTAATGCTTCAAGCTATATTGGGGGCAGTGGGGTAGCCTAGTGGTTAAAGCGTTGGCTCGTAACGCCGAGGACCCGGGTTCGAATCCCCACATGGGTACATTGTGTGAAGCCCATTTCTGGTGTCCCCCGCCGTGATGTTGCTGGAATATTGCTAAAAGCGGCATAAAACCAAACTCACTCACTCACTCAAGCTATATTGTGAATCTGAATAGTGACTGATATTGTGTGCTATGTTGTTGGGGGACGATGACACATAGTTTGTCCATCCATTAAGTCACACATACAACTTGAGGGTCTGGAAATCCTGTGGACATGGATCTCAGGTGCTGCAGTACGCTAAACAGTGTTGTGCTCCTTGGTCAAATTCTGTTTCATCCCGAGTAGGATTTTAGGTTTGTCAGCAGACATACCTGGGTGCTCATGGGATTCACCAAAGTGGTAAACGCAAGGACCTACATCACCAGACACCTGCAAACAGACACATCGTGATATAACTTGAATACTTTGTTAAACCCAACAAGCACAATCACTACTGAGGTGTGTGGTCCTGTGAATAGAGCTAAGGTCACAAGTCAGTTGAAGTTAAGTAACGTTGGGCACTGAGAGTCCTTGGATGGGTGACGTGTGTGGCAGCTTGACTCCTGAGAGTTTCTAGGACTTCATCCCTGCCTTACAACAAAGCACATGTGACACATGTGGTCTCACCTTAGGCAAAGTGAGTTTGTTCAAAATTGCCTCTGTTCACCCAGCAGAAAATGGGTACCCGGTGAAATAAGTCATGTGACTATTAACCTTCTTGGGCCTCACAGGCAGCTTGGGTTATCTGGTATAATAATGATAAGATTGTATGTTAGCACTTTGAGAGTGCCCCTCCGTGGTGCGGAATTGAGCTCATTACAAATGTTCTTATCATCATCATGAGGACTCCACAGAGTTAAACATCATGGTAACCAAAATGTCATTCTTTTTCATGAGAGATCCTCCTTGGGGTACATATAAGCATTAAAGTGTCCATTTTTAATCCCTACGACAGTTGTAACTATATTTTGAATACAATATTTACAAAACAAAAACAATGTTTTGTCTTGTTCGACCACCCCTACGGAACCCAGAATGGACCCGTCCACCAAGTACAGGTACCTCTAGGCGCTAACTTGTACCTCACTTTCCATGCTGTCATTCTTCATTATCGACGTATGTGTCCAGCAGCCTGTCTTACAAGTTGATTTCTCCCTTACGATTGCAAGATGATTTCTTCAGAAACAGCTCTGGTTATCTCTTATTCGCAGACCCGTGAAGATCCGGGGTAGAATAAGTCTTCAGCAACCCATGCTTGCCACAAAAGGCGACTATGCTTGTCATAAGAGGCGACTAATGGGATCGGGTGGTCAGGCTCGCTGACTTGTTTGACACATGTCATTGGTTCTCAATTGCGCAGATCGATGCTCATGTTGTTGATCACTGGATTTTCTGGTCCAGACTCGATTATTTACAGACCGCCGTCATATAGCTTGAATATTGCTGAGTGTGGTGTAAAACTAAAGTCACTCACTCTCTCTTATTTGCAATGTTTTGGAAAGTTTTCATTCATCATTTGTTGTAACTTACATCTTAGTCCCTGTCGGCTTGCCATGTGCTTGTCAAGATGGATGGACGGGAGGCGCATACACGCTTGCTTTTTCAGGTTAGCCTGTAGCTTTCTTGTCTAGGTTTGTGTGTTGTTTTACTGAATTTGCAGATATTTTTTATCTCTTTTCAGGTGGATTATTTATATTATGTGATTTGCTCTAAATAGTTGTATTCATGTCATATATGTTGATTACGGGCTCCATGTTATGGAGTAGGACTAGCATGCACTGGTTCTTATTCAAGTACAGTCTATATGCTAGTATGGTTAATAATTATATTTATTAATCGCCCATGCGTATTATTGTTGTTACAATTTATACCTTCTCTGTGTCAGACTGGCCGTTTCTTTGCAGTTTAAAACCTGTGCTATGTGCAAGTCATCTATCCCCACAAAGGATAGTCATGATTCGTGTCTACGATGTCTAGTGGAGGTGTCGCACGATTCGTCGGTGTGTGTTACCAGCCAAGGGTTTTCACCCAGGACCCAAAAGTCGACATCTGCCGACTTTTTTTGTTTTTTTCTAAACTCATGTGGGCAGGGGGTGATATCTGGGGTCAGGATCCCCCCTTCCAAGAGATCGCATAAGAAAAAATCTTCCACTAGCTCGGGGGGATGAAGAAAGCTGGGGTCTGTAAGGAGTCGTCACCTGTTCCTGTATACTAGCTCCACACGAGTGGATGCTAGACCAGGGGATATTCGGGATTATTTCCCAGTTGTATGGGTCGTTCCAGGTGGATATGTTTGCCTCTGGGCCGACGAACCAGATACCAGTGGTTTGCTCTCAGATACCGGATCCAAGAGCGATAGCCAACGACGCCTTCCAACTTGATTGGACGGACAGAGTACTGTGAGCGTTCCCACCGATACCACTGATATACAAGGTCCTATCGCAGTTGGCCACCCAATCAGCTCGACTGTTAGTGCTCCTTGCACCTCTTTGGTCAGCTCAAAGCTGGTTTCTGGTAATTCTCAGGTATCTGGCTCAGCCTCCTGTACTATTACCCTTTCAACCGGACTTTCTATCCCAAAACGGAGCGCCGCACCCGAATCCCAGAATTCAGTGGTAGGCATGGCCACTGTCCGGAATCGCCTCCATGCGAGCGGAATTCCTGCATCAGTTGCAAACACAATTCTGACTTCGCGGAGGGATTCGACAAACGTTCAATATGAGGATAGATGGGCCTGCTATATGCACTGGTGTGTCAACAGGGGGATTCTTGATCCCTTTTCTGCAAATCTAGTCACAGTGCTTGAGTTCTTGGACTAGCCGCTTCAACTGTTCGAGGTTACTCAACGGCTATTTCAGCATTTCTGTCGACGGTGCACTCATGGGGCAGCACACTCTTGTACAGCGTTTTTTAGCAGGCGTGGACAGAATCTGTCCGGTTGTCCAGCGGATCAGTCCCCCGTGGGACTTGTCAATCGTTCTTGATTGGCTGTTCGGTCCTATCTTTTACGATCTGTCGGCTCTTTCCCTCCAGCTATTGACATGGAAGGCAGCTTTTCTTGTGGCGGTAACCTCCGGCAGGCGAGTAGGCGATATTCATGCAATGTCGGCCGACCCCGCGCTAACTGTTTTCCATAAAGACAGAGTTAGCATTAGGTTGCCGGATACTTACCGTCCTAAGAGAGATGGCGCCTTTCATGTCACGGCGCCTATTGAGCTTCCAGTTTTCACTCAGCCTTCCCCACCGGGTACCTCTCATCAGCGTGCTCACGTCTTGGATGTGCGTAAGACCCTCAAGGCTTATATCAAGCGGACATTGGCTATCCGGAGAGATAACCAATTGTTTTGCTGTTACGGTGGAGGTAAGGCTGGCCTTCCAGCGAACAAGCAGACCATATCTAGGTGGCTTGTCTCTGCCATTTGTACGAGCTATACACAGAAAGGGTTAACACCACCTACTGGGTTGAAAGCTCATTCGGTTAGAGCAGTAGCCACATCTAAGGCTTATGCTGTGGCTCTGCCTATTGAGGAGATCTGCTTCGCGGCTATCTGGAGCCGGCCGAGTACGTTCATCTATCAACTTGACAGACTCTCCAGTGAGTGTGCTCGGTTCGGTCAGTCAGTTCTCTCCAGTGGGCAGAGTCATAACTCTCTAGCCTGACAGAGCTTTAGAATTACGATTTTATCTGTATTTTACTGGTGGCAGGTTTGCAGTCAACCTTCCTTCCCTTTTACCCTTACTTGGTGTTGGGGTTTTATGGTGATGGTTTGTTCTCCTCGTATGTCAATATTGCACATTATTCCTTAGAAATCTATGCTTGGCTGTGGTTTCACGGGATTTTATGTCTCTCCCTCCCTAGGTAGTTATGAAACTCGGGATGGGGGTGGGGCACTATTGTTTACTACATGTGTAGTTCACTGCTTCATTTGCATATGAGCAGAATAGATTAACCATGGTCCTGGACCACGCCCTCGCCTGATTGGCTGAGGTCACGTGGCCAGGTAAGTGAGCTGTTCCCTTTTCTTTTTATAGTTGGGAAATTCCACTTGTCAGGGGCTTAGTTTATCAGACAGAATACCACTCCCAGGACTCTTTTCTTTAGGAGTCTGTCTTATGCTTATATGTACCCCAAGGAGGATCTCTCATGAAAAAGAATCGAACAAACCTGTAGAGGTTGCTGATTCTTTGATGAGAGTCCTCCTTGGGGTACGGCCACCCACCTCCCCACATTCTGTCTGTATTTCTTCAGCATGGAAAGTGAGGTACGAGGTTAGCGCCTAGAGTTACCTATTCTTAGCGGACGGGTCCGTTGTGGGTTCCGTAGGGGTGGTCGAACAAGACAAAAACGTTTTTGTTTTGTAAATATTTTATTTCAAATATACTTACAACTGTCGTAGGGATTAAAACTGGACATTTTAATGCTTATATGTACCCCAAGGAGGACTCTCATCAAAGAATCAGCAACCTCTACAGGTTTGTTCGAATTTATGTTGCCTCACATAGCAATCATAACATTTTAGGAGTAATAATTATAACTGGTAACAAATAATTACATACAATGATGTTGTTTGACAGAAAATCACAGGTTACCAGGATCTGAAGGATGAGATTGCTCTGCTCCGAATCACTGTCCCGTTGAGCATGTTCTGTCTTGACTGTGTTCAGCTGAACACAGAGCTGTGTCTCAGGGCACAAAGACTGAAGGAAAGACTCATTGTATTTGAAGTAGATGAGAACCGAGAGCTGAACAGAGCGTGAGTTTAAACACAGCAAAACAACATTGGTGCAAAGGGAGATAATCAACATGTGTTGGCCGCCATTTATGTTGTGTTAAGCAGATTGCAAACCATATTTTGACTTGAGTTTAATTTTCAAATGATTGGTAAAAGTTTACTAAACTAGCCAACATTTATTGTCAATTGAATCACAATATAGGATGTTTTGTAATTAAATTCTTTAGATTTTTTGTGTGCAAATGATTGGAGCAGGTCAAAGAAATTAAAGTATACTGCTCATCCTATTTTATATGTGTGAATTGGACTATTACGATGACGAAGTAAATTTCAAATGTTGACTTCCTGGAAATATTAAGAATATTTGATTGTTATTACAGCATCTGTCGTCGGTATGACGAGATGGCCGACAGAGTGAGCGAGATTCCTGAGACCACACAGGAACTGGTTGAAACGCAGGAATTCCTCAAAACTGTGAGTCAATAGTCACTCTATTTTGTGTCGTGTGTTTCATCTTACACTGATCCATGCTGGAAACCTATTGCTAAATTGTGTCAGAAAGGTATGTCAGTGGTGATACATCATGTGGTGCCGGTCAGTTAGAACAACCTGATTTTTTATTGAGAATTGATTTTTCAGGTGATTAACTGATGTCTATTTGGACTTATTTCATCTTATTCAAATTATGTCAGTTCTTGTTGCTGACAGATCCTTGGGCAGAATAGGCACAGCTCTCGCAATTAGATTACTTCAGTGTAATATCATGCACTTTAATTAAGTCTTTTTGCTAAAAACAATGATGTTGCTCATCATTTAGTATTCAGGAGTACTCAAAGCCTACAGGGCAGGTTTAACTGTGATCTATGCAGTAGTGCAATCGGCTGACAATTGTTCTTTCAGTCTACTGAAGTTACAGTGTACAAGCTGAAGGATGAGATAGATGAGTCGGCTAACAGACTGATGTTCCTCCTGGACTACGCTATCTTCCCATGTAAGTCATCAGGGCAAACTGAATCACTCACTGGCTGTGTCAGATGACTGTCGGGCAATATTACAGGAGAATCACTCTGGTGCGTATTGAATGAAGCCTGAGCTATGCAGAGCAGTGGTTGATAGCAGGAGCAACAATCCATACTTGAGGGTACAATGACACTCAAGCTGGGCCACCATTGTGACCTTCTAATCCACCTGCAGTCCAATAAGGATGTAATTAGGCTCATAAAGAAACATCATTGTAGCATATTGATGATAATGGTTTTCTTTTGATAACAAACTATTCTAGCAGTTTGGTATTGTTGGAAGAACTCCATCCCTACATAATTCTCTCCAGTCCTTTTGGTTCATGTGTGATGATGTATTCCAGTTGAGGATATCAAGCTGAACAGCACAGTATTCCACTGGCCAGACCATATCCGTACAGTGTTTGAGTTGAGCCAGAACCGCATTGTCAACAAGCGTGACACCATTGAGGATCACCTCCGCAAGAGGGTGTCCGACTTTGAGGACCGACTGAACGGCTACTACAAGGAGGTGGAGTCCTTCAGGAAGAAGGAGGTAGGTCATGTAGCATCAGTACCATAGAGACTAGCTGCATCACTCACAAGGAGCATTCCCCGTAACAATAACTACACAAGCAGTCAGTGATTCTACACAAGACACCAGTATTTAATGTGTAGCCAAGTCAATATTAAGAGTACTGACATTACTTCAGAACCAGGGCCTAGATTTTCGAAGCTCTCTTAGCTCTAAGATAGTCGTAAGTGCCATTCATTAACATTAACCTACGACTATCTTAGCGCTTCGAAAATCTAGGCCCAGGTTTGGACATTTCTGTATATGAGAGCTACAGAGCTTTATTACATTCTCACCAAGGTAATGTCTTGCTCTAAAGGTTTGTGTACAAAGGAAACAGTTTCAGTTATAGGATATTGGCTCTTCAACTTTTGAAAGTTGTCACAGTCAGTTTTCACATTTTTCTGTTCCATATTTGTTTTGAGGCGTTGCTATAAGAGAATCACTACACTGTATACTCATGATACTGGGCTTGTTCAGAGTATGCAGTTTGATTGGTACATAATGTGTAATGGATGAAGTGTTATGTATTCTAACATCCATGTCCAGATCATGAGCCCCGACGAGATGAAGAACAACACGGAGCTGCTGGCCCGTATCACGTCAGACCTGGAGAAGGCTCGGGAAGATCTGGATGGCATCAATGAAGAAGAACGCCTCCTTGAGTGGGAACAGAGTGCGTTCCCCATCCTGCACCAGATGTTCCAAATGAAGGAACCTTATGAGAAACTGTGGAACACAGCGTTCACCTTCACTCAACGACATGAAAACTGGACACATGGTAAGGAACCCTGGGATGCACAGGTTTCAGATTTTCAGACTTGTGGGAATCTGATGGTGACATTATGTGTTAACAGCATGAATACATTACTCTGGTCTCAATGCACAGTGCTGTACTTTCCACATTGGTTCAAAGAGATAAATGTTGACTGTAGATTGTAGCCATAATATTTGCCTCAGTGGTCTAGTGGATAGAGTGTTGGCTGGAGATGACCTCAATCAGTCCTCAGTCCTCAATCATGCCAAAGACAGTCCTTGTTGTTAAACAGGCTGGTGCTTGGCGGCAGTAATGTATCATGAGTATATAGTCACTTATATTGTCTTTAGCATTCTACATGGTATAAGTGTGGATTATTGGTTGTCTGAACTAACAAGGTTTCATTGTAATTTGATTGATGTAGTGTTTTGTCAAAGGGTATTTTCATATTGATGTTCATACATTTACCTCTTGCACTGATTTTGATGACTACAGTATAAACTCATAATATTTTAAGCAATCTTTTAAAGCCATGTCTTGTTTTAGGTTCATTCATGGACCTTAATGCTGAAAACATTGACACTGAGGTCAGCGAGATGTGGCGTGCAATGTACAAACTCACCAAGACCTTCAACGACCAGGCTGGCCCGCGCCGAGTTGCAGATAGTGTGAAGGGCAAGATTGATAAGTTCAAACAACACTTGCCTATCCTCCACACCATCTGCAACCCTGGCATCCGGGACAGGCATTGGGATATGGTGAGTACCTACAGGGTGGCAGGTTGTAGGTTGTTGTCATCAGGGATAGTGACTAGTCACGGGCATTGGGATATGGTGAGTGCCTACAGGGTGACAGGTTGTAGGTTGTTGTCATTAGGGATAGTGACTAGTCACTGGCATTGGGATATGGTGAGTACCTACAGGGTGGCAGGTTGTAGGTTGTTGTCATCAGGGATAGTGACTACTCACGGGCATTGGGATATGGTGAGTACCTACAGGGTGGCAGGTTGTAGGTTGTTGTCATCAGGGATAGTGACTAGTCACAGGCATTGGGATGTGGTGAGTACCAACAGGGTGGCAGGTTGTAGGCTGTACAGTAGTGACTAGTCACAGGCATTAGTATGAAATACTGTGGCCCTTGTCATAAGTAGACAGTGATAAAGCCAAATAATTCAACAGACTCTTGTAATGGATCCAAGTTGGTAGAAACATGGTAAGAGGAGGTACTGAGAAGATACTGGCATCTTCAAGAATTACTAGTGCATCCTCGTGTGACATCTTCATGGCTCAAGCATGTATATGTACTTGCAGATGAGTGACATCGTGGGCTTCAGCATCAAGCCAGAGCCAGACACATCTCTACATCACATGCTGGAGTATGGCCTGTCTAAACATCTCACTAGGTAAGTTTACCTGTACAGTTACACCTGACACACCGATTTGGTTCATACAATCTCACAAGCTGCCTATAATACCACTTGTATGTTTATGTCTGCTCATGATATCTCACCAAGTGTGTGCAGGTTGATCTTAGGTATGGTATAAATCCTTCTGGTGAATCACTTAGATAGCATGATTGGTGTATTTTTATGATATGGGAGTTTGATCTTGTTTAATTTTTTCACATTGGCTTGAATACAAATTAGTGATGGATTTCCTATCATGCAATTATTTTACTGTCCTTTGTATTACTTTCACAGTGTGACAGTGTGTCAGTATACATATTAGCATCCCCCAAGCTTAATTTCCTGCTGAGACGAACATTATTGTTCCTGGTTGTGTACTTCAGACTTGAGGAGATCGGCGCAGCAGCAGCCAAGGAACACTCCCTGGAGAAGGCACTGGAGAAGATGAAGTTTGAATGGAAGGATCTGCACTTTGAGATGATTCCATATCGAGATACGGTCAGTAAACAGAGCAATCCTATAACATAATGCACAGAACCAGCCCTGAAATGTTAATAAAAATATTTTTTCATATCTGTTTTATGATTTAAGTTGATTACCTCAACTAATAATAGTGCTTACATTATTACTAAATTTTGCCGAATAGTTCTGGCAAAAAGATTCTGCAGGATTTGACACAGACTTTTGAGCATTCAAATGGTCTGTTTTGCAGGGTGTGTCGATCCTGTCTGCTATAGACGATATACAAGTGCTGTTGGATGACCACATCGTGAAGGCACAGACCATGCGGGGCTCACCATTCATCAAACCATTTGAGAAGGAGATGCATGAATGGGAAGAGAAACTTGTGCTTATGCAGGATATCATTGATGAGTGGTTGAAGGTCAGTAACTCAGGTCACACACCAATGGTCAGCATGACACCATGTCTGAAAGATCTGTATTTGTTTTAATTACACACAAATGTTAAAATATGTGGCTTTAAAGAAGACCTTTTCTCACAGTCATCATAGGGCTCATTATTTGTGATACCTTTCCTTCAGTGCCAAGCCACCTGGTTATATCTGGAGCCAATCTTCAGCTCTGAGGACATCATGGCACAGATGCCAGAGGAAGGTCGCAAGTTCGGGATCGTGGATAGCTACTGGCGTGACATCATGACCGAGTCGGCCAAAGACACACAGTGTCTGGTAGCCACTGGTCAGGCCAACATGCTGGGCAGGCTGAAGGAAGCCAATGTCCTCCTGGAGGAGATTCAGAAGGGGCTCAACGCGTACCTGGAGAAGAAGAGACTGTACTTTCCAAGGTCAGGCATCATGTATATGTACTCCTTCCAACACATTGCAGAGTTTTTGATCATGAAGGATGCTGTCATAAGTCTGTGAAGTAGATCGTTTCAAGCTCACAATGGCAATCTGTTGATCTTTAGTTAATACTGACAAAGGAACACAGTATGAGAATTGAAGTCTGATGTTGTTACATTTGGTTGACGAAGAAAATGTTTATTAAATATGAACTTTGTGTTATCTTATTTTGTCTGCCTCGAAGGTTTTATGGAAACATTCGGTTTCAAAGAGACAATTTCTTCTGGGAACATCTACATATCTGCAAAGGCAGATTACTCCATTACTGTGATTTGTTGATGTGTAATGGCCAACATGACCTGCTTGTACTGTACGTAGGAATGTTGTTCTACAGATTCTTCTTCCTGTCCAATGATGAGCTGTTGGAGATCCTGTCAGAGACTAAGGATCCAATGAGAGTACAGCCGCATCTCAAGAAGTGTTTTGAAGGCATCAACAAGCTGGAGTTCACAGAACAGCAGGAGATAGTTGGAATGGTATCGGCAGAGAATGAGACAGTGCCTTATGTCACCAAGATCTTCCCTGCAAAAGCTAAGGTGAGTAGCCATTGAAATTAAAACTAGGGTACCTGGGGTAGAAAAAGCTGTGACATCCTTTGCTTATCTTAATTGTAATGTTGGACTGAATGGTGAACTTCTGTAAATACTCTGATTGTGTCAAAGGTCCCCAATGGCTTTGAGTGAGTGAGTTTGGTTTTACGCTGCTTTTAGCAATATTCAAGCAATATCACATTGGGGACACCAGAAATAGGCTTCACACATTATACCCATGTGGGGAATCGAACCCACGTCTTCGGCGTGACAAGCGAACACTTGAACCACTAGACTACCCCACTGCCCCCAATGGCTTGGAAAAAATTGATGATGATGATGATGATGATGATGATGATGATGATAGCAGCAATGGTAGTGAATGTAGTAGTAGTAGCAATAGGGGTAACAGTAGTGGTTGTGTTAACTCTCGTGTTCATCACCATTCACAACCCTAAGGCTGTGTGACAATATACATGTCGGTGTTACATGGGAGTGCTGTAGTGACAACATGCTTCATCCACCATCAGGGCATGGTAGAGAAGTGGCTGCTGCAGGTGGAGGACGTGATGATCAGCAGTGTGAGGAAGGTCGTCATGGACTCTGTCCAGGCGTACAAGGACACGCCCAGGAAGCGCTGGGTGGTGGAATGGCCAGGACAAGTCACGCTGTGTGTCAGCAGCATCTTCTGGACCGTGGAGGTTGTGGAGGCCATGGCCATCAAGGATGGAATGAAGGTAGGAACCCATGATGTCAGGACAAGGTGTACATTTCCAGGCTAGATAAGTCAAATTACTTAGAAATGTGTATGAATTGAATAACTATATCAGGTAGTTCTTTTTAATGAAGATTTTTCTAAATCTGTTGCATGAACCTGCAAAATAGCATCTGCTGGTACAGAATATCCTTTGTTGCTTTGTTTGGTTGGTTTGTACTTTAACACCTTACTCAGCAATATTCCCGATATATGATGACGGTCTGTAAGTCATCAAGTCTGGATCAGACAATCCAGTGATCAACAGCATGAGCATCGATCTATGAAATTGGGATATAATGATACGTGTCAACCAAGTCAGCGAGCCTGATCGCACAATCCCGTTAGTCGCCTTTTATGACAAGCATGGGTTGCTGAAGACCAATTCTAACCTGGATCTTCATGGATTTATCGCTTTGAAGATTTGATTATCATTGCGCATCTGCTGTGTGGGAAGTTGACTCTGTAGAATAACAGTTCTTACATTGTCTCTTATAGTCTAAACCATACCTCTCTCTTTCTGTCAGCCAGTTTTTGAAACTAGTAAATGTTCATCATTGTAGAATTACCTACTGAAGTGCAACAAACAGATTGAGGAGATTGTGGACCTGGTTCGAGGCAAGCTGGAGGGAGGAGCTCGTATCACACTCGGTGCCCTCACTGTCATTGACGTACATGGTAAGTTCTGCTGATGTGTTCCTTGATGTGGCATGTAGAAAACAGGCTTTGTTCATTCATGTCCTAAGACTTGTGAAACTGAAATTAAAATTCCTTTTAAGTGATTGTTTGTTAAATGAAAAACGACTATGTCAGAATGTGTTTTTTTAATTGAAAGGCCCAAGATCAATTCCTATCCCTAACCTTCATTACACACTAACTTAGTGGACTGAAGCAAATACATTTGAATATTTAGTCCACATATAGTTAATAATAATTGTGAGTTTAATTTTGATTTTGAATGATTAAAACTGGATTATGCCTACATTTAAAAATATGTCTCAGAAAAGCTAAAGAGATGTACCTGTGAGGTATGTTTTCAGGCCTGTCTCATGAAGGTTTTGCTTTCAGCTCGTGATGTGGTTGCTGGTCTTGTAAGGGACAATATACAAAGTCCTCTTGATTTTGACTGGCTGGCTCAGCTCCGTTACTACTGGGAGGATGATGTCATTGTTCGTATGATCACCACCGACATCAAGTATGGGTATGAGTACCTGGGCAACACACCTCGGCTCGTTATCACACCACTTACAGACAGGTGTTACAGGTGAGGGACAATTATTGGTGACTGCTAAAACTTTAGAAAATGTAATCTATTCATGTAAAGAAAAATGATAAAGGAGAATACTGCACCAAAACTGACATGACAAGGCACGAGGCTTTGAACCACAATAAATGCTAGTAAATATACAATATACCTGAACTATCAGGAGAGCACTGCATTGTTAAATACTTTGATGTGTATTATGAACCTATCCTGGCAAGTGGGGGTGGTGGGGTAGCCTAGTTGTTAAAGTGTTCGCTCGTCATGCTGCAGACCCGGGTTCAATTCCCCATATGGGTACAATGTGTGAAGCCCATTTCTGGTGTTCCCTGCCATGATATTGCTGGAATAATGTTAAAAGCGGCATAAAACTAGACTCACTCACTCTCCTGGCAATTGTACTCTTCAGTCTACCGATCCTCACATAGACAAGAGGATAGTATATAGATGTATTGTAAAGGTGGTCATCATGTGGTGTTCACAGATCAACCATCAGTTTACAGTACAAGCTACATCACTATGTCTCTCCTTCTACACTAAGCTGAGGCAGTAATACAAATAAAATGAGTTTCAAAACCAGCAGTAAACACAACTCTCTGTCAGTAGTCAAGAGTCAGTAATACTGTGTAGTCAGTGATATTGCTGACAGCTTCTAACACCTGACATTGCCTGTATTGCCAGAACCCTTATGGGTGCCCTGAAACTGAACCTGGGTGGTGCCCCTGAAGGTCCTGCTGGAACAGGGAAGACAGAGACATGTAAAGATCTAGCCAAGGCTGTGGCCAAACAGTGTGTTGTCTTCAACTGCTCAGATGGCTTGGACTATAAGGCTATGGGCAAGTTCTTCAAGGGCTTGGCACAAGCTGGAGCGTGGGCTTGTTTCGATGAGTTCAACCGTATCGAGCTGGAGGTGTTGTCTGTGGTTGCCCAGCAGATCGCCAGTATCCAGCAGGCTATTGCTGCTCGGCTGAAGAGGTTCATGTTTGAGGGCACTGAGCTGTCACTGAACCCAACATGCACCATGTTCATCACCATGAACCCTGGCTACGCTGGAAGACAGGAGCTGCCTGATAACCTCAAGGTGTGTTGGTGCTGTCCATATAGCTTAATGATATGTCATATCAAGTTAGTCCAGGTGTTTGGTATAGTATGTATCTGAAATTATACTCTAATTCCTGCAGCATCTTTTGGAAATTTCTCAATTGTCTCAGTCATTTAGATTAATATACATGTTTATTGATTGTCTTAAAGTGTTTTATGTAACTGGACATTATATTGAATTACTTAGACTCTAAACCATGAACGGGATCGGGTGGTCAGGCTTGCTGACTTTGTTGACACATGTAGTCGGTTCCCAATTGCGCAGATCGATGCTCATGCTGTTGATCACTGGATTGTCTGGTCCAGACTCGATTATTTACAGACTGCCGCCATACAGCTGGAATATTGCTGAGTGCGGTTTAAAACTAAATTCACTCGCTAACTGTAAACCATGAAAAGACCAATTTCCCTAAAAAATATTGATGAATGAATTTCAATTCTGTATTTCAGGTTCTGTTCCGAACAGTAGCTATGATGGTCCCAGATTATGGCATGATTGGAGAGATTGTCTTGTACTCAGTCGGATTTGTGGATGCTAGAAGGTGGGAAGATAAACTTATATCAGCAGATAGTTTATAAAGTAGCATTGTCAAGGGTCAGAATCACAGAGCAGCTTGCTGTAATTTATGAAGTTACATACCATATTCCCAAGCAATGATACAGCTGCAAGATGACTCTCAGCAGAGCAACCCTTCTTACCCAAAGATCTATAAGATATGAGTATTCTTGAAACTTAAATGTTGCATCAGCAATATGGAAGCTATATAATGAGTACTCTTGGAGATACAGGCCTGCCTATGATATACGGTATGTCACATATGGTTTGAAAATAGAACGTATGTCCTCAGAAACTTCATAACTCAACTGATGCTCACTTATGACTTACTTGTTGGTGAATGGTGTACTTTGAAATGTTAAATCATGTCATATTCAGTTGTAAAAATGTCTGCAAAGGTCATAGACAGTGATACTTTTTGTCATTTGTTGTACAAAGTAGGCAAATATTGGGGTATTATGCTCATTTTGATCTATATCCAAAATGTCTTTGTATGCAATGAAAGTATAATCAGTGATAAGGGAAGCAAGACAATACATCCTGACTGTTTCTTGCAGCTTGTCTAACAAGATTGTTGCCACGTATCGTCTCTGCTCCGAGCAGCTGTCGTCCCAGCACCATTATGACTATGGTATGCGAGCTGTCAAGTCTGTGTTGACAGCAGCTGGTAACCTCAAACTCAAGTATCCAGATCAGGATGAAGCTGTGCTGCTCCTCAAGGCCATCAATGATGTGAACCTGCCCAAGTTCTTGGCTCAGGTACTTCAATAGCAAGTGATGGGACTGTCGAATTGTTTTTTTCAGTCAGGGGGGGTTTGATGTGATTAAATGATTTCTGATTGACCAATCAAACAGGCTGTTTCAATTTAGAGTGATTTGATGATCTCTGACTGACCAGTCAATTTACTGTTTCATCTAGAGGTGGTTTAATTTACTTTGATGATCTCTAAGGGGGCATGGTGGGCGAGCTGGCTAAGGCGCCAAGCTAGTGATCCAGCGAGCTTGAGGTGACAGGATCGAGCCCACCTGTGACCAGGTGTAAAAACTTTGGAGTCAACTTTGCGTGCAGACTCTCTCAGTGTTGTCACAACCCCTAGTGTACAGTACACAACCCTGTGCACTTAAAAGAACCCACGAATCCGTTGGTATATGACCAGATGGTGGCCACATTAATACGTGCAAACACCTAGTTGCGGGTACAGCAACATGCAGTAAACTTGGACAAAATACTACGTGTCCCAGTCCACCCAGCTGTGAATGGGTACCTCGTAAGGTTTCGGAAAGCCACATTAACTCTGTGTGCCTAGTGGCTGCAAGAGTTGTATGCTCCCCAGGGAGTTGAGATTGATAATACATTGTGCCGTTTGAGACTGACATCCAATGATCGAGGGAAAAACAAAGCGCCTTTGAGCAGGTGATCTGGATATTGGCGCTATATAAATATATATAAATAAATAAAAATTAAAAAATAATTGACCAATCAGCATTGATTAGTATCCATTTGTTTTGGTGCAATTTTGAGTATCCCTTTACATGGTGCTTGTCGTATCAGAGTAACAAAATTATGTAATCTCCATAGTCTTGGCGCAGTTTTGAGTATCCCTTGACATGATGCTTGTATCAGAGTTATGTAATTTCAAAGTTGTCAGTAAGTTTTCAGCTTTCTCCCATGCTTACCTACCATGCCTTGATGTGACAAACCCTTTAAGTTTAAGTAAATATTCAATGAATCAGTCTTTATTGACAAGTTGCGTTTTAAGGCTATTTTTGTGAACATTTTTTGAATGGTTCTAATTTTTCCTTATCCTGACTCATGCTAATTATGCTTGTCTCCTTCCTCTTGCGAATGATAGTGGAACACTTGAAATCCCTTGAAGTTCCCTTTAAAAAAGCAGACGTAAAATCACTCATCCAGGAGTAGCATCCCTTTCCTCCCTTTGGCGCCCAAATGATCACATGATCGGCCATATTTGTCACTCTCTCCTTCTTCGCCCTTGAGGACGGTTGTGAGAGCACCTGGGTCCCTATACGGCACATATCCTTTATATTTTCGGACCTTACAACCATCCCCGACGGAATGGATGTTGTATCCAGAAGCATTCCAGTTCATCAGACAGACTTTAGGATCCCTACTAATGGACCTGTTTGCAACAAAGTTCAACAAACAGCTACCAACGTTCGTCTCACCGATTCCAGATCCTCAGGCATGGGCAACAGATGTGCTAAGCATCTAATGGGAAGGACCAAACGCTTACGCGTTTCCGCCTCCTGCACTACTACCAAAAGTACTACCAAAATCAAGTACTACGTTGCAACTGATTTTGGTCGCGCCCTACTGGCCAACGAGGGTATGGTTTCCCGTCCTCATACAAGAACTCGGAAGTCCAACCCTGAAACTACCAGAGTGGTCGAACCTACTCGTCCATCCACACACCAAGCAAGCTCACGGGAACCTGACACTGTTCCAGCTACACGCGTGGTGCGTATTAAAGCTTGCCTGAAGACTAGAGGGTACTCCGCCAGAGCAGCGAAAGCAGTAACACTAGCTCTACGCAGATCAACTCGCAACTTGTACGACGACAAGTGGCAGAGATTTGAACAATATGCAAAGGGGAAAGGCTTTACGGTGGTGAAAGCAACACATCCTCAAGTGGCGGAATACTTATGTCATCTACGACAGACGAGACACTTAAAAGGTTCAACTCTCTCAACTTACTTAGTTGACCTCAGCACAGTTATCACCATAAAAACGGGTATCAAGCTGACCAAAGTACCAGAGATTCTGGCACTACTACGCTCGTTCAAGTTGGAAGACCAACAAAAGAAATTTAAGGTTCCTGCCGTGGATCTCAACATAGTTTTACAACATCTCACCAGTGATGCCTAGGAGCCTCTAGAACGGACATCCTTTGAACTACTAACTCAGAAAATGCTGTTCCTGATCGCCCTAGCAACAGCTGCAAGGATGTCAGAAATACTTGCTCTAGACTTTGAAAGAACACGATTTGAAATAAGACATCGTGTCATCGTACATCTGGGACTGAAATGGGACTTTATCGCCAAGAACCAACTGCCTGGCCAGCCTGACAGACAGTTCTACAATCCTTGGGCCACAAGGGATCTATCCTTATGCCCAGTCAGAGCACTTTAAAGTCTACTTACAAAGAACTAAAAGAAGGAAACGAAAATTCAAGTGCCTATTCATCCCGTTATCCACTGAGACACCCACAGAAGTCTCACAGACAACGATATCGATATGGATCAGAGATTATATTAAGGGCCTATAAAGCAGCAGGACTTGAACCTCCATGAGCCTCCAATCCACATGAAGACAGAGCCCTGGCGTCAAAACTTGCTCTGCATGGAAACTGCTTGATTACAACTATAATGGAGGGCTGCTTTTGGAGATCGAACACTGTGTTTGCCAACCACTACCTCAGAGACATTGTCACTGAAGACATCTCAGGCATTCACCAGTTTGGGCCACTTGTTGTAGCACAACAACTAACGGTTCCACAAAGGTGCTGAGAAAATCTCACCCTTTATTTCACGTGACTTGTGAAAGCCAATGCTATGGAGAGCAAATGGTTAAAGTCCATGCACACGTCTTGGACAGACTAGCATGACTGATAGACCCTGTACTTGTATAGGACATACTCATACATGAAGAAGGGTCGTATCTCCACTTGATGCGTGCATCAAGAGATGGAATTACAATAGATAACTAATGGAATATTAGTATATCTAAAATCCACACGAAAATGTCAGGAGACGTTTCGTAAGAAATCTGACAAGTTGTGGTCCCTCCAGACTCATCAGAGAGAAGCTGAAAGAATCTTCAACAGTGCCGTCATAAGTTCCCAAGGGGGGTAATACAGGACGTAAATCTACAACTAGGGACTCGAGGAACATGGCTTGACCCACCACCGTTTCCGACGGATTCTGCAAGCATAATTAGCATGAGTCAGGATAAGGAAAAATATGTAATTTTCTTACTAAAATTGATATTTTATACTTATCCTGACTAATGAGGTTAGCCCTCCCAACCTCCCCTCTTATGGCACTCTGGATTTCCTTGTAAATCTGGGTGTCGGGCTTATATACGGAGAGAGTGACAAATATGGCCGATCATGTGACCATTTGGACGCCAAAGGGAGGAAAGGGACGCTACTCGTGGGTGAGGGATTTTACGTCTGCTTTTTTAAAGGGAACTTCAAGGGATTTCAAGTGTTCCACTATCATTCGCAAGAGGAAGGAGACAAGCATAATTAGCATGAGTCAGGATAAGTATAAAATATCAATTTTAGTCAGAAAATTACTTTTTTGCTTCAACTTGAAACTGAATAAAACTGACAGAAAAATGTGAATATAGTAAACATGTTTCATATATTGGGATAGTGAAATTTGACAATGGGCCATTTTCAGGATTATTAGCCATTTTCTGAATTCAGAATGGACCAAAACCCTTGTATCAATAGTAAACTTAAAAATTTTAATTGGCCAGTTTTTTATTCTAATGTGCAAAATGGCCTATGGCCCCTGCCTTTCCCAATCCCTGCATTATTGTATCATTTAAGAAGGACTAGTTACAAACTCAGAGCATGTGGGAAATGAAGTCTCCTGTAGTTCCACGGACTTGTCTTGTGGAATGAATTTCTAAGTCTGTATTACACTGACAGTGTCAACTCACTGTAACACTTCTGTTTGTTCCACCTCCCAGGATGTACCGTTGTTCGAGGGCATCATCTCCGATCTGTTCCCTGGTGTGCAGCTGCCGAAACCAGACTATGGCGTCTTCATGGATGCTCTGAAAGAAAACATTGCCAAGAGGAAACTGCAGGCAGTGCCATGGTTTATAGACAAGATTATTCAGGTTGGATTTATTGATATATTTAGTAGAAATAAATACTCAGAATTACCACTTATTTGGTATACTTTGCTTTTTAATGACATCATAGTTATGGTGCTATTAATATTTTATGTTGATGTTGTAAGTGGAACGTATGTTCGCTTGTCATGCAGTGTTCATTAAGTTAGCAATGGATGCCTGTGATCAACTGTTTACATGAACCTGTGTAATGACTGTTTGATACTGTGATGTCTTCAGTTCTTGTTACATGGTAGAATTGATTGTTCCTGGACTGTACTGTCAGTGAATTGTCACAATAGTCGACAGACAAATTTCTCAGTGTTGACTCGGGGCACAAAACTTTACATTAAACTACTTCACACCCAAACATTTACATTGAAGAACACAGATAATTCCTATGGGAAGACCATTGATTCGTCCCAGTGTATTGAGCACACACTGGGATGACAACCCTTCAGATTAAAGAGATTAGTCTGATCTTGATGGTCTCATACAGATTCTGTTATTGTGCAGCTGCTACTAATGATGTTGTTGTTATTGTTGCTGATGTTGCTGCTGGAAATGACTTTAAACCCATCTTCTAAAATCTGTAGTAAATGTTCCGCACTCCTGTACAGATAATAAATATGAAAGATCTATACCCATGTTCAAGTATTTGAGCCATTGTTCCTACTGTGTATAACTGATTCCAGATTTTCGAGATGATCCTCGTACGACATGGTTTGATGGTGGTGGGTGAACCACTGGGTGGGAAGACGATGGGCTGGCAGTGTCTGGCCGATGCCCTCGGGGACCTGCATGTAGCCGGCCTGTTTGATGAGTTTCGGGTCGTCCATCGTATCATCAACCCCAAGTCCATCACCATGGGTCAGCTGTATGGATGCTTTGACCCTGTCTCCCATGAGTGGACCGATGGTGAGACATGGAGCACTTATTTCCCAATTTTATGTTTAATATTGTCTTCAATATTGATATAACAGTTAAGATATTATGTATGCATGGGCATCATTTTTAGGATGTTTTATTAAAAGTAACAAATAATTATTTTTTAAGGCTTTATGACTTTTAGGACTGTTAGTTATGGAGAACTGTACCAGTGGGAGTTTAGAATAGTTTCCTGGCAATCTAAGCTGGTTTTAAGAGGCAACCAACTGAATCATTTTGCCTGTTCACTGATTGCATATCTTTGTACCCTCATGATCGAGATTGTTTGCTAACTACATCGATCACTGGATTGATCTGTCTAGATATAGATGGAAAATTTCTGTGAGGAGTGTTAAGCACAAAGCACACCCAAAGAAAATAGAAGTGCTGCAGATACACCCTGCGGTACTTACTATTGTATGTGATATCGGAGAATTATAGGATTCTGGAAGTTTGGCTTCATAATTAATTGTGACCTGATGATTCCTAGGTGTGTTGGCAAACACATTCCGAGAGTATGCCAGTAACCCAAATGATGACCGCAAGTGGATCTTGTTTGACGGCCCTGTAGATGCTGTGTGGATTGAAAACATGAACACTGTACTGGATGACAACAAGAAGGTAACATTGCATAGTCATGAACATTTACAGTGCAGTTTCAACATCTTCATATTATTCTTTCATACAAGGATCATAAGTCCATCAGTTTTTTTAATAAAATGATCAAATTTTGAACATCCTAAAATTCTATTCCAGCTGTGTTTGATGAGCGGTGAGATCATCCAGATGAGCAACAAGATGAACCTGATATTTGAACCGGCGGATCTGGAGCAGGCCTCGCCAGCCACTGTTAGTCGGTGTGGTATGATCTACTTAGAACCCCACCAGATGGGTTGGCGGCCACTCAGAGACTCGTACATGCAGCATGAGCTGCCACAGAAACTGTCTGATGAGAACAAGGAACTGGTAGCCGACTTGTTTGAGTGGCTAGTGGATCCATGTCTGCATTACATCAACAAGGAGTGCAAGACGTTCATCACGACGTCAGACATGCACTCGGTGCAGTCACTGATGAGGCTGTTTACTTGTCTGTTGGATGAGGTCAAGGAGGCGTGCGAGTACGAGGTGGAGGAGGGTGTGGAGCCCACCAAAGAGGTCTAACGAACCAACAGGTAGGTCACATGATTCTCTGAGGTTGTATTTGTAATGGTGATTTTTAGCAAAGCATTTCTCGTCTGATACGTTTTTGACCACTGTGTTCACTGTGCACATATCTGAACTTCACATGACAGGGTAACATATACATATTTCTATCATGCTTTAGGGACATTTTGTGAAAACAATAGTGTGAAGAACTAGGTCTGTTTCTCATAGATCCTAGACATACAGATGTTTGTATTTGAGTCTACTGAGAGCTGATCAGTTGTAGATATCATGGCTCATGGCTCTCTCTCTTCCAGATAACACTTTGGCTCCAAGGTTTGTTCCTGTTTTCGGTCATCTGGACTATCGGTGGAACACTGACTGGAGACAGTCGGAAGAAGTTTGACATATATTTCCGGACACTCATCAGTGGGACTGACCCAGATAACCCCAAACCAAAGAGTATCAAGATCACCAAGGTAAGACTGAAGCTTGTACAGGGATGTTTCCAGCACCTGCTGCCATTTATACAGTTGTAATGATCAACACTGAAACCCTGTCATGCTGGAAAGTGCATTGTGGACTTTATATGATGAAAGGAACAGTACTATTGACTCAAGATTTGCTGATGTAGATATGTGTTAAATCCAGACATAGGATACAGTGCTATCCACCGTACTGCTTAACCAAGCCGTTGTCAGATTTTACTACAGACTCGGGTTAGAAATGGTCTTCTGTAAACCATGCTTGTTGTAAGGGGCTATAAGTTGGATAGATGGTCATTGATGACTTATTAACTTGCTTGTCAGTTTCTCTCAATTGTATTCTTCAAAGCTCATGATGTCACTGGATTGTGTGGTCCAGACTTGATTATTAAGAGACCATCATCACTAAGCTGGGGTTGCACTACAAACAAAGGATCTGTTATCAGATGCTCATGTTTTTTATAGAGTGAGTGAGGAGTTTAGTTTTACGCCACTTTTAGCAATATTCCAGTAATATCATGGCGAGGGACACCAGAAATGGGCTTCACACATTATACTCATGTGGGGAATCGAACCTGGGTCTTTGGTGTGACAAGCGAACACTTTAACCACAAGGCCACCCCACCGCCCCGTTTTTGATGGAAACTGTTTTACACACACATATCATTGCATCAATATTTCAGAGTAACTCTATCCCAGAACGGGACACAATCTATGACTTTTGCTTCGAGAAGAAGGCCAGTGGTCACTGGGTCAGCTGGATGGACACTCTTGACAAGAGCAAGACCGGTATCCCTGCAACGGCCAAGGTAGGACCCCACCAAGTGTTTTTTGATTTGCCAAGCGTGAGACACTTATTGACTCACATGTATTTGGTGTGTGAAGCAATATTGCAGATCCAACTTGAGTGGATATGTGTGGTGAAATTCTTGGATTGATATTTTCATAGATGTGTATTTTGATCACAATCTCTGATATTCGAAAACCTTGTACTGTATTTTCTACATAGACCTGATTTCATGTAGCACAGGAACAGTTGTGTACACATGAGTTCTGAAGAAGATGTATACATTGTTATCAATAAAACACATGAGAATTTGGCAACACATAAGAGAAAAGCAACAACAAAAACATAATACTCTGGAAGCAGGTATTAATGAGCCTGAAATTCTTTTGAGTCATATTTTAAAACATATTGAATCTGCAGAGGTGTTCACATGATGTTGATGGTGTGATATCAAAAACTAGTTGAAATTTCCTAAATTGAATTAAATGTAACCCCCAAAAAGGCTTTTGCTGTAATTTGCCTTAAACTTACAGTCAACTGGTAAAAAGAAATTTGAGGCAAAAGTAAAGGTGAGATGTCCGTTGTGGAGCTTGTGGCATGAAGCCAGCACTTGGCCCATCTAGGAGTCATGTGTCTATCAGTACACGATGTCACTCTACATGGGGCATGCACTAGGGAGCTCTATGACTACAGGGTCACTCTACATGGGGTATGAACTAGGGAGCTCTATGAGTACAGGGTGTCACTCTACATGGGGCATGAACTAGGAAGCTGTATGAGTACAGGGTGTCACTCTACATGGGGCATGAACTAGGGAGCTCTATGACTACAGGGTCACTCTACATGGGGTATGAACTAGGGAGCTCTATGAGTACAGGGTGTCACTCTACATGGGGCATGAACTAGGTTGCTGTATGAGTACAGGGTGTCACTCTACATGGGGCATGAACTAAGATGTACATGATGTCGCTTTTCATGGGGCATGAACTAGGGAGCTCTATGAGTACAGGGTGTGACTCTACATGGGGCATGAACTAGGGAACTGTATGAGTACAGGGTGTCACTCTACATGGGGCATGAACTAAGATGTACATGATGTCACTCTACATGGGGCTTGCACTAAGATGTACATGATGTCACTCTACATGGGGCATGCACTAAGATGTACATGATGTCACTCTACATGGGGCATGAACTAGGGAGCTGTATGAGTACAGGGTGTCACTCTACATGGGGCATGAACTCTGGAGCTGTATCAGTACAGGTTGTCACTCTACATGGGACATGAACTAGGGAGCTGTATCAGTACAGGGTGTCACTCTACATGGGGCATGAACTAGGGAGCTGTATCAGTACAGGGTGTCACTCTACATGGGGCATGAACTAGGGAGCTGTATCAGTACAGGGTGTCACTCAACATGGGACATGAACTAGGGAGCTGTATCAGTACATAGTGTCACTCTACATGGGGCATGAATTAGGGAGCTGTATGAGTACAGGGTGTCACTCTACATGGGGCATGAACTAGGGAGCTGTATGAGTACAGGGTGTCACTCTACATGGGGCATGAATTAGGGAACTGTATCAGTACATGGTGTCACTCTACACGGGGCATGAACTAGGGAGCTGTATCAGTACATGGTGTCACTATACATGGGGCATGAACTAGGGAGCTGTATGAGTACATGGTGTCACTCTACATGTGCATGAACTGGAGAACTATATCAGTACATGGTGTCACTTTACATGGGGCATGAACTAGGGAGCTATATCAGTACATGGTGTCACTCTACATGGGGCATGAACTAGGGAGCTGTATCAGTATATGATGTCACTCTACATGGGGCATGGACTAGGGAGCTATATCAGTACAGGGTGTCACTCTACATGGGGCATGAACTAGGGAGCTGTATCAGTACAGGGTGTCACTATACACTGGGCATGAATGGGTCTGACTGGGTACTTGTTGTTAGTTTAAAAGTTCAGTAAATATGTCTTGTTGAAAGTAAGTAACTTCAACCAGCAAGGTCCACGAGGGATGCATGTGGCATGTGACACAAATAGCACGTCAAATAAGTTTAGTTACCACTTTTCTGGCATGAATCACAATGTATTTTATCTGAAGCATTTTTTAAATCTTTTTATCTTTGTGCAAATATTTTGAACTCTTTGCATGATCACATGAATCTCACTAGTTGCAAACTTCACTTGCAGAGAATGAATATTGTGTAACGGGAAAAATATTGTTTCTCTATGATTGAAGAAACAAATTTGAAATAAAAATATATTGGATACCAAATAAGCGTGATAATATTTTCAGACACAGCATTATATAAAGCAAAGCTAAATTTGTTAGAGCTGCAGATAAATATAGCAGAACTTTCCCAAAGTAAGTATTAATCTGCGGTACATTGAGTAATCTGCCTCTGGGGCTGCTCTGTTGTCTGTCATTGGAGAACATATGATTTAACAGAGACAACAAGCAGGTAGATGTATTCAGTCATGAGACTCATCCTTCCCCTCATTGTTGTCACCATGTTCGTGAACTATGAGTTTTGCATGTGTGCAGGTATCAGACCTGATTATCCAGACAATGGAGACAGCACAGCAGACATTCTTCTTGAAGACGTATCTGTCCCATGAAATCTCAACTCTATTTGTGGGCCCCACGGGAACGGGCAAGTCGGCCATCACCAACAGCTATCTCCTCAGTTTGCCCAAGGATGTGTAAGTGATATATGGGGGCCAGTAAGGGTTGGAATATCACCTGAGCTATCAATTGTGGGTTGGGATCAGTAGTGTACAATACACCTTAATACACCTTCTATTGATGTTTGTTTATTTTGTCTCTATGGTATGAGTACTTGGTTACATAGGATAGGTATTGTTCAATATTGCAATAAATCAATTTTTCCTTATCCTGACTCATGCTCTTTTTGCTTGTCTTCTTCTTCTTGCGAACATAGTGGAACACTTGTATCTCCCTAATTGAAGCTCCTTCAATTTAAAATCACTAATTAGTATTCACCACGAGTTACCTCCTTTCCACAAGCTGGCGGGAGCGAGCTACCCTCTACCCATGTGCCTCACTCTCTCCTTCTTAAGCCCAGTGAGCTGGGCGTGAGAAGCGCCTGTGTCTCCGACACACTATATCCTTTGAATTATATTTAGTTAGTTACCTCATATATAGACATCTATAGAGGTTTAGCTAGTATCCTTCAGCGATTATATATTGATATTTAGTCGTTTTCTACAGTTTATTCACGGGGCGCCGTGTTTGTTTCAGTGGATTACGTTGATGAAAATTCTGTACTATTGCAGATTACGTTTTTATGCTGCTGCTGATCCGCCTTTAATATGATGTGCGGTAGCCATGTTTATTATATTCACATTGCAGTTGCGGTACTAATTTATCAATTCTACCTTTTTATTAATATTTACTTTGCGTTTGCGCACAGCAGATAGGTCGGCGTATGCAGAGTCTAGTATGACTGATACACGGAACCCCTCGCCAGTCTACTGCTGTTGGCCGACTCCCCTCCCGTGTGGTGTTCCGCTAGAGTGGTGGAGAGGTGTGGGGCGTGAGTCGCCATCTCCAAGAAGCATCCTGCTTCCCCAGACATCCCATCGTCGCAGCAGAAGACTAGAGGGTTTTCTACTACATCTCAACAACGAGACCGTTCCCATCGAAGTTTTGGGCCTGTATGATGATCAGCGGTCATCATACGGATGTACATCAAAGATTGACCGATGTCGGCACAGATCAGCATGCAGCCTGATGTACCAACGCAGATATCGATGATGCGTCCTGAGGGTCCCATCATTACCAACACTCAAGCGCAGGGCGTCGCACCCAGGGCAGCGTCGACCTCTGAGGAAAATCAGCGAAGTCTACTAGGACTTTCTCAACGAGATTGTTCCAGCCGATGACCTGGACCTCTCACGATGATCAGCTGATCATCATCCCGGCGATCGCCATAAAAAGCGACCGGGGACAGCTACAACGACATCAGCAGAGATCACCATGCAGCCTGATGCCTCTACACTGATGTCGGACGATTTTCGGTGGACCCCTCCATTAACACCGCCAGATAAAGCACCGGCGACCTCGTCACAGACCATCCCAGAAGACATGATCGCGACAAATTATGAACATCATGGAGGACCAATATCTCGCGGTAGCAGGGTCCGAGCAACCGAAGGCTCCAACGTGAACAACACCCAGAGGCACCCCCGTCAGCGTAGCAGCCAGGGCGATGTCACCTTCGCGAAGGAAGTCACGGACCACCTTGGCGAAGGACCTAGATGTACAGCCTTCGCGAAGGCCTTCGCGGCGGAAAGGACCTAGATGAACAGCCTTCGCTTAGCGGAAGAACCTAGATGTACAGACTTCGCGAAGGCAGGATAGATCATCACCTTATGCGGTTTCATCCCTAGATGTGGACTCGGACCATCAGACATCACGGAAGCCTTCGAAGGTCATATCGTCGGTCCCGGGACGGACGAGAGGAAGCTTCGCGAAGGCATCTGGCGAGACACCTGAATCCAGATCATCATCATCTAGAAGGACATCGAGGGACTATACAAGAGCTTGGCGAAACTATCAACGTTCCCCTCACAAGTCTCGAGAAGATCAACCCATAGACAAGTTGATCATCGATATCAAGTATAAGAACTACAATCGTATATTGGTTCTGTTGAATCCATGGCGAGGCGGTATGTTCGCTGGCCTAAATAGATCTAGAACGATCAATTAGACACTTATCACCAGACTTAAGTAACATGACTTCTGAATATGATAAGATGATCCATGCGCTCCCCCTACTTAGGCAAGCTTCACCGATCCACATCCTGTTAAACACAGAGGCTGTTCACGAAGCAAGCTCATATATATATTTATATATATATATATATACTAATCGGGCTTTGACTCGACACCTTCGCGATGGTCGCGAAGGCTAAGTAACTCAAGTCTACTTCACCCAGAAGATCTAGAAGGGATACTTCGAGAACTTCGCGAAGTCTCAGCGTTCACCGAGGAAGTCTCCTCCAAGGTTTCCATATACTAGCCACTTTCGTCATATATAGCTACTTTCGTCAGTCCGTTCAAGGCGTCGCATAAGTTGATTATCAACTGTATGCCAGATGCGATCTATAAGCCTCTGCCGAAGATAATTGCTCAGGCTATTTACAACACAGAACGTCGCTGTATTATTAGTCAGCGACATTTCATAGATCTTCACAGAAATCAACTATTCCGTATAAATTGCTAATATACAATCCCGGACGGCGATCACGATTATCTACATGCGTGACCATTACGCATATCTGCAGACAATTCAATATCGAAATTGAACAGCAGCCTTGTTACAGCGAGTATAACTCTTAATCGTCAAAGTTTCTGAGAAGAAATATGTACAACAAGTTCAACGTTAATTCTACAATTATGACGATACATTCATGTATACAGTCTACAAGCTCACAACTTGCAAGTTGTTTTACCCTTATATATAAGGAAGTCGAATTATATTCAAAACTGAAATTACTTTCCGACAACCAGGAAAATAACCTACCCAGCATAAAATTACAGAAGCGAGATATTTGGCCGGAGGTTTCAGCGGTTACCATTAACCCTCGAAACACGCGTGGTCACTTTCGGATAACCGGGAAGCTACGGTGAAGACCGGCGTTTATGCTAATATCAACGGCGACAAGAATTTATTCAAGGTGGGTTTTCCCGCTACACACCGTGACATCACAGCGGGTATTATACAGAATCAAAATGCCTTGTTCTGATTGGACGCGAGGGACAACGACCTACACAGAGGTCGATCTCTATTCACAGTTCAAGACTTACGTCACAAGTGACAACTATATATCAGTGAGCGAGCAAGCCTCATTACAGTCCAGTTAACCTGAACATTCATGATTAGACTGCCTTTCTTCAAGTTAGAGACCTCCCTGTCAAGTTAAGGCGAGGGATGGAGTCCAGTCAGGCGATTTTACATAAAGTTCAACGAGGACAGACACACCTGGTTGTGCACCTACATCGTCAAGGACTTAGCAGCGAATTACCTAGGCGAAAGATACAAGTGGATGTAAATCCACAGCGTTTCAGACTACAGCTGAATTTCATCAGCGACTAACACAACTAGATGGTTAGTAAACCTACTAAACTTCTGTTTGGAGAATAAAGCGGAAATTTCACGCCCAACCTGGGGATATGAATATAGTGCTCCAACACCTCACAAGTGAGGTTTATGAACACGCCTGGATGACATACTTGGACCCCATGATACGATGATTCTATCAAGATGGCCAGCAAGAGCACTGTAAATTTATCTCCACCAAACCAAACAGGAGGAAAAAATGCAACAGATTATTTCCTCTATCATCAACTTCATGAGAGTGAAGTCTCATGTACTATATCTCCATTTGGATCAGAACTGTCATACCTACGTGCATATGCGGATGGACCTATTCCGACCCTCCATGAGCTTAATACTCATGATATTATAGCTAACTTCTACAATTGTTCTACACAAATGTGATTGAAATAATGGAGGGTTTATTTCTGGGAATCCGATATGGTGGTTGCAAACCATTATCTGAGAGATATCACCACCGAGGACGTCTCAGGTATACACCAATTCGATCCCATGGTCCTCGCACAACAGCTGACAGTTCCTCGGAGAAGATAAGTCAATCTAACAGATTTTTACTTATCTTATAACAATACTAAATAGCTTCATGCTATATATAATTTACTTAAGTTCCTTTTATCATCACAGTACTATGATTATTACATCATACAATATATAAGTTAACAACTCTACAGAGTTTGTTATTATATATATTTACCTTAAGTTATTCATATCTTAAGAGTAATACTATGGTTACATGATAAATGCATTAGCTAACAAACTCTACAGAGTTTTGGCTATTTTATACATAGCTTAAGTTAATTAAGCTAACAAACTCTACGGAGTTTTACTATTATATAGGTAACTTAAGCTAATTATACCTTAAGCATAGTACTATACTCATATTATTAAAATATATTGGCTAACAAACTCTAAGGAGTTTTGCTATTATATAGGTAGCTTAAGCTTATTCATATCTTAAGCTTAGTACTATGTTTATATCATATAAGTAGATTAGCTAACAAACTCTAAAGAGTTTTTGCTATTTGGCTTAAGTATCATCATATTTCTAAGCAATATGGTTATATTATAACATGTATTAGCTAACAAACTCTACAGAGTTTTAGCTATTATATATGTAACCTTAAGCTTATTCATATCTTAAGCGCAGTACTATGTTTATATCATATAGGTATATTAGCTATCAAAACTCTAAAGAGGGTTTTGCTATTATATATTTAAAGTTTCATCATATTTTAAGCTTTATGGTTACATTATAACATGTATTAGCTAACAAACTCTCACGGAGTTCTTGCTATTATATATGTAGCTTAAGTTTTCCTTCATAAGCTCAATACTAGGTTTATATCATGGCTAACAAACTCTAAAGGGTTGTTTTAAGCTATTATACAATTAGCTTAAGTTTTCATCATATCTTAAGCAGTATGTTTACATTATAAAGGTATTAGCTAACAAAACTCGACGAGGTTTTGTTATTATATATATATATAGCTTAAGTTTCATTATAACTTAAGCTCAGTACTATGTTTTTAACATAAAAGTATATTAGTTAATAAACTCTAAGGAGTTTATTTTGCTTATATACATTTAGCTTAAGTCTAATCTTATCTTAAGCTTAGTACTATGGTTACACTATAAACATATTAGCTAATAAACTCTACAGAGTTTTTGGCTATTATATATATGTAGCTTAAGTTAATAATATCTTAAGCACAATACTCTACTCATATTGTAAAATATATTAGCTAACAAACTCTCTGGGAGTTCTGCTATTATATATGTAGCTTAAGTTCATTATATCTTAAGCACACTACTATACTCATATTGTAAAATATATTAGCTAACAAACTCTGACGGTTTTTTTGCTATTATATATGTAGCTTAAGTTAATTATATCTTAAGCACACTACTATACTCATATTGTAAAAATATATTAGCTAACAAAACCCTACAGAGTTTTGCTATATATATGTAGCTTAAGTTAATTATATCTTAAGCTCAGTACTATACTAATATTATAAATATATATTAGCTAACAAACTCTACAGAGTTTGGCTATTATATATGTAGCTTAAGTTAATTATAGCTTAAGCACAGTACTATACTCATATTATAAAAATATATTAGCTAACAAACTCTACAGAGTTTGGCTATTATATATGTAGCTTAAGTTAATTATAGCTTAAGCACAGTACTATACTCATATTATAAAAATATATTAGCTAACAAACTCTACAGAGTTTTGCTATTATATATGTAGCTAAAGCTTATTCATATCTTAAGCTCAGCATTATATCTATATCATATAAGTATATTAACTAACAAACTCTAAAGAGTTTGCTATTATATAATTAGCTTAAGTTTAATCATATCTTAAGCTTAGTACTATGTTATATCTTAAAGTATTTTAGCTAACAAACTCTAAGGAGTTTATACTAGCATATTAACAAGCTTAAGTCTATTAGTCTTAAGCATTGTATTAATGTTATATATACTTTATCATAATAAGTACATGGTAATAACCTTTTATATGGCAGCTGATAAGTTAGCAGCAGGAATTCATCAGTTCAGTGCCTTTATGAAGTTCCCATAGGGTTATTACAATCATCACAGTTCAAATCACTAATTATTAAAAATCCAAAGTATTAGATATTCCCACCTCCGTTCCGTTAGGATGCTACAAACAAAAGAGCATGAGTCAGGATAAGGGAAAAATATGTAATTTTGGAGTAAAATTGATATTTTATACTTATCCTGACTCATGAGGTCAGCCCTCCCATCCTCCCCAAATAACACTTTGGATTTCCCTGTAAATTCAAATGTTGGGCTCAGTATATGAGGAGAGAGTGAGGCACATGGGTAGAGGTGAAGCCCTGGTTCAGCTTGTGGAAAGGAGGTAACTTCGTGGTGAATACTAATTAGTGATTTTAAATTGAAGGGAGCTTCAATTAGGGAGATACAAGTGTTCCACTATGTTACTTGAAGAAGAAGAAGACAAGCAAAAGAGCATGAGTCAGGATAAGTATAAAATATCAATTTTACTCCAAAATTACATTTTTATTTTCAACATTCCAAGTATAACCTAGATCTATTGTTTGATCATCAGTTACATCCCCAACTGCATCAACTTCTCTGCCCGCACATCTGCAAACCAGACCCAAGACATCGTCATGTCCAAACTGGACAGGTGAGTCCACAAAGGTCATCAGTCACAGAGTCCAGGGCCCCGTTTCACAAAGCTCTCGTAAGCCTAAGATCTCGTAATGTTTCTCATAGCATTCGTACTTCCTATGTTACAGTATAGGAGGTACAAATGCTATGAGAAATGCTAAGATCTTAAACTTACGAGAGCTTTGTGATACAGGGCCAAGAGACTTTGCTTCTGTTATATATACAAGAAGAAACATCTGACTACAGCCATGTGTTTTGTCAATGTGTTGGGAATTGGTGATGCAGTGTATTATACCATATATATTCCTACATGGTGTAACTGGATCTAGAGTATTGTAAAATTGAAAATAGATTCAAGTAATATTACATCATGTCCTATGGGATCCAAACATGGACGGTTGTTTGAATCCTTAATTTCATCAAAATTATGGATTGTCTGTCACGTGGAACTGACCCAGTGTCTAGGGTGCCATTGGTTGATTTCTTCTTGTAATCCCCATTTGTAATGGACAAAGATTTACAAGTGTTAAAATTTGTTACAGAGTTATGGCCCTTGTCATGCGTTTCTTAACTTTGTGCACGTTATCCCCAGTGGGGACAGATTCTCTCAATTATAGATAGGGAAACCAAATGTGGTATGTTTTCTGGACATGAATGGCATTGTGGAGTTAAAAAATAGGAACCAAATATGAACACTGTGGTAGGGGATATTGATGACCATGTCTTCTTGTCTTTATTAATATCAATAAAAGTTGCTTAGTTGAGCCTTACTGCATATGCTATTGTACTGAAGAACTAATGAATGTTTTTACAAAATGTTCCCAGGAGGAGGAAGGGTGTGTATGGTCCCCCCAATGGGGAAGAGGTCAGTTGTGTTTGTTGATGATCTGAACATGCCTGCCAAGGAGAAGTATGGCGCCCAGCCTCCCATTGAGCTGCTCCGACAGTGGATTGACCACGGTCACTGGTATGACAGGAAGGACACATCCAAAGTCTACCTTGTTGATGTTGTAAGTAATCACAGAACATTTGTTCATTTAGATAACAGTTTGATCAACTTTTGTATGAACCTGCTGGCTAGAAAAACACTCAAATCTTTGAGGGGCATTTAGAAGTGGAATGTATAAGAAAAGCAAGACTTATGGACGGCAACTTCTTTATTGCGAATAACACCCGTCAACGTGAATATATGGGGCAATACTTATTAGACAAAACTTATGGCCTCGTAGACATAAAGATATCTCTGATTAACTGGATCTGAGAATTGTGGTTATTCATTAGTATATCCAGCACAATTTAGTGGAAGAAGATCTTGGGTACTGTCTCCATTCAGTGGGGACACCAGAATTTAAGCTAAGAGGTAAAAGCTTTCATTCCAAAGACTCCCGGATTGATTGCCAGCATGGTCAAAATGTGTAAAGCTCATTGTTCAGGTACCCCTGCTGTAGTTTACTGGACCATTGCTCTATGACATCTAAAAGTCCCCTGGAGTACTCAATTGTAATTTGATGTGATGTTATTTAACTGAATACTTGGCTCTACTCCCAGCTGTTCGTGACGGCCATGGGTCCCCCTGGTGGAGGAAGAAATGACATCACTGGACGATTCTCTCGCCATCTCAACATCGTCTCCATTGAGGAGTTTGACGACAACACAATGAACAGGATCTTCACAACAATCACAGACTGGCATTTCTCCAAGGGCTTTGAGCAGTCCTTCCCCAGGAATGGCAAGGTAGGGATCACCCACTGTTACTGATACCATTCCACTGTCACCCATTCTCATGGCCTAGTTCCTAGTGTTCATGACTTAGTTTATGGTCTGAGAGATTCTGTTAGCTGCTAGTGGTGTAATTAAATTATGGCCTTGTCTGTGAAGACCAACCACTTGCCTCTACAAATCTTTCTTGCTTGATGTTGCACATTTGTTGTGGATGCAGTCATATGAGGATGAAATAGTTGGACAGAAAGTGTTTATATTTCAATTGAAACAAATGTTTTTGGATTGTGATGAACCTTTTTGGAATGTAACAAGTGTTCTCATGTGGAAATCTGAAACCTTATCTGGTAACATGAGTGAGTACATATTGCTCCACAACTCATCAGCAGTCTTACAGCCAATCAGAGCAATACCTGGTACAGAGATGGAGTTATATTGCTAAGTTATTTATGGGATTGTCTTCTTGGAATTTGTTTTGTCAATTTCGTATAGCAGAGAACTCTAATTTGATCTGATAGTGAACATGAGAATGGGTGAAAAGTGTCACTTTCTATTTTACACTAGTAATATTTCATGTCATTCTTCACATAGAGCATGTTCATCTTACAATGTAAAAAATTGTCCCAAATGTCAGCATGTTTCCGAAGATGTGTTTAACTAAAAACACCAACACATGTATCTCTCATGTCATCTTGTGTATTGTGTATCAACTCACCTGTAATATCAGCTACTGTTCTTCTTCTCTCATATACATGAAGTCAGTCACTGTCTACTCACAGAATAGAAGTAAAACATGGTCATGTGATGCAGTTGAAGGGAGATGCAGCTATTAGAAGTTAGGCTAATGTGGGGTAGAACATTTGAATATTAATTATATTGTTAGTGATTCCATTGCATTTGATTGGCTAGCCATAAAAGTGTTTTGTTTTTTGTTTTCATGCATTAAAAAAAGAATTATCCATGCCAACCAAGGGACCTCTATTTTCTAACAGGCTGATAATAGAATTGACAGGCATATGTCACTGATTTTGTATTGTATAGTTGTATTGTACGATGGTTTTGGCCTATACGTATGTAGGTGGTAGCATGTATCATTCATTACCCTGTGATGTCTTTCAAGGGCCACCATGGTCAGTGGTGACCATTGATGGACACTATCGGCTGGTCAGTTTTATTGGTTTGTCACTAGGCTAGGTCAGGGGGTTCAGTGAAGAAGGTGCCACTGTGCAGTATATACTGCTTTTGGGTTCAAATCCTACATTTGCCATGGTCTGTAGGGTTTGACCAAAAGTGTGATCCATGTCCAGCATCACTGTGGTATTCCATCGTAAGTACAGAAGTAGAGGGTGAAAACTCACTGAGAAAGCCAGAAGCCATGTTTAACTCTTTGGAATAATTCATGCTCAGAATTGGGAATGGCGAACTGCAATAAAGCAATAATCTGTCAGACATTGTTATTGCTGGATTTATCTTTTATGAGGTTTTCTTGAGCAGATAACCACAGTTTATAACAAATGAGATTTGTGTACATGACCTTCACTGGAGGCATTCAAATGTAACCAACTGCATCTCCCTCTCAACAGTAGAACTGTCACATGTATGTTATTGTGTACATCTGTTACATGTCAAGTTGTTTCTACAAGGTAACATTGTGATGTCTCTGTAACCACTATCTTCTCACTACTCACTATCACTTAATGTCATACAGGACTCGGCTGTAAGTACTCTCACTGTCTGCGTGACTAACACCACTAACTCCTCACTAACACAACCACTACCCACTCACTAACATGACAAATTCCATCCAGTGTTAGTGTTACAATGCTCTTTATTCTGTTGAATTTGTGTCGACCAATTTGTGAAAACAAAATGTTTCTTTTGGATGTGACTGGTATACCATGATTTCTTCAGGAAGAGGTATTGGCCGTAGGATTACTGTTTTCTATCAAAGGCAAAAGGGAATGATATCCCTAATTATGTGCTCAATATGTTGATGAACATTCTTGGTCACTTGGTCACATGGTCACATGGTCATAGAGACTAAAGTCACTTTGAACAGGGCATGTATGCCTTGGTCGCCTGAGGTACCACAGATGTGCAGAGTTATGTCCCCTTATAAGGGTGCCATTGTATAAAGTGATCTTAGTGCTATGTAATTGTAATCCTCAAACTTTAACACAGACCTCCGACTCTCATGGCACTAAGGTTTGTTTTGTATGGGTGAGTTATAGTGCAGAGGTTGCTTTGAGGAATATAACCCTGATCACAGGTTCCAAGTTCCTGATTAACCTTGACTGTTGTTCTTGTTTAGCCACACCTTCCTCCCTTGTAAGACTGAAATACTTTGATAGTACATTAATGAAGTTATAGTAGTATTCAATGAAGTTATAGTGGTATTCAATGAAGTTATAGTGGTATTCAATGAAGTTATAGTAGTATTCAATGAATTTGTAGTGGTATTCAATGAAGTTATAGTAGTATTCAATGAAGTTATAGTGGTATTCAATGAAGTTATAGTGGTATTCAATGAAGTTGTAGTGGTATTCAATGAAGTTATAGTAGTATTCAATGAAGTTATAGTGGTATTCAATGAAGTTATAGTGGTATTCAATGAATTTGTAGTAGTATTCAATGAAGTTATAGTAGTATTCAATGAAGTTATAGTGGTATTCAATGAAGTTATAGTAGTATTCAATGAAGTTATAGTGGTATTCAATGAAGTTATAGTAGTATTCAATGAAGTTATAGTGGTATTCAATGAAGCTATAGTGGTATTCAATGAAGTTATAGTAGTATTCAATGAAGTTATAGTGGTATTCAATGAAGTTATAGTAGTATTCAATTAAGTTATAGTAATAGTAGTATTCAATGAAGTAATAGTAGTATTCAATTAAGTTATAGTAGTATTCAATGAAGTTAAAACTGGTATTCAATCAACATAAGTTACTATTATCTGTCGTGGGTCTTGGTGTCTGGCATCCACATGGAGTGTTGGCGAGGGAAATACAAAATTCATTCTCAAGGATGCTATAATCCACAGTTCTGGTTTCTGGGAGGTTGGGATGGGTGGTCCAGTTGTCCAGCAGCATGTTGTCGAATGTTCCTGTAATATTGCTGATATTGATTTAAACCGTTTCCGACTTTGTCAAAAGGCAGTATATGTTTTTTAGAAGTTGATAATGTTTCTCATTCAGTTGTCAGGCTTATGCCTTTGTGGTGTGTGACACTCAGATGTGTGTGCCTCAAGACACAGCAGCACTATGTGGAAACACTCCACTGTGCCTGTTTGGATCACACTCGTTTTAAAGCTCAGGATTTCATTTGGATACCAGATTATGTTTGCATGTTTTTGCTGTTATACAGATGTTGGTTTGAACATTTCGTTTGTGTTAAAAATGTTAAGAGTTCCCTTGTTGTCAGTTGGTGTTAAAGGACAGATTTTGTCCACAGTCATATCATATGACAAGTGTTTGAAAACTGTGGTGAAATGTTTGTGGGAAAAATTTCTAAAGCTCAAATCTTAAAACACAATATTTAATATTCAAAAGCTGTAAGAAGAATTGTAATTATATTTGATTCTTTGTTGATGTAGTTGTATTTATGTATTTTACAAAATAACTTTTGAGAAGATAGTTGGGATTATTTCGTTGTGTGTAATTTGTTAGGGTATGCTGTCATAATTGTATAACCAATCTCCCTAAGTATATGTGTGCTTGGTAAATGCAGAAGTGGCCTGCCCTAATGACAGCCTAATGAAATGTTTCAATAATGAATACACTAATATTTGTTTCTAACTGCACAACTAAACATCTCTATTATGAAACTGCACAGACTATTGTCCATGGAAGGTTGAAAGTTGCACAGTAGAAGAACTCCCAGAGAGCAACTCTGGTATTGTTGACGAGTTATCAAGTATGTTGTCCTGTTGCAGCTGCTTGTGTCAGCTACTATGGGTGTTTACAAGGAGGCCATTCAGAGCTTCCTCCCAACACCCACCAAGAGTCACTAACGTGTTCAACCTGCGAGACTTCTCCCGAGTGATCCGTGGCGTGCTGCTCGTGCCCCCCACTCACATGACAGAACCAGAGAAGCTGATGAGGCTGTGGGTGCATGAGGTCTACAGGGTCTTCTATGACCGTCTCATTGATGATGCAGACAGGTAAATATTACGTACGATAATAATCGGCTACAGTACCTGGCACTGGCCGTGTTGCATCCGCGTATTAATGTCCCTGGGGTATTCTGAATTCTGTGGGTTTGAATTCCACCTTCACCCTGTTTAGTATTCAAGGCTTGTCAGCAGCAAATCTGTGACAAATGTCTCGACTGCATGTATTCAATCTTTCCTCCCACATCCAGCTGACTCACATCCAGCTGACTCACATCCAGCTGACTCACATCCAGCTGACCCACATCCAGCTGACTCACATCCAGCTGACTCACATGTAATTACTGAAACACTGTCCAAAGTGGTGCTACACCCACCTACATGCTTAATGGTCATATATATGTCATACCTCATACTTTATGAAGGCAGGGTTAAAATAAAAAGGGCACACATTTTTGCATTTTGTGACACTTTTTTTCATGTGGTTCCAGTGAAACATATTCTTTTACACCAGTAAATCTGACAAATACAGGGAATATGTAATGGTTATATGCAGAATTTGGAACAACCCATGTCTTTCACCACTGACTTTTCTCCGGTTGATACACTTAAACATTTCAAAATCTCGTAAAAAGTGTTTTATAGTTCCCTTGAAAAAATATGTTTCTCATTTTGAAAGGTTTCCTAATGATATCATATGATATAAGTTACACTAGTTACCACTTAGAATGTGTGGGATGATATCATTATCAGTTAGTATGGTGGTTTGATTAAAAAAAGTATACTTGGTTGTCAAATACTGCCTGCTTCAACAAGGCATACCTGCATTTTGAAATTTAACCTTGCATAAAAGACAAAAATTGTTACTGATGCTTACAGTATACAGTGTACAAGATAATTAACAGGTTCTGAATTATGTCTTTCAGTGGCATTTAGAAGTTGTACATAGATGTCCAAGATATTTTTATGGATTAATGCAGTTATGACGTCATAGTGATGACGTCATAGTCTCAACTGGAAGGGACCTGGAATTGTCCTGAAACGTCGTAAGGGAAATAAAAAAGAAGTTTAATCCATAAAAATATCTTGGACAGGTTCTGAATTGTCTAATATGATGGAAATCTCATGTTTGTTGTTTAATACCACACTCACCAGTATTTCGGATATACAATGGCAACATGCACATAATAGAAACTTGGACTAGACAATCCAGCAATTATGAGCATCAGTCTATTTATTTGGGACTTACCGGGATGTTAAAATAGTTCAGTGTAGTCCACTGAACAGCACAACACTTTCATTGTTAAATATTTTGTCCAACCTTGATAATGTATTTATGTTGTATTTCAGGACCACTTTCTTCAACATTGTGAAAGAAATGTCACAGACCCACTTTAAGATGAACATTGATAAAATACTGGGCCACTTGTCTAAGAGTGGCAACGTTGTTGACGATAATGTCCGTAGTTTGTTCTTTGGTGACTACATGAATGCTGACCAGAAGGTATACGATGAGGTCACTGATCTCAAGGAGCTGACCAGTGTAATGGAACAGTAAGTCATCCATTTACGTTTTACTAATATTTCTACTAACATTGTTAATTGCCATTTTAAAGCTTTAGTAATAGTCAAGGCAGAATTGACAGGTAATGACTGATGGATTTCAAATTATATATTCTTTCAATGCGACATATTGGTAAGTGTAAGTACAATTATCAAGCTTAAACCTGTACCAATCACGCCTGATATTGACCAAAATTAATCCATTATTATTTTTTATAATTTTTTGTGGATCATATCCTATTGTTAATACATTGTAAGTTGTTTTCCTTTCTTATGACAAAAAGAATAATTTGTTAATGCTATGAAACTTTTTCAAACTAGGACCAAGGATGTTGCCCCTCTACTTTGTAAAGCCTTTACCTGAGAACATTCATTTTCATTTAACGTTCCATATTGTCATTCCAGGTAGTTAGATGTTCTGTTTTAATAAGTAACAGTGTACTTCTTACATGACTAACATAAGATCATTACTTATATTAGTCATTACCAAGAGATGGTGCTGTAGTAAGTAATATTTCTCCTCACTCACAGTCAGTGACCTCCTGGCATGGGTTGTTCAGGTCACAGTGACAGGTCGCTGTGTCAGGTCACCGTGTCAGGTCACTGTGTCAGGTCACTGGGTAGCACACAATGATCTCACTCATGTTATGCTGGCTTGTACAACTTTTTACAAATAGTTCAAATACTTGCATCTTGCTTCATCGTTCATCATTCCAGTTATTTTGTCTTTGAATATTTTGGAGGTTAAATGGAGTGTTCTGTCATTCATTTCGCAGTTTATTTGCTAAATATGCAAGTACAGTCAAATCCCGATGAGTCGAATGCCGGTGCCTCGAATATTATGCATAACTCGAAGTACCTGTTGGTCCCGACCATTCCCTGTTATAGTTGTCATCATTTGAATACCGGTTACACGAATTCGTCTCATAAATACACACTCGAGAAGGAAATTTGGTCCCATGAGATTCAAACAACAGCAATTTTGTATACATAATCCGAAGTCAGTCAATGAGAAGTTGATTGGTGTAGCAAACTGATCCAATTAACAAACCAGCGCGGCTCACACCTTTCCGCCATTGACGAGTTCAAAAGGCAGACTAGTGATTTTACGGAAATCACTGTCTGTGCTAATCAGACTGGAACTGATAAGGTGCCCCTATTAGTGATATGGAAATCATTAGATAAACAAATGCTTAGGCGGAGGAATTAAGACTGGATCATCTTTTTTTCTACCCTCATAGACATACCTATGTCTCAAATACATCGATAAGTTGAATTAATTACTTGGTCCCCAGCGATTCGACTCATCGGGATTTGACTGTATATGCATAGTTTCACAGGACTTTTGGATCTCAGTTTGTTAAGAATATGTGGTAATAGTAGATTTTCAGCATCCTAGTTTTATACAGTCAACATCTCTGGTTCTCATAGCCATGGCAGTATTTTGTCATTGCATACGAGTACAACCTGTAGTAACTTCAGTCCTGAACAGTGGTGATGGGCTAGCTTAATGGTTAAAGCATTCCTCGTCATGCAGAAGACACAGGTTTGATTCCCTACTTGGGCACAATGTGTGAAGCCCATTTCTGGTGTCCCCTGCTGTGATATTGCTGGAATATTGATAAAAGCAGTGTAATCCAAACTCACTCACTCACTCGCTCACTGACTTTCAGTCCTGAAGAAATCTGTTTCCATTACAGTATTGCACATTTAGCCTCCAATGACAGACTGTACAGGTTTAAATTATTGTTGATGTTTGTTGTGTGAAGCTGGGTCCTGTACACAGTCTGGTGGTAGATGTTTATATCTCACAGTATTCCTATATCTGTACACACTCTTATCTCTACAATAATAGACACTATTGGATGTCAGTGGGTGTTGGAATGTCATGACATGTTTCAGATACAGGATGGGCAGTAGGTGCATGTCACAAAGGAGCATGTCAGCATGTTGTTTGAAACACATTCAATTTATTGTTATTTATCATTAAGTCAAACATGAATTTTCTATCAAAATGAAATCACTATGCATGCAAAACATGTAGACTGTTTGTCAAGAATCTTTACTAATTTTTAAACATATTGAAATGCCCTGGCACTCTGTCTTATGAATATGCTGTTATGTACATTTTAAAATGAAGTGGAATCATACATTTTCTGCATATTGCAGAATTTCAGCAAAAGAACTTAAAATGCTATGGGAACTATTGTTATATCTTCTGAATTCTGTTCTATACACATGTAATGATCTGTTTATATACTGATATATCTTTCTAATTCTTTCTGTCACGATATGACTGAAATATTGCCGATGTGACGTTAAATAATAACTCACTCACTCACTCACTCTAATTCTTTCTATTCACATTACGGTAAAGCAGGAACATTTGTACACTTACCAAGGTTATTGCTGTTGTAGTAAATATCATGTTTAATATATCTGACACCCTGTCTAAAGTGCCTCTTTCTTGAGTTATTTTCTCTACCACAGGATGAATAATACTCAACAGTTCACTGAGAAAGGCCTTTGAATGATGTTTATTCCTCTTTGATGCATTTTGTTGAAATTTCTCAAATTTCTAGCTGCAATTTCTCGATATAAATCTTCTGGTATGCATGTATACTTGTCTAAACTCTTCTCTCCTCTCTTTCCTCTGCAGCTATCTGGAGGAGTTCAACACCATGAGCAAAGCACCCATGCACCTTGTTATGTTTAAGTTTGCTATTGAGCACATCTCGCGTGTCAGTCGCGTATTGCTGCAGGACAATGGACATGCGCTGCTTGTTGGTAAATATCTCTGTCTGTTTATTGTTTCATTAAACCTAGAGTGAACAGAGCCAAAGGAGGTTACCACATCTCTACAGCCAGGGTTAATTTAAGTCAGCCTGAGAAAAAAGTATTAAACAAGCATTAGTTGGCAATGCCCAAAATATAAATTATGAAATGAAACTTTACCTTCAATACAAAAAAGGATGCTGGGAGAAGAAATGCAACAGCCTTGTGTATTGTTATGACTCACAAGTATGAGAGGTTAACATGTGCTTCACATCTTCACTACGTGCCACTGTACCTTATTTTACACATATAAAATGAAAATAATGTGCATATTGGGACACAGAATGTAACATAGCAATGCAAATCATTAAATATCATGGTTGCGTTATTGATTCTTGTCTATTTCTACCAACATTCAGAAGTTGGATTTCCCTGATTCATATCAGAAATTATAAAATAGTAAAGCATGTTCATTAAAATCCTTCTGGTCATGATTGTATTAGTAAATGGAACTCACTTTAATGTCACCATGAATTCCATACCTTAAGTTCACTACGTCGGCAAGGGTTATGTAAATCATTAATATGAGCTAACACTGGTCAACCAAAGTTAAACTGGGCATACCTTTGTCAACATGGGTTCATCACGTTTATCAAATGTTTCTAATCGGACACAACCTGTGTTACCCATTTCTTGGTGACTGGTAATGAGATGAATGTATGGACTGACAGACTGAGTTTGGTTTTAACGCCGCTTTTAGCAATATTCCAGCAACATCACGGCGGGGATGAATGTATGGAACGCTGATGAATTAGTATGCAAGATCTACTGATAATCTGATGATTTTAGACACTGACTGAATAAGATAATTTCCCTTATATAAGAACATGATTTCGTGCCAATTAGTCACAGAAAAATGATAATATGTACATTTGTTACCATGGTTAATGTATATACCTGTATATTTTTACCATCTTGTTATTAAAATCGTGCTCTTGAAACTTCTTGCACTGGGTCACATTAAATTCTATATCTTTAACACTCACTCTACTATTTATGCATGAAAACAAATAAAAATGTCTTGATACTTCACATTTTGCTGGCTCATTTCCAGTAGGGATTCCAAGTTCCACATATCTTCCAAGTAGGGCTATGTGTGCAGGTACAAGAGATTATTATTGAGTTTTAAAGTACAGCATCATTTCCGCTCTCCCCTTTGTCCCTTTTTGAGTGATATGAATAATATGCAGAAGCATTCTGACCACCTCTGTGAACATTCATGTTAGAATCGGTCCACAGAAACCCATACATACTGTAAGAGATGACGTACTGGATCAGGTGGTGAGGCTCAGTGTGGTTGAAGCATGTTATCATTTCAACATTTATGTAGATTGATGCTCATGATGTCGACCACTAGACCGGTCAAAACTTGATTGTTTACAGTCTGCTGACCTTCAACTAGAATACTGCAGAGTATCTTTAACCAATAAAAGTTTAACATTCTGACCACTGTAACTGTAACATTGACTAGAAGCATGTATATTCAGGGGGTTGGGGGGTCCATTGGCTCCACCAATGCAAAAAAAATCTTCAATGTGGTCTTCAGTCATTTTCAAAAGGGGGGTGTCGAACCCCCTGAAAACCCCCTCTGGATCTGCCAATGATATTCCTTGTAGCTGCTGTTGTCTCACTGAATGACTTGTTCCTAGGTATTGGTGGTTCAGGAAGGCAGAGTGCTTGCAAGCTGGCTACATTCATGGCTGACTTCGACTTGTTCCAAATAGAGATTACCAAAAACTATACCACAGTTGAGTGGAGGGAAGACCTTAAAAAGGTGAGCATTGTGTAGGTCTACCTTATTATAGGAATATTGAGCACAGAAGTTTATGCATGCTATCACTAGGTGTGTTGAGGCACACAGGCATTGTAAATATTGAGATGATTGTGTGTTTTTAAGACAGAATGTTCATTTATAACTTACCGAGATGTTTTATAGTTGTTCATGTTATTAGTATCCGAACCCACAATTCAATGATGTTTACAAGCCACTGTGTAAAAGCTGGAATACTGCTGAATTCTGGAGTGCAGCATTAAACAGGAACAGATAAAAAAACAGCTTTTATATTGCATTCTCATCTCCCTGAGGAATATAGAATGTTTCTTGTCAGTGTCTTGTTGGATGGTTTTCTTTAACATTACCATCTTCTCCTTCTTGGAGTGGAGTTGGGTTTGATGCCACTTGGAACAATATTCCAGTTATATCATGACATGTGGGTGGAAAGGCCGAAGTGATGCAGGCATTTACTTTGGTCACACACACAAGCCAGGATATGGTGTTTACAAATGCAGATCATCGGGGTAAACCAGGAGTCAAACCCAGAATCATAGTTTTGTGGCATGCCCTGGGGGCCCAATGCTGTACACACAGAACACTAGGCCAGTGCTCCCAAATGTATGTAAGACATGAAAGTTAGGTCCCTCTGATTGTTATGTATGTATGTTAATCATTAAGGACATGAGAGTAGCCCTGTGTCAGTGATGGAGACTAAGCAGCCCTTGTTGGTATTGTCAGTTGCTGGTGAAGACAGGTTCTGAAGGGAAGCCCACAGTGTTCCTGTTCTCGGACAACCAGATCAAGGATGAGTCCTTCATGGAGGATATCAGTATGATCCTCAACACTGGCGACGTCCCCAACATCTTCCCTGCTGACGAGAAGGCAGACATCATTGAGAAGATGCAGGTGGTTGCCAGGAATGAGGTCAGTTGTGGAGAACATTTTCAAATCCTCCTTATCAGGACAGTAAAGTAATGTCAATGTGTAATTTAGGTTTTTGATATCTTGAACTGTCTGAAACAGCTACTATGTTTACATGCAAGATTTGAGCAGCATGGAGCCAAGTAGTGAAAGTGTTTTCTTGTAATGCTGAAGAACCAGGTTTGATACTGGGTCCAGATGAATTTGTGAAGCCGGTGCTTGGTGTCCCTGTTTCAGGACTATTATGGCGTTAAACTATGTACATTCTCAGATGTATTACTCTAGTGATTTGTTTTTGTTCCCTTTTATGGTCAATAAATGCATTGAGACAAATGAATGAGTACTTAACATGTTCATTATGTTGATGTTATGAAGACTTTTGTACATCTCAGCATGTCAACATGGCATCCTTTGCTTCAGAAGACTGAACATTGTCAAACAATACTTCTTGTCAAACTATACTAATATACATCTTTGTTGTATATCTAAATATATTTGTTCTCCATATGACTTCTTTTAAAATCATTTCCTATTGTTTTCCAGGGTAAGAAAATTGAGGCCACCCCACTGTCAATGTACAACTTCTTCATAGAGAGAGTGAAGACCAACCTCCATATTGTACTGGCCATGAGTCCTATTGGCGATGCGTTCAGGAACAGACTGAGGATGTTCCCCTCGCTCATCAACTGCTGCACAATCGACTGGTTCCAGGTGAGACACCATACTCATATATGTATAGTCAGATTTATCCTGAAGTTTCCCAGTGATACTGGTTCCAGGTGAGACACCATACTCATATATGTATAGTCAGACTTATCCTGAAGCTTCCCAGTGATACTGAGATTTTGTTCCATTGTTATTAAAGATAACATTGAGCTTCCTCTTCACAAACACTGATGATCTCAAAGAAACTGTTCCAAGTCATTTCCCCCAGATCACATCTCTGTATTAACATAGGAACTTTGCAGTGATCGTCATTGTTACATAAGAACATTTCGAACAGTTGCTGTTGAACCAACAAGTTGTACATGCAATTCAGTGTATAATGATGTATTGGGTTGACTTACAACACTGACATTATGATTCTGGTATCAGTATGGCAAGAATTATTACATGTTAAATGTGTAAAGACTGGCACAGTTAATGTCATGCACCAAGGCTGACTTAGCTAGATATCATTTGTGCAGCTGTAGACTGGTAATTTACAGTACACAGTAAGTATTTAGTATGGTGTTATCACGAGCCTGTGTTGTGTGTGTGCAGGCGTGGCCGGAGGATGCCCTGGAGATGGTGGCCAACAAGTTCCTGGAGGAGGTGGAGCTGGAGGACGGCGTTAGGAAGGAGACTGTCATCATGTGCAAGTACTTCCATGAGTCTGTGAGGAACATGTCAGAGAGGTAAGACAGACCTAGTCATCACAAGGTGATCTGTCAAAATACATACCATCATAGGCATAATAGCTCCTGAGTGCGAAATTCAGTTATTAGGAATTGTATTGTGTGAAATGTGTGTCTAGTGTCATTGCATCTTATCAGACACAGTTAGCATGGGACGTGCTCATAATATTGTAGCTATGTCTAATCCAGATGTGATTATTTACACGCTCCCACAATATTGCTTTCATATTGCCTACATTGGCTTACTAGTAAATATTAACTCACTTACTCTGACAGTTTAATGTAATTTGGATACGTTCCTGCCTATTTTAACCAATGATTTCTATTCTCTTGCGTAGGTATTTTGACATGCTTCGCCGGCACAACTATGTAACCCCAACATCGTATCTGGAGTTGATCCTGACCTTCAAGAGTCTCCTGGGTGTTAAGCGAGAGGCCATATTAACCATGAAGAACCGTTACCTGACCGGTCTAGAGAAGCTGGACTTTGCAGCCTCCCAGGTGTCTGTGATGCAGCAAGAGCTTCAGGACCTCCAGCCAGAACTCATCAAGACGTCCGCCGAGACTGAGAAACTCATGATCAAGATTGAGCAGGACACAGTAGAGGTGGAGGCCAAGAAGGAGGTGAGTGTTCCAGGACTGTTGGCAAGGACTGTTGGGCATGAATTGCTGGGCAGGACTGTTGGTTGGCGACTGTTGGGCTATTTGAACCCACTTGAGTTAGGCTCCTTCAAGTTCTGTATCCTTGAAAGTGAATCTTCATGACTTCATAACTTTTCATGAATTTACTATTTAATTGCAGGGTGTGCCGACAATGTTTGAGACTATTAGTGCGAACACTGCTCTTGGCATCATATTCATTACAACACAGGGTTACAATATGGACTGCTTTTTTTTGTGTGTAAGATGAATCATCATTAGGGATGCCTCAGAGCTGTAATTGTTTCATCTGGGCAATGTTAACATATGAATTTCATCTTTTATTCAATATATAACTAACATTATCGTCATATTGTTTTGCTAATATCTGATGATGTGTTGAAACGTGTCTTGCTTTCTTTTAGGTTGTAGCTGCTGATGAAGCTGTGGCCAATGAGGCTGCTGCTGCTGCCCAGGCAATCAAAGATGAATGTGAAAGCGAGCTGGCTGAAGCTATCCCAGCCTTGGAATCGGCCATCTCAGCCCTCAACACTCTCAAACCATCCGACATCACACTTGTCAAGTCTATGAAGGTATCAGATAATTCCATCTTGAAAACTTGAGATCAGTACAATCCAGTGATGTTCTAGCTGCTTGTTGATTTCTCCTTTCCTTTCAATGAATGTTTTCTATTTCTGCCTTATGTATAGCTTCAGAATGAATATTCAGGGTTTCATACGTGTAGGATATAACATGACCCACGGCCATTATTGAAAAGTAAGCCTGCTTCCCGAGGGAAGAGGGCTTACTTTTCAATAATGCCCACGGGTCATGTTATATCCAACTTATAAACCGACTGAAGATATAATTTCAATATTTGGTATTTACTGTTGAAATCAACTGGGATGAGACTGGCAGCCAACACCTTGCCTTGCACGCACAATGCACATGCTCTGCATGCGCTACCCGTGTCCTGCACGTGCGCTGCCCGCACTACCTGTCTTGTGAGGAACACACGGTTCATGCTGACAAACAATCTTATTCTGCACAGCGATCCTTCGTAGCCTACTGGATAAAACTGCCAAGCTAATAAGTCGAAGGGTTGCAGGTTCAAAACCAGATATCGGCACTACATGTTGGAAGTTTTCAATAATGTGATGTGTTACGATCGCATTCAGTGATAGCAAGACAAAGTTACATCAATCTTCAAATAAGTAATACTGAAGTAATATCCCGGGGCAGAGGGACCATATTGAAGTAATATCCCGGGGCAGAGGGACAATATTGAAGTAATATCCCGGGGCAGAGGGACAATATTGAAGTAATATCCCGGGGCAGAGGGACCATATTGAAGTAATATATCCAGAGGGACAATATTGAAGTAATATCCCGGGCAGAGGGACAATATTGAAGTAATATCCCGGGCAGAGGGACAATATTGAAGTAATATCCCGGGGCAGAGGGACAATATTGAAGTAATATCCCGGGGCAGAGGGACAATATTGAAGTAATATCCCGGGGCAGAGGGACAATATTGAAGTAATATCCCGGGCAGAGGGACAATATTGAAGTAATATCCCGGCAGAGGGACAATATTGAAGTGATATCCCGGGCAGAGGGACAATATTGAAGTAATATCCCGGGGCAGAGGGACCATATTGAAGTGATATCCCGGGGCAGAGGGACAATATTGAAGTAATATCCCGGGGCAGAGGGACAATATTGAAGTAATATCCCGGGGCAGAGGGACAATATTGAAGTGATATCCCGGGGCAGAGGGACAATATTGAAGTAATATCCCGGGGCAGAGGGACAATATTGAAGTAATATCCCGGGGCAGAGGGACAATATTGAAGTAATATCCCGGGGCAGAGGGACAATATTGAAGTAATATCCCGGGGCAGAGGGACAATATTTAAGTAATGCCCCCTAATCGACGGGCCATCGGTGTATGACTAGAAATACTGCCTTGCAAGAACAATAGAGTGACGTCACTGTCGGTTTATACGATGCAGGAATCTGGGATCTTCAAGGCATTTGTGACAAAAATACTCCTAATCGTATTCAGTTATGAGTCATGTGACACAACATATTCATATTATTCAGAACTATTTCCTACAAAATATTCAATGGGACTGTTTTATTTTTTCATTGAAGCATTAAAAATCAACTGAGTGTTCATGATTTCATTGTGTTATTAATTTCGGTCATGTATGACTCCATCAAGGTCATGACTCTCAAAAACATTTGCAACGCATCATAACATGTTTGATCATAAATTGATGTCCATTAAGGTATTTGATGTAAAATAAGTGACCTTAATTGAGGCCACAATGAAATGAATCATGTATTTATTAGCTACAGTAGGGAATCCAAGCTGGCAGATGGTGTGACAGTGATATTGCTGGATACAGCTACATTAACATATATTGCCTCCAAGTACTACCTCCCTGTACTGTCTCCATGTGCCGTCTCCCTGTGCAGCCTCCCTCCAAGTACTGCCTCCCTGTGCCACCTCCCTTCCAATAGTGCCTCCCTGTACTGCCTCTCTGTACCGCCTCTCTGTACCGCCTCTCTGTACCGCCTTCTTGCACTGCCATCCTGCACCGCCTCCCTGTACTGCCTCCCTGTACTGCCTCCCTGTACCGCCTTCCTGTACCGCCTCCCTGTACCACCTTCCTGTACCGCCTCACTGTACCACCTCCCTGTACCACCTCCCTGTACCGCCTTCCTGTACTGCCTTCCTGTACCACCTCCCTGTACTGCCTCCCTGTACCACCTCCCTGTACTGCCTCCCTGTACCGCCTCCCTGTACCGCCTTCCTGTACTGCCTTCCTGTACCGCCTCCCTGTACTGCCTCCCTGTACCGCCTTCCTGTACTGCCTCCCTGTACTGCCTTCCTGTACTGCCTTCCTGTACCACTTCTCTGTACCTTCTTCTTGCACTGCCATCCTGCAATCAGCTTCCCTGTACTGCCTCCTCCCTGTACTGCCTCCCCTGTACTGCAGCCTGGCACCCTCCCTGTACCACTTCCCTGTACCAGCCTCCCTGTACCACCTTCCTGTACTCACCACTGTACCACCTCCCTGTACCTCCTTCCTGTACTGCCTTCCTGTACCACCTCCCTGTACTGCCTCCCTGTACCACCTCACTGTACCACCTCCCTATACCACCTTCCTGTACTGCCTTCCTGTACCACCTTCCTGTACCACCTCCCTGTACTGCCTCCCTGTACCTCCTCCCCCTGTACCCTCCTTCCTGTAATTCCTCCTGTAATCGCCTCTCCCTGTACTGCCTTCCTGTACTGCCTCTCCTGTACTGCCTTCCTGTACTGCCTTCCTGTACCCTCCCTGTACCGGCCTCTCCCTGTACTGCCTCCCTGTACTGCCTTCCTGTAATCAGCCCCTGTACTGCCTCTCCATACTGCCTCTCTGTGCCTCCTGTACCGCCTCCTGCTGTACCCTGCTTCCTGTACTGCCTCCCTGTACTGCCTTCCTGTACTCCTCCCTGTACCTCCTCCCTGTACCTCCTCCCTGTACCACCTCCCTGTACCACCTCCCTGTACCACCTCCCTGTACTGCCTCCCTGTACCACCTCCCTGTACCACCTCCCTGTACCACCTCCCTGTACTGCCTTCCTGTACCGCCTCCCTGTACCGCCTCCCTGTACCACCTCCCTGTACTGCCTCCCTGTACCGCCTCCCTGTACCGCCTCCCTGTACTGCCTTCCTGTACTGCCTCCCTGTACCGCCTCCCTGTACTGCCTCCCTGTACTGCCTCCCTGTACTGCCTTCCTGTACTCGCCTCCCTGTACTGCCTCTCCTGTACTGCCTCTCTTGTACCTCTGTACCTCCCTGTACTGCCTCCCCCAGTACTGGCTTCCCTCTGTGCTGCCTGCCTGTACCGCCTCCCCTGTACTGCCTCCTGTAGTGCCTCCCTGTACTGCCTTTCCTGTACCGCCTCCCCTGTACTGCCTCCTCCCTGCATTGGCTTCCCCAGACTGCCTGCCTGTACCGCCTCCCTGTACCGCCTCCCTGTAGTGCCTCCCTGTACTGCCTTCCTGTACCGCCTCCCTGTACTGCCTCCCCATACTGGCTTCCTGTACTGCCTCCCTGTACCGCCTCCCTGTACTGCCTTCCTGTACCACTAATCTGTTCTGTCTCTCTGTACCGCCTCCCTGTACTGCCTTCCTGTACCACTAATCTGTTCTGTCTCTCTGTACCGCCTCCCTGTACTGCCTTCCTGTACCACTAATCTGTTCTGTCTCTCTGTACCGCTTCTCTGTACCGCCTTCCTGTACCACTAATCTGTTCTGTCTCTCTGTACCGCCTCCCTGTACTGCCTTCCTGTACCACTAATCTGTTCTGTCTCTCTGTACCGCTTCTCTGTACTGCCTCTCTGTACTGCCTCCCTGTACTGCCTTCCTGTACCGCCTCCCTGTACTGCCTTCCTGTACCGCCTCCCTGTACTGCCTTCTTGTACCACTAATCTGTACTGCCTCCCTGTACCGCTTCTCTGTACCGCTTCTCTGTACTGCCTCTCTGTACCGCCTCCCTGTACTGCCTTCTTGTACCACTAATCTGTACTGCCTCCCTGTACCGCTTCTCTGTACCGCTTCTCTGTACCGCCTCCCTGTACTGCCTTCCTGTACCGCCTCCCTGTACTGCCTTCCTGTACCACTAATCTGTACTGCCTCCCTGTACCGCTTCTCTGTACTGCCTCCCTGTAATGCCTCTCTGTACTGCCTTCCTGTACTGCCTCCCTGTAATGCCTCTTTGTATTGCCTCACTCACTGTGTTGATGTGTCTCAGAACCCTCCTCCTGCCGTGAAGCTGGTGATGGAGTCAGTGTGTGTGATGATGGGCTCCAAGTCAGAGAGGAAGCCGGACCCCGGTGGCAGTGGGAAGATGATAGAGGACTACTGGGGACCTTCTCTCAAGCTGCTCAGTGACCTCAAGTTCCTGGACCGACTCAAAACATACGACAAGGACAACATCCCTCCTCCTGTCATCAAGAAAATTAGAGAGAAGTAAGTTTCTCTCCAGAGTGTTCTTAAACTTCACAACTTATATCAGTCTGGTTGTGAAAAATATATATGGCTGTTGTTGTGTTTTGAATGCTTGGTCAACTTGTACTTTGTTTCAGTAGAAATGGATGAATTTTTTTGTAGTCATCTAATTTAATGGGATATCTGTTTGATATATCAAGAGATAACATCCCTGTCACTTATGAAATTATTCTGTTGTGTATAGGTATATGTCAAACCCAGACTTTGACCCTGCCCTGATTAAGAACGCCTCCACTGCCTGTGAGGGTTTGTGTCGATGGGTCAGAGCCATGGACACATATGATCGGGTGGCCAAGGTCGTAGCACCCAAGAAGGAGAAATTAGCCCAAGCTGAAAGCGAGCTGTCTGTACAGATGGACAAGCTCAATGAGAAGAGAGGTCAACTACAAGCTGTAAGTTTAGGATAAAATCTTGGTGCACATTCAGTCAAACGTATTAATCCAAAGTCTTTTCTATTGAAATCTGGATTCATACTGTGTTCAAAATTCTGTATTTGTAAACCTGTATCCATATTTTGTATGATGAATGTGAATCCATGTTTGTTTCAAATTCTGGATTGATATTTTTTTTAATGATGCCAAAGTGAGTTCCTCTCACAGTGACATCATGGTAACCAATGACATTACTAAGGTCTACAGAGTATTAAGATACAGTTTTATTGTAGTGACCTTCCCAGGATAGATTGATTGATATTTCACACAAAGCAATATCACCCATGGAAGCCAGTTTGGGATGATAAAACACAAACTCGTCTCTTCTGTGCAGGTGACAGACAAGCTGCAGGCGCTGAATGATGAGTTCGAGGCTATGACCCAGAAGAAGAAGGAGCTGGAAGACAACATCGACCTGTGCTCAAAGAAGCTGGACAGAGCAGAGAAGCTGATCGGTGGACTGGGTGGGGAGAAGGACAGATGGACAGAGGCAGCGAGGATGTTAGGGGATAAATATATCAACATAACCGGGGATGTCCTTATGTCTGCTGGTGTGGTGGCCTACCTTGGTGCCTTCACTGTCGACTTCAGACAGGTAAGTGTGCAAGCACACTCTCGGTTTGTTGAAATACTTTGATGCTAATGATTGAAGAATAGGGAAGAGGTGGGGCAATAATGTGCTCTAAAGATGTAACTTAAATCTCCACCTTTAAAGTCCTTGGAGACTTTTTCTCTAAACTCCTAGCCTGCTGAAGGAGGTAAAGCTCATCACTCCTCAGGCCATGGTGTTTTCCCTTCCCCACATGGTGCAACATGTCCAACTTTATCCACTGGTGTGAAGCCCCTGTGTCGTAAACTATCTTCTGGTCAAGTTAGCCCAGCTTGACTAGTCCATATATTAAGGGTGTACACACACTGAAGACTCAGGTTTTGGAACAGACTGATTTGAGATGCCCTGTTTTTGTGTGATGTGTTATTGCTGATCACTGCTAAACGTGGCATTAAACTGCACTTGCTGCATCTAAAGTCCTTACCAGCATCAAGTAACATGAGGGCTTATTTGAGGTTTGCTCCATTCCTACCATCCTGGAGGTAAGTAGCTGCTGAATGAGACCTCTGTGTCTCACTTCTGGTCTTGCTGTTACAGGACATCACCAAGGAGTGGCACACGCTGTGCAAGGAGAAGGAGATCCCAAGTTCTGAAGTGTTCTCTCTCAATCTTACACTGGGGGATCCAGTGAAGGTTAGAGCATGGCAGATTGCTGGCCTGCCTGTTGATTCATTCAGTGTTGACAATGGAATCATTGTTAGCAACTCCAGAAGATGGCCACTTATGATAGATCCACAAGGTAAGAGTCATTATGACTGCCTGACTCCTGCTACTCTCCTTCTCATCCACTGTGTATATAGTATATATCGTTCCTTATGTCTCTGTTTAATCCCCATCAGGTCAAGCCAACAAGTGGATCAAGAACATGGAGAAGGAAAACAAACTTGGCATCATCAAGTTGTCTGATGCGAACTACATGCGTACACTGGAGAACGCCATCCAGTTTGGAACGCCGGTACTGCTAGAGAACATTGCAGAGGAGTTAGACCCAATCCTGGAGCCTATCCTGCAGAAACAGACGTTCAAGCAGCAGGGTGTGGAGTATATTCGCTTGGGGGACAATGTCATAGAGTATTCCCATGACTTCAAGATGTACATCACCACCAGACTCAGGAACCCTCACTATCTGCCGGAAGTCTCAGTCAAGGTAAACACAGAATTTGATTCAGGATTTCATTCATCTTGGAATTGGGGTAACCTTATGATACTGTGGTATAAACTGTTTGATGTATATATTCACTGAATTTGTTATAGCCTGTGAAAAACATAAAATAAAAACGTTTTTGGTCTTTCGGGTGCTGAGACATTGTGATATTATTGAAATGCTGTTTCAGTAGTATGAAACAGGCCTACTGAATATCACTGATGATGCACCAGCTATAGTGTCTGTTAATGTGTGTTGTAGGTGTGTGTGCTGAACTTCATGATCACCCCCCAAGGTCTGGAGGACCAGCTGCTTGGAATTGTGGCAGCCAAGGAAAAGCCAGAGCTGGAGGAGAAGAAGAACCAGCTGATCCTGGAATCAGCTGCCAACAAGAAGCAGCTGAAGGAGATTGAGGACAAGATCCTGGAAGTCCTCTCCTCATCACAGGTAAGGAACAGCCTTTCATTCTGTTCTCAACATGAAACACTTTCAGGTTCTCTGTCCCATGTCTTTGTCTTACTAGATTATATACCAAACCTAAATCATTAAGGGACAGATCAGATTTCAAATTTTTTTTAAACTTGAATTTATAGATGACATACTTCTTGAGCTGAATTCGCATCAAAAGCATAGGCATGAGCCTTTAGGGTTGGTGGCCATTCTGAGCCATTTGAATTGACTTGTTTGCTTCCTCTTCAGGGTAATATTCTAGAGGATGAGACAGCTATTAAGGTCCTCTCCTCCTCCAAAGTCCTGTCTGAGGAGATCTCAGCCAAGCAGGAGATCGCTGCATCCACAGAAAAGGAGATTGATGAGACAAGAAATGGATACAAACCTGTCGCAGTTCATTCATCTATATTGTTCTTCTGCATCTCTGACCTTGCCAATATTGAGCCCATGTACCAGTACTCCTTGACCTGGTTCATCAACCTGTATCTGCAGGTGAGGCTTGAGTATAAGCATTTGTGTAACTGCAGAAATTATTTTAATGTATTGTAACAGTCATATACAGTTTAGACTTTGGGACGTTTGACTTAACCACGATTAATTTTATAGAATATGTCCATCAGTGTCCTATGTTATTACATATCAACACAATACAGCACTGCCAGACCAATATGTACCAAGTTTTCATAAATGTGCTTTCTCTCATTTCTCTCAGGTCCAACATAAATGAATTTTTTTTACTTTACCAATATTGTAAAAAAAAACCATTGAATATAATATCAGACTGTCTTATTCTGTAGCTCCTTTTTCCTGTGAGTGAGTGGGTGAGAGGTTTAACTCTGCTTTAAGCAGTATTCCACCAATATCATTGCAGAGGACACAGGAAATGCACTTAGCATATTGTGGGAAATCTAACCCAGGTCTTCAGCATGATGAGCATTTTAACCAATAAACTACCCTACCGACCCTTCTTTCTCAAGACTTACCTGACAAACCTGTAACCCCATAACTCCTTAACCCTGTTTCCCTTCAACTATGTCACTTGATAACCCTGTAACTCTATCACATGTGGACAGAAATCCAAGTTCCAAGACCTATTTTGGCTTTTAAGATGCAAAGACAATCATTGTTATGTTAAGTCTATAAAATACAATGCCTTGAATGAATACCTCTTTTAAACTTTGAAATTCTTATTCCTTCAGTCCATCATCAACAGTACACCTTCAGATGACTTGGAGGAGAGAATCTTCAACCTCAATGACCACTTCACCAACAGCATCTACCGTAATGTGTGTCGGTCACTGTTTGAGAAAGACAAGCTCCTCTTCTCCTTCGTCCTGTGTATTGGAATTATGAGAGGACAGTAAGTTGATCTTTTGGATATATCATCCTGTAATCAAAATTTATATTGTTTGGTTTGGATATATGTATTTGGCAAATTAATATATTTCAAGTTTTTTACTATTATGTTTACATTTTCTGACAATCACTTACCTCATTTCTGGATCAGCTGTGAAATCAAACAGTTTGAAAATATACAAATCAAAGTGCCCAGAAATCAGGAATAGGGACTCACAGTACTCAGAATATTTGAAATGGGGAGTCACAGTATGCAGAAATGGAAAACAGGAAGTCATAGTAACCAGAAATCAGAAACAGATATGGGTTTCCAGATAAGCTGAGGCATGATAAACAGATGACAATGATAGCAATATACCTGCAGTTTGTCACAGTCCAGTGACACTGTTCGTCTGTTTTGCAGGGGCAATATCATGGAGGAAGTGTGGAGGTTCCTGCTGACTGGGGGCGTGGCCCTAGAGAATCCCTACCCCAACCCAGCCCCTGAGTGGCTCACAGAAAAGTCCTGGGCTGAAATTGTCAGAGCAGGAAGTCTGCAGAATCTCAAAAATTACAGAGAACGTAAGTTTGGTTGAAGTTGGAAGTGTTGTAAATCATGTTTCTATTGTTAATTTTGACCATAGGCCATCATGAATTTTTACTGGTCATAAATTTGTTTCAAAACTGTACCAACTTCCATCTATTTCTCAAGTTAACTTATTTTCAACAATTTTGTAGATTTTGAAGAAAATGTATCGGAATGGAAGAAATTCTACGATTCCTCAGCACCTCATGAATACAAACTGCCAAGTCCATTTAATGCTCTTAGCGGTCTTGAGAGGATGGTCATATTAAGGACACTGCGGCCAGACAAGATTGTTCCTGCAACTCAGGAGTTCATTGTCGACAATCTAGGCCAGACATACATCGAGCCTCCGACATTTGACCTGGTTGGTTCATTTGCGGACTCGACTTGCTGTGCTCCTTTAATCTTTGTGCTCTCTCCGGGAGCCGATCCTATGGCGGCTCTTCTCAAGTTCGGCCAAGACAAAGGCTTTTCTGGCAACCGTATCCAAACCATCTCCTTGGGACAAGGACAGGGTCCCATTGCTGCAAAGATGATTGACAATGCTATCAGAGATGGTACTTGGGTGGTGCTACAGAACTGCCATTTAGCCACAAGTTGGATGCCGAGACTGGAGAAGATCTGCGAGGAGGTGATAGTTCCTGAGAACACGCACAAAGAGTTCCGTCTGTGGTTGACCAGCTACCCCTCAGATGAGTTCCCTGTGTCCATCCTGCAGAATGGGGTCAAGATGACCAATGAGCCTCCTAAAGGTCTACGTGCCAACCTGCTGAGATCCTACCTCAATGATCCTATCTCAGACCCTGCCTTCTTTGGTGGATGTAATAAGGTAGGTGTGCATGTGTTTAAAGGCTTAGATCCTCAGATTAACTTTGTACTTTGTATGATCAATAGCCTAACACATTTTTTGCTTGTAAAGCTGTTATATCTCATTGTTGGTTGTTTTTTATGGCTGTTGTTTTAATCAGTCTGTTAATAAAACACCCTTACAATCAAGCTGCATGAAGATATACCAGTAGCCTAGGAGCATGTGACACTATGCCTACTTAACCAACTTGTCATGTGTTCTAGGGAGTCAAGTGGCACAAGATGCTGTTCGGTCTGTGCTTCTTCCATGCCATGGTCCAAGAGAGGAGGAAGTTTGGTCCCCTTGGCTGGAACATCCCGTATGAGTTCAACGAATCTGATCTGAGGATCAGCATGAGACAGATGCTGGTTAGTATACCACCTTGTTGTAATCATTGCCGACACTTTCTAGTGCTAGAAGCTCTGAGATCTGTGTGCTGTGTTCTAGCTCCCCCTGTATGACCCTGTCCTGTGTTGTAGCTCCCCTGTATGACCCTGTCCTTTGTTGTAGATCCCCTGTACGACCCTGTCTTGTGTTGTAGCTCCCCCTTTATGATGCTGTCCTGTGTTGTAGCTCTCCCTGAATGACCCTGTCCTGTGTTGTAGCTCTGCTGTATGACCCTGTCCTGTGTTGTAGCTCCCCTGTATGACCCAGTCCTGTGTTGTAGCTTCTCCTGTATGACCCTGTCTTGTGTTGTAGCTCCCCCTGTATGATGCTGTCCTGTGTTGTAGCTCTCCCTGAATGACCCTGTCCTGTGTTGTAGCTCTGCTGTATGACCCTGTCCTGTGTTGTAGCTCCCCTGTATGACCCAGTCCTGTGTTGTAGCTTCTTCTGTATGACCCTGTCCTGTGTTGTAGCTCCCCTGTATGACCCAGTCCTGTGTTGTAGCTTCTCCTGTATGACCCTGTCCTGTGCTGTAGCTCCCATGTATGACCCTGTCCTATGTTGTAGCTCCCCTGTATGACACTATCCTGTGTTGTAGCTTCTCCTGTATGACCCTGTCCTGTGTTGTAGCTTCTCCTGTCCTGTGTTGTAGCTCCCCTGTATGACCCTGTCCTGTGTTGTAGCTCCCCTGTATGACACTGTCCTGTGTTGTAGCTCCCCCCTGTATGACACTGTCCTGTGTTGTAGCTCCCCCGGTATAACCCTGTCCTGTGTTGTAGCTCCCCCGGTATGACCCTGTCCTGTGTTGTAGCTCCCCCTGTATGACACTGTCCTGTGTTGTAGCTCCCCGGTATGACACTGTCCTGTGTTGTAGCTCCCCGGTATGACACTGTCCTGTGTTGTAGCTCCCCGGTATGACACTGTCCTGTGTTGTAGCTCCCCTGTATGACACTGTCTTGTGTTGTAGCTCCCCCCGGTATGACCCTGTCTTGTGTTGTAGCTCCCCTGTATGACCCTGTCCTGTGTTGTAGCTCCCCTGTATGACACTGTCCTGTGTTGTAGCTCCCCCCGGTATGACACTGTCCTGTGTTGTAGCTCCCCCCTGTATGACACTGTCCTGTGTTGTAGCTCCCCCCTGTATGACACTGTCCTGTGTTGTAGCTCCCCTGTATGACCCTGTCTTGTGTTGTAGCTCCCCCCTGTATGACCCTGTCTTGTGTTGTAGCTCCCCCTGTATGACACTGTCCTGTGTTGTAGCTCCCCCCTGTATGACCCTGTCCTGTGTTGTAGCTTCTCCCTGAATGACTATATCTTGTGTTGTAGCTCCCCTGTATGACACTGTCCTGTGTTGTAGCTCCCTCCTGTATGACACTGTCTTGTGTTGTAGCTCTCCCTGAATGACTATATCATGTGTTGCATCTGTCTCTGAGTGACTATATCCTGTGTTGTAGATGTTCCTGAATGACTATGAAGAACTACCCCTCCCAGCTCTCACCTACCTGACAGGGGAGTGTAACTATGGTGGCCGCGTCACTGACGACAAGGACAGAAGGCTGCTGATGTCACTGCTGTCCATCTTCTATAAGGATAAGATCATCAGCCATCCTGACTACAAGTAAGTGCAGATGTGGTATTTGTTGGAGAAGGTCACTGGTGTTGTTGTAATGCACTGTTGTTCTCTTCTCCAAATCTCTCATGAACATTGTATTGCTACCAACCCTGATCTCATCAGTATTCCATTGAAATACCATATATTACCATAGATAAGCCGATTTCCTAACTTGACCCTTGAAATCTGTAGTAAAATGGTATGACCAATACATAATGTTCTTCGCATTTCAGGTATGCAAATTCAGAACACATTACTTTTCCTATCTCTGCACATTCTTCAGGATATTGTGGTGATGGGGTTCTATGATTTGGTGTTTTAGCAAGTGTTCCCTACTATGAGTGTAAGGCAGCGTGTGATCATCTTTGTATCTGTGTGCAGGTTCTCCCCAAGTGTTCCCTACTATGAGTGTAAGGCAGCGTGTGATCATCTTTGTATCTGTGTGCAGGTTCTCCCCAAGTGGTCTGTACTATGCCCCTGAGGAAGCCCAGTATCAGAGCTACCTGGACTACGTCCGCACCCTCCCACTCATCCCCAACCCGGAAGTGTTTGGGCTTCATGAGAACGCTGACATCACCAAGGACAACCAGGAAACTCAGCAGGTACGTCTGTCCTTACTGACTCTGGGTTTTAGGTGAACATTGTTGATTTTAATGGATCAAGCAACATTTTCCACATTGGTATGCAGTACCTGTTGTAGAGTATAAGCCTTAGAAAATTCATTCTGACCTTGGTGAGTTTGTTCTCTCTGTAGTCAATGAATATATGTTGTTGTTGAATTATTCTGTGGTCCTGTTTAGTTAGGCCCGATTCAGACATAATTCCGATGATGATGATGATGATGATGATGATGATGATGATGATGATGTCGTCTGTCTTTCAGCTGTTTGACAGCATCCTACTAACTCTGCCCCGACAGAGTGGTGGAGGAGGAAAGTCTTCGGGAGAGGTTCTACAAGATCTTGCTGCTGACATTCTGTTGAAACTCCCTAAAGACTTTGATATCGAATTTGTGAGTAGCAGTCTACAAGGCATGGCATTCATTAGATATGTACAGCTACATGTAATTATCAATGCAGTGACTCATGGCAGTATATCAAGGGTGTCAATCCATACCAACTTAACTATATCAGACTATACTTATAGCTGCCTCCCTTTTCCTTGAAGAGTCTCTTAAGATATCTGCCAGAACTCAGATTTGGTTCCAATCTGTATTACTGAAAAGTAAGTGTACACATTTAGTGCAGTACTATTGCAGTTAGAGCCTGGCTTGTTGTTGACTTTCCAATAGACTAAGGCTTAGTCTCTGAATATATATAATTTTGAGGGTAACAAACAAGCCCATTTATATTGAAAAGGAGCCCTAGGGAGACCAGAGATTCTGAACCTGAGGAAATCTAGACTTGCTTCATTTAGGGCTTTAGCACTGCAGAGAGGGCTTGGCAGTAGGGAAATTAATGTGGTTCAGGGACTGTGACACAGACTAACTTTCCCAACAGTATAATGTTCCTTGCTATTTCAACAGCAATTCAGTAGTTTAATGCATGCAACAGCATGTTATCATTCTAGAACTGTGATTACCACCTTCAGGCACTTTACCATGTCTATAAAGATGACTCACTTTTCCTTCAGGTGATAAACAAGTACCCAGTTGTCTACAATGAGTCCATGAACACTGTGCTACGTCAGGAGCTGATCAGATTCAACCGACTGACGAAGGTTGTTCGTAGCACCCTCCAGAACCTACAGAAGGCCATCAAGGGTCTGGTGGTCATGTCCTCCGAGTTGGAGGAAGTGTTTGACTCAATGCTGGTGGGCAAGGTGCCTGCTGTGTGGGCGGCCAAGTCCTACCCATCACTGAAACCTCTGGGTAGCTACGTGACAGATCTCCTGCTCAGGTATGTTGTCACTGTATGCTGTCAATCAATCTTTATTCAGAACTGAAGGTCACAGGCCCATAGTACAGGTATACACAAAGTTCAAAAGCAGAGTGGGTTTCTCTTCAATATCGCATGGTATATGAACAAAGCAATATTTTCAATCAATATACGTTTCGAAGTTGACAACAGTTGGATGAATTTATGTTTTGACGGTTGTTTCGTAAAGTAACTGGGTATATATTTGCTTCTAATGTTTCTATAATAATCACAAATTAGCAGAACATGGTATTCATCTTCCAAGACATTCATTTTACAGTATCTGCACACAGTAGATTTCTTATGAAATTTTCCCCTTATAACAACTTAAATCATAGTAAACGGAACGAAACTGTGATAAGGCTAGTCTTACTTTCTTGATATTGATACAACGTACATATGGTTCACACAAGAAGTCTTCTTTTAACAGGGAATAAGTATCCCAATTAAACCTATTACGCTCGGCGCTTGCCTTTAAATCTAGATTACATAACATTTTGTAAGCTTTTATCACTGTATGATAAACACCTACCCTGATTACCACGGCTGCAAACTAAGCTGATGGTGCAGTTAGTATGTGATAGCATGTGTGTATATCATTAGGTGGCATGGTTACCTGTGGGAACCTGGAGGACTATGGGTACATCATAATAATGTGTCCACTTATATAGCGCCAAACTCAACACTAGGTATGCTCTTAGCGCTAACAATCAAGGCACAGCACATTATTACCCCGGATAACCCAAGCTGCCTGTTAGGCACTAGAAGGTTATAGTCATATGACTTTTTCCACCGGGTACCCATTTTCCTGCTGGGTGAACAGAGACAATTTTGAACAAACTCACTTGCCTAAGGTTAGACCACATGTGTCACATGTGCTTCGTTGTGGGGCAGGACTCAAGTCCTAGAAACTCTCAGGAGTCAAGCTGCCAAACATGGTCACCCATCCAAGGACTCTCCGAGCTCGACGCTGCTTAACTTCACCGATTTGTGACCTGGGCTTTGAGCACAGGACCGCGCGCCACCACATAGAAGCCCATCCTTGTCATAAGGGGCAACTGAATTGAATAAGTGAGTCAGGCTTATATCCTGGCTGGTTGTTCACTAACCAACATTGTCATAAGCCGTATGTAACAGTGTTCATGTCATAAGACATATTCACTATTCCCCACTGTCATTAGGACGTGTTCAGTTGCAACTCTATGACTATTTGTATAATCTGACTGACAATGTTATAACCGACACACTCTGAACTCTCTGGCAGATTGAAGTTCCTCAAGGACTGGATAGACAACGGTGCTCCTGCCACATTCTGGCTGTCGGGATTCTACTTCACCCAGTCCTTCCTGACAGGCAAGTGTAGCATTAGTTTACATATCCCGTACAAAGTAATGTGACATTGAAGATATAACCAGGTGAATTGTTTTTACATATAATTTGTCAAATGTAAGTCCCTTCCGAACACTTTTGAATCCACTTTGAAAACTTGCTTTGCATTTTCAGCAGGTATTAATTCTAATGAATTATGTTGTAATACTTCAGCACATAGACATAAACAAAATGACTAGGACTGTGGCTAAGGTCAAAGTCAGTTGTAACAGCTTCTATAGATAGGTTGTGATGAATTTTCAGTTTGGTTTGTAACATTGTTCAATGGTGCATTTCTAAGGAAACTTTTATTCTCACAGGTGTGTCACAGAACTTCGCCCGCAAGTACAGCATTCCCATAGATTTGGTCGGGTTTGAGTTTGCAGTAACGTCCGAGGAGAGAGAGATGACAGAAAAACCGGAAGATGGAGCTTATGTCTATGTGAGCTATTGATATATTCTCATTTCCAAAGTTCTCATGATTACTAAACAAAATTGTGACTCAGGTGAAAACTCTTTATTAGGGATCATAAGATAAATTTGAGGAGCAATATTGTGTATTGAGATATGTACCATAATATGTTGCTTGTGCTTCATCAATAATTTGTTATAAACCTGAACTTTTCCACACAGTTTTTACAAATTTATGATCGCCCCAATGTTTTGTCAAATGTTGCTATTGTCTCAAAGAATGCATTGTCAACATGTTATATACAAGAAACTGGTTGCATATAGTTTCTCTTCTTTGATCACAGGAATCAGTTGCATATTTCTGTATATCCTAATTTTGACTTGACTTGTCACATGTGTCAACTTACATGAATACATACATGATGTGGGAACAAAATTCGCCATACGATATTGTATTCATCAGTATAACAACCAAGCCATTGCAGTAAGTTGTATCTGTCACAGGTTACTTAATGCCCTAGACACTTAGATTTTGTTAGTGTGGATTTTTCATGTCATCCAACATTTCAACGATCACAGACATGAGAAACATCTGAGATATGAATTCAGAGGAAACTAACCTATGTTTTCAGGGCCTCTTCCTCGAGGGTGCAAGATGGGACCGAGAGAAGATGCAGATTGGAGAGTCTCTTCCCAAGATTCTGTTTGACTCCATCCCTGTCGTATCCTTTCTCCGTCAGTTAATTGTCAAATACTGTTATGTTTACCACAGTATTGTAAACTTCACAAACTTGAATGAGTGTTTGATAATTATATCCATGGTCATTATTCATATCATTTCTGATCCATATTTTCAAACTCACAGGAAACGCCATATTTTGTCTGGTTGTAGAAGCCGTGGTGTTTGGCAGTTCTTGGTGGTGTGCAATGTTTGTATTTATCTGGTGAAGGTGGTTGAGCGGAATAAAACTTGAATGGACGGAACACATAGAGTATTACCTATTGTGAAGCAGGCTGTTCATTTGAAACATAATGTTAAATTAGACTTGTGCCGATGTTTAAATATTTTTATAAATATGGACAAAATAGACTGATACCGATATATAAATATAAATGTGTTCTCTGACTTAATAGGGGTGGTGGGGTAGCCTAGTGGTTAAAGTGTTTGCTCATACCCCAAAGACTTTCGATTCCCCACATGGGTACAGTGTGCGAAGCCAGTTTCTGATGTTCCCTGACGTTATATTGCTGGAATATTGCTGAAAGTGGCGTAAAACTAAACTCACACAATAGTTGTGGAATTATTTCCCCTTTGCACACTGAATTTGTGATCATGAGAGCAGAATGGCAGCATGGTCATAAGAATGACTGTCTTAGTATTAAAACAGCAAAAGTTGATCAATTGTAAGGAAATGAGGTCTTAATAGAGTAAGGGGTCTTCATAGTATAGCATCATTTTCAAAGCATCGGTCACTAACAAAGATCTTAAGAACATATTCTGTTGCCATGGTTTCCTTAACTCCTCCAGATCTGGCTGAAGCCCAATGAGAACAGCAAGTTCAAACCTGTACCAAGCTACTCCTGTCCTGTTTACAAGACCAGCGCCAGGAGAGGGACACTGTCCACTACGGGTCACTCTACAAACTTTGTCTTGTACATCAACATACCCACAGACAAGCCTCAACAACACTGGGTCAACCGAGGGGTGGCCGCTCTGTGTCAGCTTGACGACTGAGAGGCCTCATCGTGGGTGTTATGTGTCGTGTGTTGTGTTCTTTCTGAGATTTAATCCCCATACACTATGTCCAGTGATCATCAAAATTACAACAACAAGAGTTGGAAAGGAGATGTGTTCTGTTTCAAATGAATCATTTGAATAAAAAAAATTGTTTATAAATTCTTATTACAAGAGAAGACATAAATAATTGGATCATGAACTACAGAAGCCTGGGTTTTTATGTGTATTTGTTTGTTTGGTTGAAATGCATCTTCATTTATTGATGGATGCAAGAGGACTTTAAACAGGACCATCTCTGTCTCTGAAAACAGTCACATAAGACAGGAGGCCCTGCTACTGCATTGATCACTGTACCATGTCAGGGGTTTGTCCAGATTGTTTACAGCTGTTACCATGGATACTGCTGGTGGGTCCAGTGGTACTCTGTGACTGACAGCATCATGTTCATTGTCATTGTACATAGCGAGACCAGGTCAGCTGCTGTGATCCTACTTCGATGTCAATCCGTCCACATAACACGAGCAGAAACAAAGCATTATATATATGTGAAAGTTGTGACACTGCTGTTTTGTATTTAACATGGATCAGCAACATTTGTATAGTATATTGGATGACTGCTGCTTATTGCTATTGGAGACATTCCATTTGTTATTTTTGTTATGTTTAACACGTCAAAATATTTTTCCTATTGTACTTACAGCATTTTAAAAAGATTTGTTAACTCTTGATTGGGTACTTAATTGTTACGGAATAAACAGACTGTTCTTGCTATTCCAGTTGTGCACTGCTGAACTGATTATTGTTTATCTGTTTATCTCAGTTTGAAGTTTGGGGAAATACACTCTTATTAACTAATTGTCATACTTTGTGATGGAGCTGATGTTAACCGATAACAGTTTGGTCAGTAATTCCAAGAGTAATTGCATGTTTTAAATTTGAAATGTACTTAACATTATAATGTTTGTTTTACCTGTGGTGATTGTACTTAAAGCTTTGATGACTTGTATATTTGTTTTAAAGAAGTTGAGTTTTGTTTTTGTTTTCAGATGAAGGTATTTTTCACTTTTAACTTGTATCAACAATGTTGTTTTGGCAGTTTGAGTAGGAAGTCATGTTACAGGTAGATTACAACCAAGTGATTTACTGACTGACTGATTTACAAAGTCCAATACTGAAGGAAATATAAAAGGGAATAGCTTAAGCATTGGCTTATTATGTTATTGTATATATACTGTTAAAGAATCAGATATTATTCTATAACAGTGGACTCACCCAAAACTAGCATTTTATTTTGGTACTTCTTGGTCTGAATTCTTTCACTGACTCCAGATTTCCTTTTAGTCTTAATTAAGTGATGGTCTTGTGATATTTTGATTAATCTTTTTAAATGATGGGCAGTATCATCTGGCAATCACATGCTCCAAGTACTGTAACAGAGTTAAAGACTTGATAAGAAACACGATTGGGAAAGAAATTTGTGATTTGTTGTAATCATAAAGCTTTCTATTTGTCTAATTTATAGGTGTTTGAGAGATGGTGTGAAACTGAATCAAGAGCTTTCCATCACATTTATGGCACACATTGTTTGAGAGTTGTAAATACTGCTCCTTGTGTGAGATGTGTGATGGTTTCTGTGATACTGAAGCTGCTAGTCCCCTACCAAAGTCTTGACGAGTTACTGAATACTGACAGTGCTGAAGAATAGGAACACTGCTGATGTAGAAGGCTCATTAATGGGTCCCAATATGGTTAATCCACCAATTATGGTTGATTTCGGAGAATTCAAGTCTGATCCACACATTCAATCTTCTTGTGAATTTCTGAAAAGTAATGTTTTTGAATATTTTACTTGAATTCAGAGTTGTTGAATTTGAAAAAAGTTGTTGTTTTTTGTAATATTTGTATTCTGAACGGTGATGCTATGAAATCTGCATTTGTATCACCAAGAAAGATGCTTCAAACAATTATTTTCTCATGAAAGCTATGAACCACCGTAAAACTGTTGAAATATGTACTTGCTATAACTATTTGCAGGATTCTACTGTTTAAACAATATAAGCTGTTGGTTTGTGAAATTCAGAAAGATATATAAATTATATATCAAAGTTTTATTATGGTGTGGTTTGCCAGTAATAAATGAATAGATGTCTTTATACAAATAATTATATGTCAAATGATAAATCTTACTTAAGTGTTTGCATATATTGGTAACTGTACATATGTATGTTTGTATATAATACACTAAACCCATGGTCACTCCTATGTTAATGACATGCCAAATGCCAGAGGTTAACAACCCAGAGAAACATTTCATTATCAGGTTCTACCTTTATTTTCAACAGCATTATTAACAATATATATATTTACACAGCCAAATTGAAGACTTTTCAGATTTGTTTGAAATTCAGATTGAGATGAAATGTTTGAGTTTGCAAGGATTTTCTTAAAACATTGTAAGAAATTTATTTTAAAGATTGAAGAAAAGATTTACCTGTACTTTAGCTGGTGTACAGCACATGTGTAAATCAAAACTAGATGCTTGAAGTTTCTTGTATTTATTTCCCTAACATTTTGATCAGTGTTATTTTTAGTGGTGTACGTACACTTGTGGTTGTCCATAAACAAACTGTGATACACATTCAGTGTGCTAATATTGTTTTTACAAAATGTCAAATAAACAGGCGATTTTGTCTGATGTTTTCCTTGTTGTGACATTTTGTGGTCAACTCCAGCTATGGACCTTGTGCGAGGTTGTACGTTTCATCCATTCCTTGGTGTACTCCCAAGCTGGTAAGGTCATATGGATCTAGTGCATAGGTCACGCATAGGTCACGCATAGGTCACGTAATCTTGTTTCATTTTATGTTTGGTCTTACAAGCCAGTTCTTAAATTTTCATTTATACCTTCTACAACAGCTCTTTTGCTAACAGAGCGTATGAAACATTAGTCATAAGACTAAGTTCAAAACATTATCCATGAGAGATGTTTTTTTCAGTGACATATTCAATGACAGTTAATGTTTCAAGAATTAGATTTGCACAGGGTCAGATACAGCTTTTTTTAGAAATGGGTGGGGTGGGGTGGTGGTGCACACTTCATTTTCACAAGAGTTTCAATGGTCATTTAACAAACTTTCAGAACAAGGGGGGGAGACCCCTGCAAACACCCCCAACACCCCCTGGATCTGCCTATGTTGCACTTTGTACCACATCTGGCAAAGGTCAAGTCTTTGGCATTAGCCAATGCTTGGAGGGATAAACATTACGAGGGATTACAAAAGTGGCTTTTCATAAGAGCATAAGACTATAAAGTGTCGGAGGCTGTCGGTTGAGTATGTCATGTCAGCATTAGATTGTGTAGAAGACCGTCACCATAGGTGGATCTAGGAATTTTTAGTGTGTGTGTGTGTGTGTGTGTGTGTGTGTGTGTGTGTGTGTGTGTGTGTGTGTGTGTGTGTGTGTGTGTGTGTGTGTGTGTGTGTGTGTGTGTGTGTGTGTGTGTGTGTGTGTGTGTGGTTTCGAACCCCCTCTTCGCTCCCATTAACTTGGCCATTAGTCATTTTCAAAAGGGGGTGGGGTTCGAACCCCCTGAATCCCAATAGACCCCTCTGGATCCGCCAATTATCACCTACATCTTGGGCAAGTCTAATAAATCCAAAATTAAAGACAATCTGTAATGTAGATTATCCATGGTGCAGCCAGTGTCATCAAGCTGTATCAGATGGATATACACTGACAGTCTGTGTCCGTCAGGCAGACAAACCTACTGTAATATTAAACTGCTTTGGACATATATACTGAAGTTTAAGGGTACCTCATAACAGCCTACATTCACCATGTACCATATTCTTGTTTTCCTCTTTAGATGGGAATATTTACCAATATTTTTGGCTGAATCGGTCATTGTGGGCACCGGTACTACAGATGTGTACCACAGAAACGTACCCTAACCAAAATCAGAAAGCAGACTTTGTTTACGATACATTTATGTATACAGAAACGTACCTGGGGTACATATCTGTAGTACCTGCGCCGTCAACGATCACTTCGGAAATATTTTGCTGTAGGACATTCCCCATTTTATTTCTTATATGTAATAAAAGCAACGAACAAATATTTTCAATTATGATAAGAAAGTCATGTTTAGTAGACGTGAGGACGTTCTTCATTGAGAGGTTGAACATATTGAACTTTCGTCCAGTTTTCTTTTTGTAATCAAGGAGTAAGCACAATGTCAAAGAAAATGTAAAATGACTTCATTTTAAAAGGGCAAGAATTTCTTGAGATCTCCTTTTTAGTTTAGTCTTAATCATAGTTTCATTACACAATGCTATCGGCGATTCCCACAGTTTCATAACACAAGGCTGTCGGCGATTCCCACAGTTTCATAACACAAGGCTGTTTCATAACACAAGGCTATCGGCGATTCCCATAGTTTCATAACACAAGGCTATCGGCGATTCCCACAGTTTCATAACACAAGGCTATCGGCGATTCCCACAGTTTCATAACACAAGGCTATCGGCGATTCCCACAGTTTCATAACACAAGGCTATCGGCGATTCCCACAGTTTCATAACACAAGGCTATCGGCGATTCCCACAGTTTCATAACACAAGGCTATCGACGATTCCCACAGTTTCATAACACAAGGCTATCGGCGATTCCCATAGTTTCATAACACAAGGCTATCGGCGATTCCCATAGTTTCATTACACAAGGCTATCGGCGATTCCCATAGTTTCATTACACAAGGCTATCGGCGATTCCCCCAGTTTCATAACACAAGGCTATCGGCGATTCCCATAGTTTCATTACACAAGGCTATCGGCGATTCCCACAGTTTCATAACCCAAGGCTATCGGCGATTCCCACAGTTTCATAACACAAGGCTATCGGCGATTCCCATAGTTTCATTACACAAGGCTATCGGCGATTCCCATAGGTTCATAACACAAGGCTATCGGCGATTCCCATAATTTCATTACACGAGGCTATCGGCGATACCCATAGTTTCATTACACAAGGCTGTCGGCGATTCCCACAGTTTCTACTATGTTTCCAAAAACAATTTAGGTCTTGCTATAATGTGTTTGTTAACGGAATCTGCATGCAGATGATTTGTATTCGTCAGGTCAGTGACTTGAACTGTAGTGGCCTGACAACAGAGATTTGATTTGTTTGTTTAGGCTCGAACTAAAAAGTTTGGAGTATGACTGATCTATCCTTGATTGTAGGTGTTGACCTAATTTATGTACAATGTGCATCAGTTCATGTGTAAACAGTACCTTTCAACAGTATGGACTATTTTGCCAAATTTAGTTTAGAACAGTTGCCTGAAGTAAGTGGCTATATTTACTCAAGTGAGTCTAAACTTTTGATGGGAAGTATACATAGAAGAAGCTACCGCTCGCTCAGTCATTGGGCGTGGTAGTACATAAAACATTCGCAGTCAGATCACAAATACTGCTTAGGGCTAATTGACCACATGCTAATGAAGTGTCAAAATGAAGAATGGCAGAAATAAATATTTTCGACCTCTTGATCATCACCTCCATTATATATTTGGCCAAACATGCATAATCATGAATTTAACGCCACTGACGACTGTTGCACGTTTTATGCCTGTGTATTCATAGAAATCATGGTTTCTGTTTGCGAGAGTTGCGAGTTGCAACTGAGAACCGTAAATTGGAAATTATGTCTGACGATTTCCTTATGTGCAATTTACCTCATGGTACCTCAGAAGGAAACCAGGTTTATGTACACTTGGTCTTGGGGAACCATGTATGTCATGTGTGAAATATAGCATAGGTGTATATACCTGTAGCTTTACGTGAGTGAGTTTAGTTTTACGCCGCACTCAGCAATATTCCAGCTATATGGCGGCGGTCTGTAAATAATCGAGTCTGGACCAGACAATCCAGTGATCAACAGCATGAGCATCGATCTGCGCAATTGGGAACCGATGACATGTGTCAACCAAGTGAGCGAGCCTGACCACCCGATCCCGTTAGTCGCCTCTTACGACAAGCATGGGTTACTGAAGATCAATATTCTTCGCGGGTATGTAGCTTATGTAGCTATGTCATTATGTTTTCAGTGGACCATGTGTAGTGAAAAGTGAATACACAATGACATTAGAAAATGGTCAAAATGGTCACATATGTTTGGGATTACACTTCCTCAGTTAAGTACAGATTCTTGTAATTTTGTTGGCTTGAGTCCCATCTGAGATTCGAACCCACACTCTCAGAGTCAGGCACCTAATCGCCTGCACACGAAGACAGCAATTTAACCCACTCAGCCATTGCGACTTCCACAAAAATGGAAGTTTAAGAGTGTTGATTCGAATCCCCGATGCGATTCAACCCACCAAAAGTTCTAGAATCTGTACTTTACTGAGAAAGTGTAATGCCAAATGTAACGTGTTACATTTGACCACTTTCTACATAGCATTGTGTATTCATAGCCATCGGAGCTGTGCAAGTTTACATTATTCAGAGGGGTACACAGTCTGTCACTTAAGCCACCATGACACTTGCACAAATTTTGTCCCCGCACTGGTACGCAATTTTGCGTGCCAGTGAGTAAATTTGGCGTAAACTGTTCAAAACTTCTGGTACGCATAATCTTCTTGCAACTTGCGTGAACTAGTCGTTAACATTTCGCAACCTACTCGCATTGACACGCAGTGTCACGCATTGATCCACTTTGATCACGAACTTTGTGCGACAAGGTTGCGACAGATTGGACAAAGTTTGGGCCTTCTAACTTGTGGTGAACTGGGCGGACGGAGCTTGTGTATTGTCACTACTTGTTCACGTGGTCATGGCGCGACGAGTTCCCGCATATTTTGCGCACGGCACGAATAGTTTGCGCATGTCATGAAATTGATTTGCATTGAGCACGCCTACTTCACGCATTGCTGGCGCACGAATCAGCGACGACCGCGCAATCGGCAGTGCGTACATAAAAGCGTGCCCATCGCCAGTCCCCACATTCCTTAACTCGACAGCGAAAAATCAACAAGATGCCTGCCAAGAAGAAGAAGACAACCAGAGGAAGAGACCGGACAAGAAACAGAGACAGAGACAGACATTTGAGATAAGATTCCAAACGCATTCTCCACCACACGACGAGACAACCTGTAGCTGTAGATAATGTCTCGGGGAATCTGGGAGCGATGAGAGAATGGCTTCACCAGCCAAGTTCTCTGTGCAAATGCTTCATAGGCTACGAAATGATATGGCACAGGGCTGTCATCATTAGGGAGTGGAGCTGGTCCAGGCAGTCCGGCCCGGTTGTCTTAGACAGCTTATGATTGTAGTAGAATGATTCAGCTTTGGGTGACTTCTTCATAGCAACGTACTTGCCGTCCACAACCCCCAGACAGTTGTGGTAGTTCCTTCAGCAACCTCCTTCCACTCCTCTTCAGTTTTGGAGCACCTGAGTACTTCGTCCTTGTACACCTCAAGGATGGCTTTGCAAACCTCTGGCAAGAACTTGCCGATTGTAGTAGCTTCAACTGTGAAGCTGTACTGTAGACTTGCATAGGAATTACCAGTGGCTAGGAAGTGAAGAGTGGTTGACAGCTTGAGTCCAACCGCCAGCGGTTCTCTCATGAACGTGGTGTTCTTCTCAGGAATGAGGGTTTAACTTCTCCACCATGTCTTGGAACAAGTCGGGGAAAAAAACTCAGGTCATTTCTGTAGCCTCTTGGATCTTCATTTTGGAGTTCTGTCAAAAACTTATCATAATGTCCGAAGTGATGTCTTCTAGTCAGCCATTCCCCCACCCACACTGTCCTTGCCTTCCTTTTTCTAGTTGGGGTTACGTCTTCTTCTTTGACCTGTTCTTGAAGTAGCTGCATTTGCTGGTCTTCAAGAAGTAATAGTGCGGCACCTGCGTGATATAGTCATTTTCTTTTTTATATATTTTCTTTTCTGTAATCTGAGCTTGTTCTCTGGTGTTCAACATCTTGTAGGTTCACAGCAATGCATGAAGCTGGTGTTGGTGCCTGCTATTTATATAGCGTGGAGTCAAGCGGGACCACATATTACCACGACTGCTACACGCATGCGCCATGTGGTTGTGGCAATGCATGCCCATGCTGGGACTATGCGCGTCGTGCGTACCATGCCGTACAATAGACGTAAACAATGCGCCAACATTACTTGACCTAGTCGTAAATAAGTTGTACGAAAGCATGCCAATGCGCACCATTTTCGATCACGCATTGCGTGCCAACTTATGCATAAACACGACACGAACAGTGCGCAAACTAGTCCGCACGCTTCCATGCGTACCATCTACATCACACGCATTGCTACGACGAATTGCGCGGCAGTGCGGGGACAAAATTCGTGCAAGTTTGAGGGTGTGGAAGCCGTGTTGTGATACAGACAACGGCTACATGTGATTGTCACAACATCATGCATGGTGTCATCATTCCACGACCGACTGGCATTGGGATTGGGATTTTATTCAACATACATGGACTAATGTTTAATTAAGTAGGGATTCCCATGATGTGAAGCTGAAACAAGAGCCTTCCTACATGTTTACATTACACAATGTTACAGATGTGATCCTTGTGTGAGATGTGTGATGGTTTCTGTGGTAATGAAGCTGCTAGTCCCCTACCAAAGTCTTGACGAGTTACTGAATAATGGCAGTGCTTAAATAGGTTCATCAAATATATTATCATGTAAGGATTGTACAAACTGGCAAAATAGGAATTCAATTGTTAAAAACTTCTTTATTGTAAGTTGCTGGTAAAATTATACTTCACATCTTTAATGTAGACTGAAATGATAAAAGAACATATATACATATCCACATTGTAAAGGATGAGGTTCCAGAGCCAGGATATAATGATTAAATCTCTATAAGATAATATATATATGAAACAAATAATATTTTCCAACTACATAGGCATACCGAGCCTGATCATTTCATTCGCTTCTTACGACGAGGACAAATTGTGTTGGGTACTCAGTGTCCCCCGAAATACCAACAAGGCCTCGGTAACACTGATGTACTAGTATGTTATATGTATTTATATAACATAATGTAAAATGGAACCTCGATTTGTCGTTTTGACCAAATTAGGATAGGAATCTTTATTTCCTCGTCTACGCAGTGTCATAGAAAGGCAACTTGCAACATTTGACAGCACTTTGGTTTAGCTTGCTCAGCTGAGTTGTGTCCCTTAACTGCCAGGATCCGCTATCGTAGTTCTTTAATTCCTGTGACTTCTCAGCATCCACGGACCGGTTCCTCGATTAAGGAAATGTCTACAGCATGTATCAATGTAGAATTGTCGTAGCTTGTTGAAACGACATAGATGTGGTGCTTTTTCAAGGTGAAACCACATTTATACACACTGGCATCAGGAAATCTTGCGACGTCTAATGACAGGTAGTTTGTTAGAACGTTCATCTGACACATCTACTCAATGAAGTATTTTTGGATCACAGCATCAACAGCTATCAGTGACCCTTCTGCCCATCCTTGCAGATCATCCGCTGACCAGGAGTTGCTGACGATGTACACGTGGTCAGACGGGGACGGCTTGTAGATCATATCACGGACTTTTCTCTCGTCAAACCCGGCCTTGAAGTAGCCCCATGCCGCGGAGAAAGGATACCTGTCCCACAGCATCATGGCCCCTCCAACAGTTTCGGGGATGTCGGACTGGCTGACGTTGTAGATGACGCTAAGGTACTTCTCAACTCTATTCTTGACGACGTCGGTAACGGCATTCACTCCAGGGAGACTTCCCGGGATGGGTGTCCCGAACTGACTCAGTTCTCGCCAGTAGTGGGTGAAGTCCCCGTCGTGGTAGGAGGCCATGATGATGGAGACGTTGTTGGTGCCCGTGGACCAGTCATATGTTTGTCTATTGGGAAGGTCACTCTTGGTGTGGGTGATGTCAGGATTGCCAGTCTTCCACCACTTGGTGTTGTAGGCCAGGTAGATTCTACCAGCTGGGAATCCTTCCACAGAGTCTATGGTTCTTCTGATCTCGGGGTTGTTCTTGAACTCGGGAAAGTCGATCTGCTGTATAGCATCCTTTTGAGCAGCTAACACAACCTTCCTCGCACACATCGTCAGGCCAGTATTGCCAGTCTAGAAAAGGAAGACATATCATGGTTTAAAATGTTTAACTTCCCGAAAGGATTTTATCTTGTGCATGAATGAATGGATTCCAACATAATTTATTCAGGTGTGTAAATAGACGCTTGCCTAATAGCATATGCGACGATCACCAACGTCGGCCTGATGGCACAATCGGTAAGGTCATGCACAGCTACAACGTCGTCATCATCATTAAACGACCCCTGTAGCACTGAAAACTGGGGTTCGTGAATGTTTGATCGGGAGGCTGTTTGTAAACGGTGCAAACAATCACATGTATACAGTGAGAAAGAGAGTTCAGTTTTCTGCCGCCTTCAGCAATATTCCAGCAATATCACGACGGGGGACACCAGAAATGGGCTTCACACATTGTACCCATGTGAGGAATCGAACTTGGGTCTGCGGCGTGACGAGCAAACGGTTTAACCACAAGGCCACCCCATCTCCCACGTGTGTAGAGTGAAATGATGCAGATGAGCATGATCGAGGCAACGGGGCCTTGGTAAATACACTATCTCACCATAACGGGGGTTGTAACACCATCGACTGTCTGGGTCTTTCTGAACCTGAGGTTGTAGCCTCCAGTCTGTCTCCTCTCCATCCTCGTCAGCTGATGGTTCAGGTGGAGCTTATGGCTGAGAAGAAAGAGATGGACATGACAGACTACAAAATCTGGGCGGTTTAAACAAAATCATACATACAAAAGAGTCACAAGGGAGATAACACTGGGTGAGTGATTTTACGTCCGCTTTTTTCAAGGGAGCTTCAAAAGGGGATTCAAGTGTTCCACTATCATTCGCAAGAAGAAAGAGACAAGCAATTAAGCATGAGTCAGGATAAGGAAAAATTCATACATATTGTTATAGTCTGACAGATCCATAGTGAGCTTTGGACAATGATGATTTAAGATATGAAAAACAATAAACAAGAGAATTTACTCACTATGTAATGTGCATGATAGAATGTATTGATAATATGGCCGATATCTCAAATAGATAACATGGCTTTGGTTCTGTTGTGGGGTTTGGTATGTAGTTAACGCCTGATGCTAAGTCGAGACTAGTATTAGTTTTCAGACTCACGTGGTATTAGCTTCCAGGAATTTCTCCATGAGGGTCCGGGGAACCTTCTCCATCCCACCAGCGATTGTCTTGTAACCTTCAGAAGACCCCGTGTCCCCGGGGTAGGACAGAAAAAAGCTTGGGGACGTGGAGAGCACCATGTGTCCCGACGATGTCAGCCCAACCACTGGAGTCCAGGGCAAAGTTGTAGGCTTCCCGACTGCTGTAGCGCCCGTAGAAGTTGTCCAGTCTGTGGTATATGTATGTATTGTCAGTAAGTATCAGTTTAAGACTCAGGCATATCCCAGGTACATGTATGATAGCCCAAATAACGTCATATAGACAGTCACCGTTAAATCATCAAACGACCTGTCGGGAATCGAACATAGGTTTTCCGTGTGATGAGTTAATGCTGTAATCAATCAAACCAATTACGACGATAGACAAAAATGGAAAATAGTATCAAAAGGATACACATTTAAACAAAATAATGACATACATTATAGTCTGTTTGCAGTGAAAACGTACCGATGAATTTCACTTTAAACAGAAAAGTAAATCACATAAAGTGAAATTAAGATTGCGAATCCTCATGATTTTACCTTGCCAACTGAACTTTTAAATCTCAGAATTTTATTCAACTTAGGATGAAAGTTGTTTAACAAACGATCATAGTTTCAAATCGCTATTATTGGTTTGTATTAAAAGGGGGTACGCGCAGTAGTTGGAATAGTGAAACAAATGCATGTGCGGTCCGTGATGAGCGTTAACTTAGACTACCGTAGAAACCAACCCTTCTTGTTGTCGGGGTTTCATTTAATGTGCATACCCCCCTTGTAATACACACCAATAATAGCGATTTGAAACTATGATCGTTTGTAAAACAACTTTTATCCTAAGTTGAATAAAATTCTGAGATTTTAATGTTCAATTGGCAAGGTAAAGTTATGAGGATTCGCAATCTTAATTTCACACTTTTTGATTTACTTTTTTGTTTAAAGTGAAATTCATCGGTACGTTTTCACTGCAAACAGAATATAGTAATGAAGCATACACCTTTATGGATAGCAGCTTAACGTTTCGGTATAGATTCTTACACTGTTATCCTGCTAAAAGTGTCTACAAGTGATGAGAAGTATACACACATACAATGTATAGATTCTTCTCAACGTAGTATGTATATATACTTCTGATTGTAGTCACTCTTAGCTTAATAATGGTGTCAGAATCTACACGGAAACGTCGCTCTATGCAGTAAACAACAACCAAGTGTTGTTTCCTAAAATTATGCTCGTATACTAATCTATATGAACAGCAATGGTGAAAGCCTGTTTGTGAATGGATGAGAGGATCAAATGAAAACAGCAATGTAAGAAGTTGATACTGACGTCATTTTGTAAAGCGGCGTTCCGTCTGAGGTAGTGAGTGAGTACAGGTCCTCCAGACTGGGGTAGGTGTCGGTGATGTTGACGTTGTTCTTGAACAGCTCCCTGTGACAACAAACATCACTCATGGCGTAATTCGTTCATAATCGATGAGATATCAAAGTAATCTTCCTCAATCCCTGCAATAGCTATGAATATACTTATAGGATCCTTATAAATGTTGTTGTTTATATATTTTTATGTTTATATTTTGTTGTTGTTGTTTGTGTATCTCTGGTTCTGCTGTTTGTGTGTGCGTATGCGCGTGCGCGTGCGTATTAGGTGACGTGAAATTAAATATCGACATTTATGAGGATGCACGATCTTGTCTGGTATTGACATGAAGGGCTGGTCGGTTATCCAGGTGCACCTTTAATTCTTTTGATCACTGATGCCGTTTTCACCTACCACAATAACATATCGGGGTCATTTGCCTCTCCTTGCTGAAGGTTGTAGGGTATATTAGTTGTTCCTAGGTCGGTATTGCGCATGCGTTTACCGCGATTGTACCAGATCGTCTCATCCGCATTGCCGTATCCCAGTTCAAAGGGGATGATGTTTAGTCCTAAAGCTGTTGCTGTTCTGTTCAGTGTTGGGTGAGCTCCAGATTTAAACCTCATTGCCCCGAAATCAAGATACGTCCCCGGGGCGACAGGCAGCTCGGCAGTGAAGAGTCTTCCCCCGACACGGTCGGAGAACTCGAACACGGAGATGGAGAGACCTCTGTCCCTCAACCTCCATCCCGTGTAGGCGCCCCCGATACCGCCGCCGATGACGGCAACGTCGAGACAGTCGCCATCAGAGGGAACTGAAACGTTAAATTATATCTGCCTTAATAAGATGCTTAAAAGATTCAGGGGTCGACAGCCATTGATCCTACGATACATATTTTTAGTAAAATGATCGGACGTTATAAGGATGTTCCAATTCTAAAGGGGTGGTGGGGTAGACTAGAGGTTAGAGCGCTGGCGCGTCACGCCGAAGATCCGGGTTCGATTCCACATATGGGTACAATGTGTGAAGCCCATTTCTGGTGTCCCCCGCCGTGATACTGATAAAAGCGGCGTAAAACCAAGTCACTCACTCCAACTCTAAAATATGCGACTCCAGCCCGCGATTATATATGGTACATACACCCCTGCAGAATGGCATCTGACACGAGTGGACGACCACGTGCTGCACAAATACGTGACGATGTGGATTTCACGCGCGATCAAAACTGATTCAAGGTAGTCGATGGTGCTGAGAAGCTGTGAGAATGGGCTTCAAACCTACGGCGACATTTCTCGCACTCAGCCGAGCACAATGACTATAGCGGTACAAGCAAATGGACGTGAGACATTCGAGGGGCAGTGATCCAGAGCCATTCCTTTATCACTCCAACAACAATCTTAATCACGACGACTGGCTGTAGCGGGGCGTGGGGTCATCCCACGGACGACATCTTTACTTTGTCAGCTTGCTGGCGGGGTTAACCTTTTTGGTCATGTGGACAATGCGTCCGACTTCTGATCAGAAGGTCCGGGGAAATTTTATGGCCGCTACACCTCGACCGTGACGGACACTGGGATTGGGCAACAATGACGTTCATATCCTTGAAACAGCGTTGACCCCAGTTTTTAGGGAATACAGATTGCATCTGATACCTTGCTGATACTCCCTTGCTGTAACCCGTGTTTGGTGGTATAAACCTACACCTGTTTACTTGTCATCGTTCACTTGATGGTCAGTTAATGAATTTATAACAGGTATAATTAGTGTTTCAAGGATATGAACTTCATTTTTACATGAAAATATGTATAAACGTTTGCTGTGTACTGTATATACCTGTTTTTAAGATTATTCCAGCAATGTCAATGTGACGTAGAGATTAAAAGAATCAAATATGTTTCAATATCCAAGGTAAAGACATGACGTTGTTACATGATTACATATCGACGTAAAGACCACAGAAATATAATCAAACTGGATTAGTCATCACACCATCTGCATTTTGAAATTCTGCCAAGGTTGAGGTCGAGGATCACTTGACAGGTAGACGTAGTGATTAAGATTGTTGGTGCGAAGCAGGAATCGCTCTGGATCAGTGCCCCTTAAGACTCGAATGTCTTACCTCCTTTTGTTTGTACCGCTAGTTGTTGGTGCGAAATAGGAATCGCTCTGGATCAACGCCCCTTTAATGTTTGTGACTCACCTTCAGCATTCACCACCGTCTTGCTTAGTATGGTTGCGGAGAATTGCATTGGGAGTGCTGCAATCGAAAAATCGCAAGAATGTCAACCGAAAACTATTTAAACATCATCTGAATTATGAAATATAGGTTTATGATAACAGGTAGATAGACACAGTCAGTGTAAAAGTGCGAAGTCGCTCACTTGATTTAAAAGAAAGACAAAAGTCATGTTATACATGTACTTGATACAATCAATCCGGAAGGAGAATTCAGCTGATTTTAGGTCTTCCAGACTTTCCTTATGACTGGATGATCTCTTGGTATCTCATTAATTTCCCAGTTCACATGATCACGATTTACTAGAAAGATTATACTTTACACGGCCATTGACATACTTACACGTGGCTATGAGACTGGCGGTGACGACTGCAGTGACCAGTAGGATCCCCAGCGTGATGAGAGTCATCATGCGACATGGTCCACAACGCCGATCCAGGAAAGGTACAGTTGGCTCCTGAAACAGTTGGGGAAACAGTCTGGTCTAGGGAATGTACAACTATTCTTCCTGTTTAATTAATTTGTGGAATTACTTTCTGAATGGAATAATATGTTTGTATCATGTATGTACCTTTTGTTATAAATCCTAATCCGGCGTTCTGCTGCTGGCATTGAGTGTGAGTGTTCGCATATCATGTCATGGTAAGGGAAGAATTCGGAAAGAGTTCCTTCCGTTCCCCCAACCCTAAACCAAACTCTAAACCTAACTCCAAACCTAAACCTAACCCGAAATTAAATGTTGGACCTTTAGTCATTTTTGTGAGTTCTCTAGTAATTGTTGTGTTTAGTTTTGTTAATAAATTTAGTATATATTAATTTATAGATATTATTTGGGATGGGGGAACGGGAGGAACTCTCACCCCAGCCTCAACTAGTGATGGACTTCGTCAGCAATGACCGCCCGTTTTCGGTGTGTGATATTGCGAATTGTTTTAAGCTGCTTTTAGCAATATTCCAGCAATATCACGGCGGGGGACACCAGAAAATGGACTTCACACATTGTACCAATGTGGACAATCGAATCCGAGACACCAGTGTGACGAGCGGAGGCTTTAACTAACAGGTTATCCTACCGCGTCCAGTGTGTTATAGAAATATTGGCAATTTCATATATTCTCAAAAGAATAAATGTCATTATGACGAAGAACAAAAATTCCTGACAAAATTTAGAAGACAACTTGCTTGGACTTACCATTTTACTCTACTCTGCAGCCACAACAATTATTTTCTGTGTGGGGGAACGTTTTCTCAATGACCTGTTCGATGGCAACTCTGTCACCATAAGTCGTGGTCAGAGTCCAGTCACGTGACCTTCTGTACTCACTCAGCCCAAGCGAAGGTATTGTAACCGGTTTAGACACTCCTTTTAAGACTCCATTGTCACAAACAAAAACAGTGAACCAGATCCTTGGGGAGATTATTGCTTGTTGTCGGTGTCCCCACGGGATTACTGAGTCAATTCAAACTTAATTTAATCCAAGCTGACGCGGATTAGGATTTTGACATTGTTTTACGAAGTGTCGATTCTGGATGTTGTTAAAAACGATGTCAGTTTGGGCTTACCCAGTAACGACGTGTTGGTCTGGTCCAGTGAACGTTTATGTAACACAAATAATAACATATGTTATTACTGTCACCCAGCGTACTCTACACTTAGTGAGTGAGTGAGTTATTATTTAGCGTCACATCGGCAATATTGCAGCCATATCGTGACGAGAACATTTGACATGGAAATAGAATACATATAGATATTATAAAAACCTGTCGACGAAGGATAGTAAAACAACTAGAATATCACAATTTGAAGTAAAACTAGCATAGAAAATTAAAACAAATAGCACTATTTGGACAATACAATATAAAATGTGGCCAGAGATCGCCAACAACTGAAGGGAGATCACCATACTAGGGACCATGGGGACTTACATTACTTTTGCTACCTGCATGGACCCTAGCTGGATTTACACCATCCCTTCAGCCATTGGCGTTGATGCTGACATTAAGCCATACATTAAAAACATCTACACTGAGATGATGTTTAGTATGATTATACAACAGAAATGTAAGGCGTTTTACGGCCAATAAAGCCGATGAGGTAAGACTCGTATCACTAAAGAAGAAGTAGAAACACTCAATGTTCTACATTACTATATGTTCAAACAAATGGTTAGAAGATTCTTATACATTTTCCAAATCCTTAATAAAGCAGTTGAACTTCAATATGAATGTGGTTTAAACAATACTTGTTTCAGAAAGAAATGTATTTAGTCAATAGGCATATGGAAACTATTTTACATATACCATATATACATATGTGTGTTTGGTTTAAACATATTTTATTCTATTCAAGAAGAAAGAAAAGGATTGGCAAACAAGCCTAAATGGCTTATATTAATGCCGCTCCATAATACATGTGAACGTGTGTGTGTGTGTGTGTGTCTGTTTATAGAACTAATTAAATTTCCAGCCCTTAAACATAATGATCACGATTAGACAAACGGCACCATTAAAACAGGCGGATACATGAGTGAGTGAGTGAGTTTAGTTTTACACCGCTTTTAGCAATATTCCAGCAATATTACGGCGGAGGACACCAGAAATGGGCTTCACACATTGTACCCATGTGGGGAATCGAACCCGGGTATTCGGCGTGACAAGCGAACGCTTTAACCACTAGGGTACCCCACCGCCCCGCGGATACATGAAGGGGAATCACATTAACAAGTAGAGGATAAATTAGACAATCTAATGTCATGCTTGATGGATAAATCCGACCTTCTTTGAGAGTTATATTTAACGAACTACTGTAAGCTGAAGGCAGTTCTGGAGCCTGAATGTTATATTTTACAACTGAATGATAAGTCTCTTCTAAGAGCAGTTTGTAAATTTAGAATATCCCTACATAATTTTAGAATTGTTACTTACAGGAGAAATAAAGACAGTGGGAAAATTAGTTGTATCTGTAAAAATTGTAATCTTGGAGTGATTGAAGATGAATACCATGTTTTTATGCAATGTACAATATATAATGTAATTCGGAAAAAGTACTTGCCACAGCTGAATGCCATGCCCCAATGTGAACAAAGCATGATAAATGTATTACACTCCAAAGATTCTAATATTATTAAATCAGTTGCTCTGTGTTTTTAAACATCTGTTTAAACATTATATATGAAACTATCTCGTGGCATTGTAAAATATTGTAAGTTTCAATTGTATTATAGGCCGTTAGGCCCACATTACTGAATAAATATGTCTGTCTGTCTATATACACAAGTTTCATCTTGGTTCAGACATATTTTTATTTCCAAAATGCTTACATCAATACAATGAAGCAACACTGAACCAGAAGACTGATCTGGTTAAAACATATTTATTCATCAAGATATGAATGGATTGGCGAACAAGCTCCGAAGAACTTATTTGAAGGCCTCTCCCATAAACAAATGCAGACAGACAGACAGACATTCAGTATAAAGTCCAATGGCCCAAATACAAACATACTGACATATAAATTCTGCGCATTGTACAAAATACATTATAAAACCATGGAAAATTTATATAAATTACTTATTACTTCTGTCAATTATTTGCTGGACCGTATACAAATATATGGAAATCTTTCTCAACTGACTGAAGTCTTGAGCAGATGTTAAGTTAACAAATGTAGTATCAAAGTTACATGTAGATATGCCCAGTATATTATGCCGGAACTGACGATATTGCCATAAACAAAAACATGTACAAATAAATAAATACAGAAACAGATTACACATTGTTACAAGTCTTATTTATCAGCAGTAGATAAGGATAATGCATGGATGTTGATTCGTTTGTTTGGCAGTCAATATCAAAGTATTTAAGAAACATCAAATCGATCAGATCTTATTATGTAATCATGTATAGATTTTAATAATGTGTGTAGATCATTGTTAGTGAGGGATGTTCATCTCCATAGTACTGTGTTGATACTAAACCCCTTTACATAGAAATATGATGTTTGTCTTAATGCTGTGTTTATTGCGTGTGAAGAAATACCATACAGCATTTTCGACGGGATGACCACATGAGCACGAGAGGCTGTCGATGATGTGTCTGTCAAACCAGGGGGCGGTGGGGTAGCCTAGTGGTTAAAGCGTTGGCTCGTCAAACCGGGTTAATCCCCACATGGGTTCAGTGTGAAGCCATTTCTGGTGTCCCCACGCGGTGATGTTGCTGGAATATTGCTAAAAGCGACGTAAAACCATACTCAGAGGTCTGTCAGCATTCAGATCACTACAACGGATAATGGATAATTTGGCATATTCTTGATCAATAGTTTAGGTCAAAGATAATGGTTTTGTTATTAGGTCTGCATATCGAGTTTTTTAATCGGGATAGGGTATCAATATTGTGAATTTCAGAACTTAGGGAATTCCATAGGTTTATTGTATCAGATAGAAATGATCTGGCATGTGTCGTTGTTCTACATTTAACTGATCGCGCTGATAGATTTCCCTAATCATTAGGTTAGGCGAATTATTCTTCATCTTATAAAATGTTGTCAACAGGTATTTGTAGGGTGAGAGAGTTACAGAGCTTGGCTGGAATACTATTGATTCCACATAGGCGACAGAGGTTATATCTTCATCTTATAAAAACTGTAACAACTTCTTTTATTCGTGAGTGCGACGTTTCGATACAACTTATATATCTAACGTTCCTTCAACGGTTTTGGTTAGTTTCTTCCAGAGAGTAGACAAAGGACAGGCGTGGAAGCCAATGATGTACAAATAATAATGGATGGAATACAGTAGATTGGGCTTGGTGGATGAGTGCATCATAAGCGGATGGAATGACCGATTCCACATTTGGTATGATGAGGATGGTTTCGGTGAGTTGAAGTATCTTGTTGGAAAAACCGTCTATTTGATTGGGGCTTTGTTACATTGTTATATCCAGTATATATACACTTCACCCTTCTTCATGTTCCAGACTGCAATAAATCACTATCGAAACGGCAAGAATAAAAGTTGGTATCAAATTGTTCTATATTGTCAAATCTAAAATGCCACTCAAAGAAGTTAAACGTTATGTTCTTAGTTTATAACTAGTAGACTGCAATAAATCACTCCCGGAAAGGAATGTACCAAATTTTAAATCAATAGTAATTATTCTTTCCACAGTGCTCTGCAACCCTCTGAAGGAAACGTGGAAATGGTAACTGCAAGCTTTCAATACTTCAACACTGCGTTATTCGAGGTTTTCTGAATTTCAACATCTGTATTTAAATTATGCATGTTAATTGGTTTCGAAATGCCAATCAACTATCCAGAAAGCGAACAATATGGATTCTCTGCTTTTTATGAAAAATAGCCACTCGCCTTTAGTTTAAGTTGGAGTTTTGACAACCACACCAAGAGAAAAAAAGAAACGCTACATTCTGAACCGTGTTCATACAGCGGGGGGTTTCGAATATATATGTCACGTACAAAAAACATGTTGGACTAAGTTCTTGCATAGTGTTAAAAACACCCAGCTTCATTCTATTTATAGATTTAAATTTATTAGTTATTGACCGAGAGCTCTTCAAGTAGATTTAGCAAGCGATAAAGCTCTTATGATAATGATGTGATATCCAGATATTCATGTAACCATATTCCTATATATTAATAACAATGAGCAATATCAAGTACAAAAGACAGTTAAGTAAAACGGAGTTTGTGCTTATTCAGCAGTCATATAACGTTAATGTAAAAAACCACGGGCGTGTTAATATGCCTTTTCAGCATATTAATTAAGTTGATGAAACGTGGCGAATTATGTATGGTGTGCTGATAAATAATGAGTAACCGTGAAAATAAATTAATTTGTTTTCGTGTCTCTTACTAAATTTGCATTTTTTCAAATCTACTCAGCATAGTAGATCTAATATTGTGAGAAAGTGTTCGCAGCAGCCGGTGTCTCTGACCAACATCCACTCAGTATAATAGATCCAGTTACCGGTTCGAATCCCAGTTGCATGGAATGAAAACCCACCAACCACTGGATTCAGCCAAGTAGTAAATGTCCACGGAATTGTTGTGCTAGTTCCCTACTTGATGACCCCTCACCTGAGTGAGGATTCAATACCAACGGGACAGCATTCCTCCTATTCGACCATTATTGTACGTGAACGCTTCCATATACATGTATTGTGACATTGAAACTGCCCGTTTTGCTTGACCGATGTCATCGTACACAAGTAAATGTACAGGAGTGAGTGAGTGAGTATGGTTTTACCCCTAGGCGGGGACACCAGAAATGGGCTTAACAAATTGTACCCATGTGAGGAATCGAACCCGGATCTTCAACATGACGAGCGAACGCTTTAACCACTAGGCCATCCCACCGTCCCATATATACTGGCAGTATATTTGACTGCCATGATGAAATAAGTATGTGTTGTTTTCGCGAGCACCTGCTGTCATCATTGATTATAAGTGATCCATTCATATCATTTTCACAGCTATTTTGCCTTTGATCCCAAATTGAATATCTGTTTATTAGGTAGTCGAGGCTGGACATGTCTAGGGTTGATCTTTCATACGAGGGGCGTCCCAAAAGTAGTCGGCATAACTATATTCTCGATATCAAATGTTAGAAAAGCTTCCATTTTATTTTGAAGGAATCATTAGCAAAGCCATATCCAAAATTTCACATATGTGGGTAATGTGGTTAACGAGATATTAGTCATGTCATCACAACACACTGGGGCATAATATTTCTTTAAAAAATGCAGAAAGTGAAAAACGATCTCTCATTTTGTACCTCTTGGATAATGGTATGCCTTCAGATAATATCTTATAAAATATGTTCAGTATAGTATTGGATGTCTTCCCGTGATAATCAACATTCAAAGATTTGGATTACTTGATTTATATTTAGACGGGTCTGTTTTTAAAGGACACCCCCTTTTAATCTTTGATTTTGAGGCACTGTTTACAATATATTGAGAGCTGACACTTGTGTGACTGTTCAGTTTTTAGTTTGAACCCTTGGCATCATGTATGGATGAGTGAAAATAATAGAACAAATATGTCCATATGATTACTTCATCTGAAAGGGGTTGGGTAGCGTCTCCAAAGGGAGCTCTTTCAGTAAACATCATGGTGAGGAGTCACTTTAACAAGCGATTGTAGTTTCAAATTGCATTTTTATGCACTTTAATATCTACGTTTGGTTCTAGAGGACTTCTTCCTATCTCAAACACACAAAATGTTTCTTGCATATTTTGTTTCAAGAGGTTTGTGATGCATTTATTGCAGCTTTTGCGTTTTTGTGGGGTACCAAGATAAAGAGTCAAACAAAATGTTGATCGTGAGGCTAGAGTGAGTGAGTGAGTTTAGTTTTACGCCGCACTCAGCAATATTCCAGCTATATGGCGGCGGTCTGTAAATAATCGAGTCTGGACCAGACAATCCAGTGATCAACAGCATGAGCATCGATCTGTGCAATTGGGAACCGTGAGGCTGGAACATGGCAAAAGCAATTTGCTTGAGGTAGCTGCATTTGTATATTTTTCAATGCTATTCCAACTACTTTTGGGACGCCCCTCGTATTCATATGCCTTTCTCTGAGACAAAACAGAAATTAGGTAAATACACAATGGTATCGAATCTTGAAATACCTTTTTTTAAATGGTTAACCACATACGTTACAACCACATTCATAGCACAGAGGAAGATCACGGGTCTATCATGCCTGCCCACTAAAGTATTTTTGTATCACAGCATCAACTGCCCTCAGGGACCCTTCTGACCATGCCTGCAGATCATCCGTTGACCAGGAGTTGCTGACGATGTACACGTGGTCAGACGGGGACGGCTTGTAGATCATATCACGGACCTTTCTCTCGTCAAACCCGGCCTTGAAGTAGCTCCATGCTGTAGGGAAGGGATACCTGTCCCACAACATCATGGCCCCTCCAACAGTTTCGGGGATGTCGGACTGGCTGACGTTGTAGATGACGCTAAGGTACTTCTCAACTCTATTCTTGACGACGTCGGTAACGGCATTCACTCCAGGGAGACTTCCCGGGATGGGTGTCCCGAACTGACTCAGTTCTCGCCAGTAGTGGGCAAAGTCCCCGTCGTGGTAGGAGGCCATGATGATGGAGACGTTGTTGGTGCCCGTGGACCAGTCATATGTTTGTCTATTGGGAAGGTCACTCTTGGTGTGGGTGATGTCAGGATTGCCAGTCTTCCACCACTTGGTGTTGTAGGCGAGGTAGATTCTACCAGCTGGGAATCCTTCCACAGAGTCTATGGTTCTTCTGATCTCGGGATTGTTCTTGAACTCGGGGAAGTCGATCTGTTGTATAGCTTCCTTCTGAGCAGCTAACACAACCTTCCTCGCACACATCACCACGTCTTCCGTCTGCAACCACGAATACAACACAACGTACGGACAGTGTTTACCAACAGCCTATATATATCAACTGCGGGCCAAAAGATCGTAACAATCCATTTTTCATAGCACGACACTGTTTATTCGGTCTAACATTAACACAACACTTTTATGTACCAGTTGTCACTGATATTATCAAGATGAAACACACACACACACACGCGCGCGCGCACACACACACACACACACGCACACACGCTCATGCACACATCCGTACACTTACACACAGGTTAGCTAATTGTTTAACGCCGCACTCAGAAATATTCCAGCTCTATGACGGCGGCCTGTAAATAATCGAATCTGGACCAGACAATCTAGCGATCAACAGCATGAGCATCAATTGGAATACGATGACGTGTGTCAACCAAGTCACCGAGCCTGACCACCCGATCCCGTTAGTTGCCTCTTAGGTGCAATATGTATGAATGTCAGGAGCATCAATGACACACATGATCTTTCCTACTCCGGGAAGTCTCCGGAGAACTATTTCTATACTTTGTAGACACACGTTACATATTTAACAATGACCAAGAGCGGGTTGTGCTGATGAATAAGACTACAAACCGTAACGGGGGTTGTAACACCATCGACTGTCAGGGTCTTTCTGAACCTGATGTTGTAGCCTCCAGCCTGTCCCCTCTCCATCCTCGTCAGCTGGTGGTTCAGGTGGAGCTCATGGCTGAAGTATAAAATATAGTACAGTTTAATTATTGAACACTTTGAGAGATATTTCCTGATACCGTGGGTAGTGGTTCAGGTGCAGCTTGTGGCTGGAACAAATATCAACATGCTCACATATAACAAACGTTTCGCCATCTCAACTACAGGTGTCATTAAACTTTATAAACAACATGTTCTTTGACAAAGTGTTTTCATATGGCATATCTTTTGGAAACTCTAAAGCAGAACCTTCGGAATGTTTTCATGAGAAACTTGAGGGCGGTTGCATTATTTGAGACACGCCGAGTAAAGCAAACGACGTAAAATGTCCGTACCGTAGACTACTATTCAGTCGTCTTGGACCTGTTGGGTCGAACTCACCTTGCGCTCGCCTTCAAGAATTTCTCCATGAGTGTCTTCGGAACCTTTCCCATTCCACCCTCTATTGTCTTGAATTCTTTAGGCTGGCGATCGCAACATTTAGTCTTAAGAAAGCCGGAGAAACGGGAGGCGACGTTTGTTTAAGAGGTGGTTTTACTTGAGCGAATGACTGAATGAGTAGGGTTTAACTCCGGCTTAAACGGGGTTTTTTTCAGTTATATCACGGCGTGCCAGCTTAATGTTTGAGGAAAGTGATAGAGGTCTTAGACCTCTACGGGGGGTGTGTGGGTGTGTGTGTGTGTGTGTGTGTGTGTGTGTTTATGGTGGTGAGAATCTGTGGACTACAAGTCAAGACATTCCATTCTCAGACTTATACTGTGTTATGGTTGATTCTAATGTATCTGTAATTTGGATAATGGCTATAGTTACGCCAATTTACGAGCTTAAACTGTTGGTTCAGAATGGCCAGTGAATTCCTGGATCAGACAAAATGCAACAATTGTGTGACGCCATCATAATTTATATTGTTTAATTGTGCAACCCAGTAGTATGAGCACAACTAGTAATCTGATATGCTGCAAACTGATTTGTGTCAAATACTGGAGAAAGCAAAACTTTGTCTCAGGTTCTACACACACAATATATTTTCACTGCACAACAAAACAACAAAAACATGTTGGATCAAAGTAAATTGTATTTGTCTTAAGACAGTCAGCTAACATCACTTATTCACATGCAAAAATCCTTTGAACTACTGTCGCCTATCCAAGATCGATGTTATAATGCGAAGGTATTTCTTGTTCTTCATTTTAAAGAAAGTACATTTAGGTACTTCGAAGCCAAAATATGATGTGTAATTTTATATTTTAAATGTTTCCAATGTTTCCAATATGTATAGTGTGCCATACTTCGACACTATATGGTAATCTACATGCCACTGAGACTGCAATGGATATGATCTGGCCGGTGAAGGGAGACAGGTGGTTAGGGCAGATAGGTTAGAAAGACTGGGGAGTTAACAGGTCAGAACATACGTCATCTTGTACAGAGGAGTTCCATCCGTTGTCGTCAAAGAGTACAGTTCATCCAGGCTGCTGCTGCTGCTGTTGCTGAGGTTGACGCTGTTCTTTAATAGTTCCCTGAAGAAGTAGGTATTTATGTCTTCTTAAGTCTGTCAATAAATTTGGCAGTGAAAATATCCAGTTCACTAATATTCAGAAAATATGATTAGAGTCGTTTAAGCACAACTTTCATTATTTATTAACTAAAACTGCATGATGTCTATGCCTCCAGGTGTAAAGATTACCCCCAAAATGTCCCACTTTCACACCTTAAAAAAGTCAGCATTGGTGTCTAAGATGGAACAGCCGTCATTTGTATTTTGTATGATTATGGAAATGCTTTGTGCAGGTTTAATCTTTCATCTTTAATATGGCAAAGAAGAGGACGTTGTGTCCAGCTTTCCCCAGAGTCCCATTCCGCAAAGTGGTCGTAGCTCTACGCACGACAGTCGTAAGTCTACGTTGTGTTACGATCGTCTCAGCGCTTAAATCACTTTGTGAAACGGAACCCTGGTGTATAAAAAGATATATTTTCACCCACCTAACCAATATGTCTGGGGCCTTTCGCTCATCTTCGTCAAGGTTATAGGGTACCTTTCCTGTTTCGAGGTCAATATTGCGCAAGCGCATGCCACGAGTGTACCATACAGTCTCGTTTTTATTGCCGTATCCTAGTTCAAAGGGGATGATGTCCAGTCCAATCTCAGTGGCTGTTCTATTTAATGTAGTATGGTCTGTGGGGCAGAACCTCATCCCCCCAAAATCAAGGTACGTCCCCGGGGCGACAGGAAGCTCGGCAGTGAAGAGTCTCCCCCCGACTCGGTCCGAGAACTCGAACACGGAGATGGAGAGACCTCTGTCCCTCAGTCTCCATCCCGTGTAGGCGCCCCCGATACCGCCGCCGATGATGGCAACGTCGATACAGTCGCCGTCAGAGGGAGCTGATATTTCGGAACAGAAAACAACACCAATAAATTTCGTTATGCATATCGTTGCTCGATATCCCTACCACAGTGATGCTTGATGTGTCTTGTAGATAGCGAAACACTTGGGCTGGACCCGGTTACAGGAGAAAGTACTGACAATACATAAGTTCATATTTCCTTACTATTCAATATAGCAGTGAAGTCATTTTAGGACGAATAAGATATAATCGTACAAGTAATAATAAAAAAACCCATCAAACCAAATCATCACGTGACTTACAAGTTTTTACTAGGGTGGCGGTTATCAATATTGTGACTCCAAGAATGTCTAGAATTGTGGCTGCCATAATCGCCCGACACGATCCAATATTGACGTCATTCCCGGAGGCTGAAAACAGGACGTTCGACAGAATGACCCAACAGGTAATATAATACCTGTCTCAAATAGTTCGTTTGTTGTTAGTTAGCTCATTCACTTTTCATAGAGTTGCGAAACTAAATATTTGTAAGAAGGCAGGTCTTATATTAGGATTTTTATCTAAATGTTTGAAAGATGGAAATCTGAGAACCACGGCACTGCTTCTCAGTTTGGATTGATTTAATGTCTCCGTATACCTCGAAAGCTCAACATAGCATTTATACATATTCCAATTTCCCAACCCGGTTTTTGTTATCTGTCGAAACTGAAATTTTACGTTACCCTAGAAATCTTCACGCAAAACAACTCAGTGTCAAACCAACAGATTAGAAAGACATGTTGCATGATTAAGAAATATATTTATTTATTAAATTCCAGCAATATCACGGCGGGGATTTAGACATCAAATACACATACAACACACATAGTTGCAAAGTAATTAATTACAATGGTAGAGCATAAGAGAGAGACAGTACAAACTCCAGAAGCGGTACAATTACAATGGCAATTGATACAACAAACAGCAATAGTAATACCAACAGCAAGTAAATGGTAAACAGTCACCAAGCAGCAGCAGTGGTCAATACTCCAGAATAGGGATAGGCTTGATACCAAGTGGAAAAACTGATCGAGCATTAGATGTAATATGAGCGAGAGAGTGAACTTGGTTTTACGCCGCTTTTAGCAATACTTAAGCAATATCACGGCGGGGGACACATGAACCCATGTGGGGAATCGAACCCAGGTCGTCTTAACCACTAAGCTACCAAACCCGAGCCAGATGTTATATGAGACGAGAGAGGCATATTCCTGTCCACGTATGTTGTTTATATACCTTCTAGGAAGTCCTATACCTATCTGAATTAGCCCATAGTTTAATAGATTCAAAAGTACCCTTGCCTCCAAAAGCACACAATGTTGCTGACATTAGATAGTAATACATTCCTGACCACTAGTTATTATTCCAACACAATGTCTTGAACTTCTGTTGAAATTAACAGGAACAATGTGATTTAATTACAGCATTGTAATAAACAATGCATTACACTGACATTAGACTGACGTTTAGTCCCTGAATACATATAATTTTGATAGTAGCAAATAAACCCATTTAAATTGAAAAGGAGCCCCAGTGAGACCAGAGATTCCTGAACCTGAGGAAATCTAGACTTGCTTCATTTAGGGCTTTAGCATTGCAGGGAGGGCTAAGCATTGGGGAAAATAGTGTGGTTCAGGGACTTTGAGACAGGCTACACTGACATAGACAACCTACGAAACTGCGTAACTAAATACAGATTGTTATTTTCACGTCTTAGGACTAAAACGTTACACCCATCTTTAAACATTGTCGTCCGTGCAATTTTAGACATTGGTTATCGTTTACAACGCCACAGTATACACTCTACAGTAATTTAGTACTTCTACAGTGTTAATTAGTGTGTACCATCAGTTTGTTGGCGATTGTTTGGGGCTGAAATCTTTCACCTGACGTGGAAAGTAATATGCGATGTTCTGGGGGGGCGACGGTTTACCGACTTGAAGTGGGCGCCATTTGACCGAAACGTGTGTTTGGGCGTCACACTACGGAAAACGTGTTTAGGGTCTGTTATAGTGCCGCCATTGAGCAGTAAGACGGTCAAATTTACGGCGGACCACGCCATACAATGCAGCTGCGTCCCATAACTTTGTGGACGTCACAATATCAAATGAAAAGTTGGCTTTTATGATGATTTGTAGAATCTGTAATCCAAGAGGCTGTTGTTTTGTAATATTATGTTAGCACTAACATTCAAATTAGGAATAGCTGTACCAGAAATGCTTCAAATATGTACTTTAACGCCACAATAACTCAGCTAAATATACTGGCAATAAATTCCAAAGTACGACAGCTGCGAAGGAGAGGTTGGTTATGATCATTTTTAACTGTTTAAATCGGACGTATTAAAATATACAATTTAACATGAATTTGTTACAGAAATTTCTGTTTGAGGTCAGAGGCCTCTAATAGAATAAGCAGAATATGCTGTCATTATGTTCTTAAAAATAATATATTTACAAGTTCAACTGAATTTTTTATAATTTACTCTTTCAAAGTCCTCTGCTTCCTATTTTACTAAAGAGTCGTGATTTCTGATAGAATGGGTGGTAAAAAGCAACGAAACTGGACCGTTATGAAAAGGACGAAATTTATTACCGTTAGGGGTATGTGACTTCAGTGGACAACAGTTAAAGAAATAATGGCCAAGGAGAACAATGTGAAGGTGTCAGTGAGTGGATTGTGTTTGCTGAACAAGACATACAGAGAAACAGGTGGCGAGAAGGACCTGTCGAGATCTGGGAGGCCGAAGGAGATACTGTTTTCTGATGAATCTATGTTCAGGAGTTTTAGCAACCGAAGGCAATTGAAGGTCCGCCTTTTAAAAAAACGAAAGATTTCGTCGATGTTGCTTGCAAACGACCGTGGAACATCCGCTTCAAGTTAATGTTTGGGGAGTGATATCTGCAAATGGCCCTGGTGGGCTGAAGAAGGTGACTGGAACGTTGAACAGTGTTTGATATCAACATGCTATAATCAACGACATAGATATTCATGGTCGTTGTGTCGCATTCCCTGAGAAAGAATTCATTTTTCTACAGGACAATGCCCCTGCTCATGCTTCGAAATCAACTACTGACTTTCTAGCTGCCAAAGGTATTCAGGTTTTACCATGGCCCGGGAATTCGCCGGACATGAATCCCATTGAATCGGTGTGAGTCATTGTTGGTTAAAAAGTCATCAGAGACTCTCCGACATCAAGTGATGGACTGTGGACATCCGTCCAAAAACACTGGTATAGTTTGCCAACATCTACCTTTGACAATTTGTACCGTAATATGCCAAAAGGGTAAAGGCAGTAGTCACTCCAAATGGTGGGGCAACATGTTACTGATGGTATTTCATGAATAAATCATTATTTCCCAACTCTCGTTCATTTTTTTTCTTGAAGCAGATGTTTACTCAGTGACATCTGACAATTCCACAAACTTATGAGTCGCAGCTGTATGTAGGCTAGAAGAAACTGTACCACTTTAGAATTGAATAATCTTTTTTTTATTGCATGTTGATTTCATTGAGATTTTGATCTTATCAATACATTTTACTTCACGCATCTATATTTGTGGGTTTTAAGCGAGACTGATGTCAAACTATTGTAGATTTTATGATTATTTTATTGTAAATTTTATTTAAATATTTGTCAGCTGTACCTGTATAACAAGATATTATTTCAGTTAATAAAATGAGTTTTAAAATGTTCAGGTTTTGTTTTAAATAGGCATTCAAGCATTTCACATCCCCTCCCATCTTACCAAGGGTATTCAAAATACAAAATTCTATTCTAAATTTATTTATGTTATTAAATATATGTAAATATTATTCATAAAAAAAATTCCCAATATCAGCTGACATTTACACACGTGTTTACATTGACAGCGCATATTCATAAATCATACAAAACAAGTGGCAATACGTTATCGAACTGCTCAGCCCTTATACCACCATGTTTGACTGGCTTAGTCAAGACGGAAACCCTCTATGTCATTCTAAGACGCTATTCTATGGCCAGGTTCACACAGAATGTAGATTTAAGACACCGTAACGCTACGACATGCGCAATTCTATGTTAAAGTGTGAGAGGTACGATCAATTAAGCACCAAGCATACCACAATGCCCTCTGCTGAATACAATATCAAAATCAATAAGACCCTTGAATAGCTGTACTGAAATTGTCAAACGATCTTCTATCTTGTCGTGTGAAATCCCACATATAGTGAAAAATACTAGAAGCTTTTAATATACACATTAACATAAATTCAATATGAAACAGCTATTCTGCATCGACAACATGATGATGTCCGAACTTGCATAATGAAAATATTCCCACTGATTCCGGACACGCAACAAGCAAACACAGGTTTACCTGACACCTTGTACAGATATCGCCGTCAAAAACAATGGAAGGCGTGAGGAACGACTTCTTTTCCCACAACGTTTCCCACCGTCTACGATGTAGGTAGGGAACAGCGTCAGCACCAGTGTAGTTAATTACCCTCAACCCGCTACTGATCCCGGGACAAATGGACCGTGGAACAAGAAGATATAACAGTGAAAGATACTTACCTTATATTTACCATGTTGACTAGTACATGGTATTCCACAGAGCGAGTCCTTGCGTCTAGCTCGATAGGCATCACTTGCCTACCGGAAGCAAATGTTTAGACGAAAGAAGCAAGTTGTGGAGTGATTTGATGTGACAGTATTGGTCGCATATTCATGAAGGCGACAGCTGGATTCTGTGAGTAAACTCTGTACCTATCAGCTATACAACAATAGGCAAGCGATCGAAACGTTGCATATAAATCGTTATGGATTTGTATTTTGCATTGCATGCGTGTATAATATTGCAACACGTTCGTTGATCGGATAGGGATATGTCCCATCACAGTTTACATATGATCGTGACACCTTTGTATATAGAAAACATTTAAATTGATTATTTAATTTGATTAAAATCTATGAAGGTTGTGCATTGACCGACCCCTTAACTATATTTTTTTATCGTTAGCAGATTCCAGGTGGAAAGGGCGGTGGGGTAGCCTAGTGGGCAAAGCGTTCGCTCGTTATGCCAAAGACCCGGGTTCGATTCCCAACATGGGTACAATGTGTGAAGCCCATTTCTGGTGTCCCCCGACGTGATATTACTGGAATATTGCTAAAAGCGGCGTAAAATCGTACTCCCTCACTCATCCCAGATGGGAAGCTTGTACAGCATTATAGTGATTCTGATGAGTCACCAGAGAGTCCTCTTGACGATGATAGTTTAAGGGTAGTGGTTAAAGGTGTGAAATTAAACTGCAGACTAATTGGCATTTTTTTGCAGTAAATAATTGTCCATTTGTGTTTCGCATGACGACGCTTTATACATAGATTCTGCTTGAACTTGAGATTACGTCAGAGACGAGTGTTGTTAATATCGGATCGTTATTATGTGATTATTATTACGCATTCACAATGTATGGAATACTGTAAGGGAAATTATTGCTTTAAATCGATCTCGACCCTCCGTAAAAAGCTAAGTGCTATCAAACACTGTGTCGAAGTGTATGGTCCAGACTCGATTATTTACAGACGGCTGTCATACAGCTAGACTATTTCCGGCGTTAACCAACAAAACAAATCTTATATACCTGAGAAACAGATGCTTGACTAGTACAAGGCTGAATATGGGACATCACTGCCCCAACTGAATATCATATGTACAATTATTACATAGTTTCACAATCCATATCACTGCCACTTAACAAAGAGCACATTATAATTACCTCTCTATAAGTTGGGGGGAAAATGTACTTGCTGCATGTCAAGTTATGGAAATGTTATGCTGTCGAGGATTGTGTGATTAGTGTTTGTCATCAAAGGTTTGTTGAATATATCCGCACCTCGTAATAGGAACCCGTGAAGATGCGGGTTAGAAATGATCAACGGTAACCCATGCTTGTCGTAAGAGGCGACTAACGGGATCGGGTGGCCAGGCTCGCTGGCTTGGTTGACACATGTCATCGTATCCTAAATGCGTCGATGATCACTGGATTGTCTGTTCCAGACTCTATTATCTGCAGACCGCCACCATATAGGAATATTGCTGAGTGCGGCGTAAAACTAACTCACTCACTCACTCGTAATAGGACACCGCGCAATACGCTCTAAAATCGTGTGGTGTAACAACTCAGTTAACAATGTCGGGTGTGACCACCATTTGCGTTGTTACAGGCGGATGATTGAAACCAGATTCAGGGGTGTTGCAAATATATTGACGAAAATGAGTTAGCTTTCCAGACTGGTTTTGGTCCGGTTGTAGGCGTCCATCCTTCTTATCCCATGCATGTTGTTGGGGCAGGTGTGGAGAAACACCCGTCTTGGCAATACGGCAATCGTATCCTCCAACAGAAAGTATGTTACAACAAGAGCAACATGTGGGCGGACATTGTCCTGCTGCACCGTGACGACATCCCCACATTTGCACAAACAACATGATCTCGTACACCGTCTTCCTGGTAGCAGTAACAATCCTGATGCCAAACGTGTTCAGTGAGATGTGGACCTCAAGTGACTCTGACTCCTGCGCACCACCCTAGTATCACCACTCCACATGTTTATGCGACACTACCCAAATCATCCAAGAACATTACATACATGCACATATACTATTACATTCCTGACTACGTTGAGTAAGGCAAGTGGCGCGAAAACGTCCTCCTGGACAATCAATACTGGCTTCAAAAGATTCAAAACTACACTTGGCTCCAAGAGAACGAAACTACTGCTGACATTGTTCCGATACAATGTTATGAACTTCTACTGATTCTTAAAACAAACGATGCAATGGAGACCATGTAAACAAACAAGATGTCGGACGGGAGCTACCAGCCTTTGTGGGGTGTATTGTTTCTGAAATGACATCGTACGAACAGGTTTGCAGTTGTCAAATATAATATACGTAGCAAGAGGACAGGCATGCAAATATTTTGCAGACGCATTTTCAACAACTGGTGGCGAAACTCGGGACAGTAGGCTAATAACGTTTGCGTCAACATCTGACTCTGACATGTCCGATATTGTATTTCATGTAACTGTGACAGTGCATAATTCATCATTACATTCTTTATATTTGTTTCTGTATGCATATATTTTGTATATGTTTGTCACAAATTTCACTTTCATTCTGATGAGTTACTAATATTGAAATGTCACTTTAATTATCCTCCATGGCATGGCTCAAGCTGATGTAACGCACTTTGCAAAGATAATTAACATGAACCATATACCATTTGTTACAGAATCTTTTTGTAATCTATATACAATGAAACCTATAGCTATTTATCATCTTTGAATGTTCTGAAGTGTAGAATCACGCTTACAAAATTTCGTTGTTCCTCCCATAATTTGTTAATAGAAACAGGTAGAATTATTGGAATAAAAAAGACGATAGAATATGTAAAATGTGTGACTTGAATTTAATTGAAGATGAATATCATTCCTTTGTGTCTGTCCAGCCCACCTCACTTTAAGAAATAAGTATATTAAGAAATATTACTTTGAACATCACAATATTAATAAATTTATATCTCTATTAACCTATTCTAGCAAGGAACACCTGGTAAAGTTGCCAATGTTTCTGTACGATGCCTTCTACACAGAAGAAATGTACTTGTTACTGCCAAATAATGATGCTAGTATAGACTCTTAACTGCAAATAAAGATTATGAGAATAGAAAGTGTCAACTTTAAACTCAATCTATTGTTTCAAGAACCACTGTATAAACATCCAGACCTCAACTGCAAAAACAAACAACTGCAACAAAAACCCTGTAATATATCTGATCTAACTGACGCCAATTACCATTGTGTCACAGTCATGTGACATCCGCTATACAAACTAATTTCACATCCAGACAAGAGCTGTAAAACAAACTGTAACTTAAAGTGATGTAATTACCTTGTCACGGTCATGTGACTACGCTTCCAAAAACTCATTTCGGCTTGTCCAATCAGTTACTATTAGTAAAAGTATCTGATCTATGTCAACCAACCGAAATCGTAATTAAAAGACATATTATATGTTTTGGCCAATCGCAAAAGAATTCCAACATTGATCAGTGATGTTTCGGCTATAAAAAGAGGTCAGTGATTTTCCATCGACACACGTGACCTCACAATAAATGTTGAAAGATCTCCTTGACTGAACATTGAATTGACATTTAGGAATTCTCCATTCCATTTTAAGGTAAGTTCTTTAGTACAACTCTATAAATTATGTTAGATAATGTCATGACTGAAATGTATTATTTATGAATAGAAAGTGGCCATATGTGGTCATGCAGTAACATTATGTGGTCATGCATAATATCATGTTAATGAATATGTTAATGAATTGTTGTGCATTTGATGTACTTTAGATGGATGTACATTACATCACAAATATGCTGATAGTGAACTTATATAAATGGCAAATATCATTCATATATGTTTTATATGACGACAGCTGAGGTATAATTGAGAAATGTGTTAAAATGATTTGTATGATGAATGATTCCCAATTATGATTATGATTAGGATTATTATTTTAGGTTGAAAGAAGAAATATTATAATTGTTATATATAAGCTCTATATGCTAATTCTCCATTATGATTTTATATAAGATTATTGTTTGAAGATCTTTAATGTATATGTATTTATGTATGACACACTTGACCCCACAATAAATGTTGAAACATCTTCTTGACTGATCATTAATGAGCGTGACATAACATTACGTTTGTGAACCATACAAAGACTGTTGCAGCCCCCCACCCCCACCCTCCCCTCCTGTGATCACTGACTGTTCAAACCCAGCAGCAGCGGATACAGCATTTTTGAACTCGTCTACCCACCCCCACCCCACCCACTTAATGAAATCTCCATCGCCATGAACACAGTCACTGGTTTCAACCCTGTATGGCTAAAAGCGTTAAAGCTTTAATACGACATTTCGACATTCTCTGATAACACCCACCTTACTAACAGCACATACTAACTCCGCAATAACAAATGCCTGTTAAATATTCCAGCAACATGACATGGGTACAATGTGTGAAGCTCATTTCTAGTGTCCCCAGCCGTGATATTGCTGGACTCTGGCTTAAAGCGGCGTTAAAACCCTGCTCACTCAATCACACCAGGAACATCACGACGGGGTACAACGATGAGAGGCTTCTGACAATGTACCTCTGTCGGGAATAGTCTTCGGAGTGAATGAGGTTTTACATTACTCTGGACAATAATCCAGTTATATCACGGCATGTCAGCTTGGTGTGGGAGGAAATCCCGAAGTAATGCAGGTATCATAATGCAGACATTATACATAATACAGTATACTAAATGTAACGGAGCAAGTCACACATGAATTTTATCGACATTTTCAAACTGCTGTTATTTCCACATAATGTGTGCTAATACACAAAACTGCTCGACAGGGTTATATTTGATTTGTCTTTGAGTATTGTTACTCAGTGGCAGATTGAGGTTAAATAGCTTCAATACGTTTGAGATATACCCCGTTAAGATGAGAGAGCATGTAAATAATTTGTAAACTATTTTGTGAGCGATATCTTTTGGATATCTTAATCCACCCTAAAAGGAAATAAACCTTAAATTCTGGTTAAACGAGAACACACAATAATTAAGAACAGGAAGACAATACGGTTTACTGTTGCGCAACACACAGTCGAAATCTGACGTAATTCATTGTTATTACGTTTGAGATTGTCCCCATTCATACACAGAAACAAACAAAATGTCGGACAGTAGGAACTCTCAAGCTCGTTAAACTAATCGAAGCCAGTTAATCAATTGAATAATTATTGCTAGTCCATTGAAAACACCAGTTGAACGACTAAAGTTTACGCTGAACACCAAACCGTGTGATTATCAACAACTGTACTGCCAGAACACGTGCACTCACAAATACTGAAAACTCTCAACATCGCCGAACACGTGCACTCACAAATATTGAAAACTCTCAACATCGCTGATATGATGTTATTCAGTGAGACTGCCTTTACAAATGTTAGGTCAGTGTGAGAAGCTTCTGAGCGAGAGATAATCCTGAGCTGGTTCCTGGCTCCCTTTGCGCCAAAACAAATTGTGATATTAGAGACGGAGCTCAGATTATGATTGATCCCAGCGGCTGGGCTGACGTCATATGAAATTAGTTTGTCAGAGTTTCTTGCAAGAAATTTTCACTTTGTATATAGCAGTGGTAGTTTCAGTTAGTCTGTTTTTTTGTATTAAGCCTTTTATACTTCTTGAATATGAAAATAAGAATAAAATATAAGTAATAACAATGTTGTATTGGAATCAGCTATTCCGAGACATTAAGTTTCATTAAGTTGAGTGCAACTCGCTGCTCAGAGCAATTTTGTGGCATTTTATAAGTTGGGACGTACAATATTGAACAAACTCTATGGATAACAACTTCTTTATTTCGCGAGTGCGACGTTTCGATACAGATTCTTGTACCGCAGGGCTTGACAACGGTAGAAAAATCTATATCTAAACGTCGCTTTAACGAATAAAAGAAGTTGTTATCCATTAAGTTTGTTGAATTACACAGTACTTTTGGTATCTTGTGCGACTCTTCAAGGGCGGGTAATGTTTTGACGTTATGACCGGAAGTTTACAGTTTAAACAAAGCCACGCGGTCTGCGTCGCGAAGTGATATAATTTAGAAGAGTTATGTTACGGGGAACAGGCAGGTTAAAATCTGTATATTTCCTGAACGTTTCATCTAGCGTTTTAATCTTGGACTCACGAATGTTATACCTGACTTTCAACAAAGTTTCATATTTCATGTAACATTGACCAAGTTCTGGATAAACAATTGCGACTTCGAGTTGATATTCCATGAATGCAAAGAGGCTGAACCATACAGATACATCGCAAAACAACACAAATGTTACTAAAATATTGAAGGTTGGTGGCAGTATTCCAGTGTTTGTGTTTTTAAGCATGAATCAATCGTATATACTGACATTTGGTTGTATTTGTGGTGGCACGGATTTCAAAGGACTTTCATTCGTCACGTTCTTATTATGGCTCCTGCGGGGAAAGATTTCCCGTAACCACGTTTTGTATCATTCTATGCCTAAGAATTAGAGTTTGAATAGAGGGGGTTTATTTATAGAAAGCCAACCCTAACCCTAACCCTAAATCGAGCAAATTGCTAAATTTAAAAACCCTAAACCTAACCCCTTGAAATAATCATAATAGATGGAAACACTTTACAAATATAATGTCAATCAATACAAATCCTTGTTCTGAACCTTTTTTATCTTTTCAATGGAACTTGGATATCTTCATAAGGGGGATTGTTGATGTTTTTCACCTCTATTTTCACTTGGAAATGACAAAAAGCGGTATGTTCATATACATTTCAGAGCCTCGTTAAAACACTACTGCAAGAAGTCTTCAATGGAAGGCGAGCTCACCTGCCCAATATGCCTGCAAATATACCAGGATCCTGTCGTGATGTCATGCATGCACTCGTACTGCAGGGAGTGTCTTAAAGATTTGCATGTCAAATCCACTACAGCCGAGGAATCATGGGGTCTGTTTTGAAAACATATTTTCACTTTGCATTAATTAGCTCTAACAATTTAAAAGTGTAATATACTTCCAACCCAAAGTCAGTCTCTCTCTCTCTCTCGTTCTTTACTCTTCAGGGAGTATATCTATATTTATATATACATGGTTACATCAAAGATTGATTTCTCCACTAACTTGAGGGAACCAACTGCAAACCTTATGCAGATGAATTGCACGAGGATCATGCATCAAATTGCTGAAGTGCATGTGCAAATATCATGCTTGTGAACAGCTGCGTTTTTGTGTAAGGTTTTGGTAAGACTTCGCAAATTTTCATTGAGTTTCATCATTAATTGAACTCATGACAATAATCTCTTCAAAATTACCATTTTGTTTTACAATACATCAGTTCATGTGTGAACAGTATGGCATATTTCGCAAAATTTAGTTTAGAATAGTTGCTTGAAGTAAGTGGCTATATTTACGCTAGTTATTCTAAACATTTTAATGGGAAGTACATAAACTATTTAAATCACTAACATATAGAATGTTCTCATAATGTTCGGAAGTATGTATGATCTGACCTGAGGTCATTGCTGGACCTATCATAATTAGTCCTGACTTCTAAATAACATGTTTACTACTTCACTTGTGTTGCCCGTGAAGATAGGGATTGGTCTTTACCAGCCCATGCTTATCGTAAGAGGCGATGACTCAGTTGACACATGCCATAGTAGCACAACCCCGTAGATTGATGCTCCTGATGTTGATCACTGGATTGTATGGTTCAGACTCAATTACTTGCAGATGCCGCCATACAGCTGGAATACTGCCGAATGTCACGTTCAGCAACAAACAAACAAACAAACAAACAAACATTACTTCTGTTTATCAAACTTCTAATGGGCGATCGATATTGTGGTACTTTCGTTTGGCATTATAGTTGAATAGACGTAGCAGAATCTGAAATACCATTCAAAATGTCCGTAACGCTGGTCACATAGCTACAAACACAAGAGCCACAATCACATAACTTATATATTTCTGCTGTACAATAACAGGGGTTCACAGAATGATTTAAACATATCCATACACCATGCAACTGTCATTCGATTAATAACTACTTTCTGTGTTTCCTAGACAAGCGTTTAAAGACCAGCAACACGCTGCCCTGTCCCGCCTGTCGAGCAATAACAAGCTTTGGCCTGGAGGGTGTTGATGGCCTTCCCAAAAACTTCACCCTAGCAAGTATATGTAGGAAGTTCAAAGAGACCTTCCGACAGCCTCCTGCCCCGGCACCCCATGAAACTCGCAAACAAACACCATCGAACGAGAAAAGCGTGTACTGCAAGGCATGTCAAGTCATTGTGAGGAGTGGAGATCTATTGCCAACACATCGCTATCACGTCACAGAGGACCTCGAAACTGAACTTAGAAAACAGCAGGTGATAACCATGATCGCGGAAATGTTTGTGTAAACATGTCTTACGTAAAGTTTTTGTATCTAAAACAAATATCAAATAGGAGTTGCTCACATGCAAATTTGAATACGCGTATCGCCTATCGCGTTATTTTCAACAGAAACAGTTTTTACGATTATATCTGGAGCATTGGTGACCTATCTTGCCTTTCATATTTCAATACGCTAACGCTTTTTGATGGCACTAGCTTTGCCTTTAGACAATCTGTTTCATTTAAAAGTAAACTGACCTCATGAATCAATAAAATGGATACGAATAATCTCTGAGAATAAAAACTACTCTCTCGAAAATTAGGAAACATGTGACAAGAAAAGAAAATCCGGCAAGGATGTCCGTCTAGACAACACATCTGTGTAGACAACACATGCTATCACGTTACAGAGGACCTAGAAACTAAAATTACAAAACAACAGCTGATAACAATGATCACGGAACTTATGTGTGACAACCACTTTATATGTAATGTTCTGGTATCTAAAATAATATCAAATAATAGATACATACATACAAATCTGAATAAAGTCTCGCGTGATTTTCATAAGAAACAGCCTGTACATTATACCTGTAAGTGTACGTGTTCATATTAAAATAGAATGGTACCAACTTTGCTCTTGGACAATCCGTTTCATCTATACTCCAATTGACCCCCATGAATCAAAGAAATGGATACGAATTATTTCTGAGAATAAAAACTACTCTCTCGATAATTAGTAAGGAAAGATGTGATAAGAAAATACAATGTATGAGGATGTCAGGCTGAAATGTCAAGATCATATGTCCTTCGTAAGAACTAAATTACATTTATAAATAAAATAAAATATAAAATTCAAATTCTGAAAAATGTAAGGATTTTCCAAATCTCATTCTACAACTGGGAACAGTCCCATGTCTTGAGGGTAAATGATCACCATCATTTTGTGTCTTTGGTGTGTTCATGCCAAGCGTTATCTTTCCCCAGGACAAACTCTCCACTTGCCTTCAGGAGTTGGAAAGAAGTCGCACTATGGAGGAAGCTAGACTGAAAGCAGCATCGGTTGATCATTGTAACAGACAGGTACTTGTGTAGAATACGTAGAATAGCCATACTGTCTTCTGAATTTTGTTATATATTTATGAGTGAGAAAGTATCAGTGGATTCTGAACGATTTACGTATTTAATATACGTGCTATTCACCCAATTAGATTGACATGCAGTTATATTACATATATATATATAACTAACCCGGACACACAGATACATCAGTTTGTTATATACAATAGGAACAGGTGCAGAACGAAGAAGATGCCATCAATTCATTGGCTGAATCCATTGAGGAACGTCTTCGATCACGGAAAGAAGAATTTCTAGAAAACATAAAGTCCTTGAAAACGCACAACAAGTGGTGTTTTGAGACGTATCAGAAACAACTCCAGTCCTACATCTCCACTGTCGACAGCATCACTGCAGCTGCACATACAATGGATGAACAGAAACTGGAGGGAGAAGACGGTCAAGTCAGTTTCCTGCAGGTAGACAAAGCTGTTCGTAGAATAATAATCAGTTTGTTGTTTTACATCCTCAGTTCATGCATACAGACAACCCCTTTGTTTCCCTCCAGAACAATCTCCGTTGTGAGGGACATCCGCCAGAAACCATTTCGTTTACCATTGACATTTAGACAAGAATATTACATTCCCAATGCTTTTAAGTCGCAATCGTAGAAATGAGAAGTTTAAAAAAGTGGTTAAAATATATCTACAGAAAGTCCAACAAAATATATAGAATCTTTGTATAAATACAATGGATGTATGTATCACCAACGCACTTATGTTCAGTTGTATAAATTCCTTTCTAAATGCTACCCGATCCCTACCGACACTGACGACAAACACACTATTTCAGGTGGTGGACGACGTCTTAACACAAACACAGCGGTGAGTATGTAATTCACCTCTGAAGCTTTAATGTCAGGAAGAATGTCGAGGTCCTTTACATAGTTTCGTTTCTTTTCCGTTTGTGTTTAACGCATCACTCAACAATAAGGCGGCAGTCAGTAAATAATCGAGTCTGGACCAGACTATCAAGTGATCAACATCATGCGCATCCATCTACGCAATTGGGATACGATGACATGTATCAACCAAGTCAGCGAGCCTGACTACCTGATTCTGTTCGTCGCCCCTTACGACAAGCATGGGTTGTTGAAGACCAATTCTAAGCCGGATCTCTTCACGGTTTCTATACATAGAATCATTTGTATAGTCATATATAGCTCCATTTACAAAGACGTGCTAACTGCGATCATTACTGTAATTCGATACCCATTGTAAAAACTGGCCTCTAATACCATACATCAGTAATTTATGTACAAGTCCTTTGTGCCACACACGATCAAATGCTTTTGATACATCGCAAAATATAATACAATATTTTTCTTTGCTGCCGAGAGATATACAAATATGATGGTTAAGTTCAATTAATTGAGAGACAGTTGAATGACCCGCCTGGAAGCCTGATTGGTACTTAAATAAAAGATTGTTAACATGGAAATAGTTATCCAAGTGTTTGTATATAACTCTTTCAAATAGTTTTCCTATGCAACCTATAAGAGAAATGGGTCTATAATTGGAATCAATAGAAGAAATGTGACAATATTCACAATGCAACTTTAAAGACACAGGCATGATTGAAATACAAGCAGCTAATAACTTTACTTCAGTAACTCATTTGATAATATTTTCACACTGAAACTGGTTCAATTGCAGACTGGCAAGAGTGGATGACGTGACCTTTTGTTTGGGCGTACCCTTTCTTCCATATGGTGAAGAGTTTGCAGAGACTCTAAAAGTTGATTTTTACAGAATACTGTTTGGTCCCTTACCAGTCCCAACTACCTTAGTCCCTAGCAACAAGGACACATTAACGGGTGAGTAGTAGCCATGATGAAACCTTATGCTTTGATACTTGACGTCATTCTGAGAGGTTCTTTATCTTACTTAAAGCCCCAGATCTGCGAATCAAATATGTATATATGTGTATATTTTGTCCAAATATTGTTCAGTTTGGTTCAGTTCACATTAGTGACAGTTTCCCTCGTGATTTAGATCACAGTCAAGAGGAGGTTTCTACTGATGAGGAGGTTGTTGCTGCAGAAAGTGAAACCAGAAATACACATTTCTGCTGGACACCAGCTTACGTCATCGAAGATTTGTTCTTTGTTACGGTTATACACTGCCCCACGCATGCAGAGAAAGTGTCACACTAAATCATGTTTTTCACATTCAATCAGCGAAACTCCACAAAAAAAAAACACTCATTTATTTGTAGTGATGCTATTCCGTGGAAAACACTAACCTCTTGTAAGAAATACTCATCTCAGTTGGTTGATATTTAGTTGCGGTGAATACAGGGATCCCAGCATTATTCACTCCGCCATCATTGCTTTGTGATTTCAGGCATCTGAGGTTGTTGTTACCATTGGTAAGACTTTGTCATGTGAGGATGTGAACAACAGTTGAATGTCTTTATCGATTGATCATTTAACATTTACATGATTGTATC